AAGTTATATAAACACGTAATACTACTCCTACTACCCATACTCTAATACATCTTATTATCATACAAAAGAAATAGATTATGATCATATATTTTCCCTACATTGTATCTATAATCACGTAATCGTGTTTACTATAAGGTAATTCAGTAATCAACCATCTTTCTCTCTTTTAAACATGGAGTGCTCGATCAACAACTAGCACTTTGGACCAACGCTCTATCATTAACCAATGCCTGTGTCGTGAGAAGTTTCCGGGAGTGGCGAATTTCCCGTTCAAGTCAGTTTGGAGATCGAAGGTTCCTTCGAAAGTTAATGGATTTGCTTGGCTGCTCTTTCATAATCGCACTCTTACCCATGATAATTTAAAGAGGCGAGGATGGAATATTGTGAGCAGGTGCGTGTTGTGCGAAGCGAACATTGAGACTGCGTCCCACCTGTTCAGAAGCTGTGAGTATAGCACTAGAATTTGGGACAGGTTTATGACAGTTCTGTCAGTTGGAGGCCCATTCCCGATCGATCTTCAACAGTTGTTTGGATGCTGGTGCCGAGAGGATCCTGGTGATTGGCTGGATTGGTTCTGGTATCTTTTCCTTCATGGCTTCGTTTGGGAGGTGTGGAAGGAACGAAATGAGAGATCCTTTAAAGATACAAGTAAGACGTGGCAGGTCATCTTCCATAAAATTGGACGAACACTACTTCATTGGATCTCTGCTGCGGGACAGATCAATGATCGAAATGCCAAGGATTGGCTGAGATTGCTAGCAGAGGCGTGCCTTCCTCCACGAAACATTAGCATATAGATGCCTCTGGGTTTTGGTTTGCTCGGGTTTCATCTGCTGTCCTTGGTCTGTTAGCTCCTGCAGGAGTCTTGTCTATTCTCATGGTCTTCCTTTCCTCCCCTCTATTTCCGTTGTACCTGTTGTTCTTGCTTTCTTTGGGATCCGATTTGTGTGTCCCTCCCCTTTCTCTTCTTGTTTCCTGAACTTGTATACACCCCTGGTGTATTTCCTTGGTAATGCATCTTCACCATTATCAAAAAAAAAAAAAAACAACTAGCACTTTGGACAATTTCTCTCTTTTTAAAAGACATGCATGTAGCTTGCTGCGAACGAGAAGGAATGGAATTTAAGTAAAGAAAACAACACCACGATCTACTATAAAAAGAAATACAAGTTGATATAGCCGACCTGAAATTTATGTGGGTTTAAAAAGTACAACTACAATTACGTACGGAAGTCAAGTACTGCTGCTAATCATCGTGGGATCATCTACCCAGGAGCATCAAATCAATACTTGAAGAATCGCAATTTAATGACTATAGTTGCATGCTAGCTATTTTTATTAGAGTAATATATTTTTATTGTCTAACCCTAATACGTTATACATGTTGCAAAAAGGAAAACATAAAAGTTTCAAAGTGTGTGGGGAAAAAAAAGGAACGGAAGCCAAAAATGACATATATAAAGGCAACCAAATGTGGACGTCGACCATTCGTGACAAATTAAATTCAACTGTCGTCCTCTATTATTATATGTATTCCAACAATTAAAGTTTCAACTACTTGCTTTCATTCCTCGCCTGCATATATATAAATCTGTTGAATTCCTGTTGTCTATATTTGACCAAATGTTGCATTTTCCATTCTTGGCGTAAGCACCATTCAATTGGTACACATTTCCTTGTCCGTATATATATAGTTTCTCAAACTAGCTAGGTAGCAGTCAAAGTCGCCTTAGCCTTCCACGAGCTTGAATACTTTAATTAACTATACATACACTCTTTTGCTTTTCATAAATGAAAATAACGGCTAACTACCAAACCTACCTACCTAATACTGTCGGGCACAGACCATATTGATTAGTGGTGGCATTGCAAACACTTACTCCCACACACGATCGTTTGAGTTCACCTTCTTCGTGTATAATTCGGTCGGTTCGAATCGTCCCGTTTGATAACTCCATTTTCAAACAAACATAATTAATGTTTTGAGTGGGTTTAAGATTCATTAGTATAGTCATTCATGAATTGGTCATCATGTGTATCTAAGTTCTATTATAATGACGACTCATTTAGTCGTTTCGGTTTCGGTTTAGAGTTTCGATTTCACTTAAAACTTGATGATTTCCGTTGTCCTATATTATTTTGCAATTCTTATTATCATTTCATTAACTTTATAAGTAATATCCAAGTATCTTAGATGGTTTACAATAATCGTACTCTTAGTCTTAGGTGTACGTATGTATAAACTATAGCAAGCTAGTCAACATTATACCATAAAACACTATTGTTGTCCTAGTTGACAAACAAGTTACTATATAATACATATATATTGTTTTGTTGTTTATGATCAAGGAGGTTGGTAGGGAACGGCGGATCCACATTAACCCTATCCAACCATGATCGCATCATGATTCATGAATCGACTCTATCTAGAACTAAATGTATAGTACCATTAGAGAGTTCAATGGTATATAATACATAAACAATATTGAGAATTAATTTTTGTAAGATTAACACAGTTTTCGGATGAAATCCTTGTTTATTTCTCAAGAGTTGTAGTTTACCGAATTGTACGTAATAATGCTACATCCCAACAAAACTATATAAAAAAAAAGACTTATTCAAGAATCTCCTCGCATGTGCATCTCTCTCGATATGACCGTAAACAATATATGTGGTCACCAATATTTCCTCGTCGTGGGTAAAGTAGCCAACGTGCGACTCGAACGGTAACACCGTAATAACAAGAGGAGAGTTGTTAAGTATAGTTAGCTTGCATCAGCCCCCATCTATATATGCACTCATCACTTACGTAATGGTGACTCCATAATTAGTCAATTAATTAGAACAATAAGAAGTCAAATAGAGAAATTGACATAACTTGTTTCAAACCCACAGAATTTCAATTCCCGTTCAGGAGACAAAAGGAAGAAACAAACAAAGAAACCGTAATAATCAAAGACTTATTGATGATGAAAATAATAGATTAATTTTTTAGTCTAAATCCATCCAATTTGCATACGTAGATTTTGATGAAAACAAGTGATTTATATTTTATATTCATACTGTTACGATTTTTTTACAACTCATTCATGTATATGATCGTTTCATATATGAAACTGTAAAATGTTTAATTTCATAGCTTTTAATTTTGCGCTCTTGAAAGAGGCCAGACTCCCTTACATGTATTACATCAAGCAACATTTTTCGAGTTGAGACAACTGAAATCACTAATATTCATTCCATAAATAGAATTTGGATTCCTCGTACACGTAAATCTAGCCTCATCAATTTATTAGTATTCGAATGTAAAATACCGAATGGAATCTTCACATTTTTAAGCTGATAATAAAGACCTTAAAATTTCCGAGTAAAAAAATGTAACAGTTATATGCTGCCGTCCACGGTGACGGTAACACCTTTGTTCTTATTCCCCGCGCCAAGTTCTAGAAAACGAAAGCGCCAAAAGAAAAATCTCTCGCACACGTTGCGGTGGCAGCAGCGTAAATCCTTCGGTCTTCCAGGGGCAATTTTCCGCCAACCAGAGATGGCAAGTGTTGTTAAATAACCAGCCCATCCCCCGTCAAAATAGTCTGTAGAAGCAAGCAAACCTGGAGTCCCCGATTGAATTGACAGAGTGATTGAATGAATTGAGAAAGAGATTTGAAATCCCGTGAACAGAAAGAAAGCTAGAAAGCAACTAACAACAACAAGAAGAAGAAGCAAAAGCCGACACTTTCGCTGTTTGCTTGACTCCAGAAGAGAAGAATTATCTGTACCGGAGACGGAGCCGAAACCCCTGCGGAGATTTGAGGTGAGGAAGTGGAGCCACAGATCCATGTCTGTCATTTTGCGATTTCTCATCTGGGTTTTCCTATCCTCGTCCTAGCTAGATTGTCTGTAAAATTCGGTTTCTTGTCAAGTTCCCTTTGGAATTCTGTGTTCAAGTTCGTTGCTTTGTGATGGATTGAACGAGTTTTGAGATGGATTCTTGTTGGGAGTTTTGGGGCTCACGAGATTGAACCAAAAGTTGATTCTTTTCCCGTAATGGGCTGTTGCAGTTGCTTTCTGGGTTCTGTTTTTTGGAACTCAGAAAGTGATTGTTTTTGAGAATGACCTCTGGCTATAACCCATCGAGATCAGATTTTATCTTTCTTCCTGTTCTTATCCTTTCTTTTGTGTGTTTATGTATCCTCCGCCATGTTTTGCTGTCTTTTTGTGCGAGTTCTGCAGATTTCATAGCTTTGGTTGTACTCATCTCTTGGCTAAGTACTTTAGATAGTTTGCTTTCATTTGATCAAATAAGATGGAAATCTTCCCAATTTCTGGATCCATGATTAGGTGGCTTCATTTCTGGCCTAACCTGCTAAGAATGCTTGTGTGTATGGTTTGTTTGTTTGATCGCATAGCTGCATAGGCCTATCCCTTTTTGTTTATGTGCGGTTAATGTTTACTCATCTGGTGTCGTGAAATGCAGTGGTGTTTTGGTGTAATGCTAGCCTGTTTTGGTGTTTACTCACGGTTCATCAATTCATTAGAAATCTATCATTTCCAACCGTATACTACTACCTTGTTGCTAAGGCTAGCCTGTTTTGGATTGACCAGCTTTACGGTCAATTGTTTTGCTAGTGGCCATCAGCATATCTTGTTTTTATTATCTTTTGTTGACACTGTTTGTTTGACAATTCGAGAAGAAATTTGGGGGGAAATTTCTTCAGTCCATCATCCATTACACTGTTTGCTATCCAATTAAAATATGACCCTAGTGGTTTCTTCCAGATTGGTTTCTTCCATCTATCCTGGACAAATCTGTCTTCTGCATCACGTGCTTTGCTATCTTGTTTGAATCTAATGTTCATGCCATATACCGAGTCTTATGAATTTTCTCCTGCTGCAGATATCGAACAACCCTCTTCCAATTCGCCCCCCTGCCTGGTGAATTTGCTAAAAAAATCTCACTGCTTGCCTGAGTTTCTCACGTCATCCCGTGCATTCCTTGTAAGATGACAACATCACAGAAGCGTCGAAGAGGATCAGCAGCCATCCATGGCTTCTACCACCAACCCACGAAAGACACCGACCCGTATAGTCTCTCACAGATCCAACTCCTTGACGAAAGCATGTTCTCGGTTGACACAAGCCAAGGCCCCACCATCTCCTTCCAAACCTACAAAGATGAAGAATACTTCACCCTCGAATCATCCCCAGCAACCACCAGCAGTAACTTCTTCATCTACGATTCACCAGCTCAAAGTGCCTCGTCTAGCAGCAGAAGCCCTATCTCCCCACAAGCCTCGCATTCTTGTCTCACTGATCCTCACCATTCTCCTGATAACACATATGGCTCTCCTGTGAGTGGATCATCCTCTGCTGATGAAGACCATTTCCTCCGCCAGAAGCTTCGTGAGATGGAGATGTCACTAATGGCTCCTGAATCTGAAGCCACAGACAGCTGCAACTTCTGCTTCGCTGGTGCCCCTCAGCACCAAGCTGGCCCATCTTTGGCCACCTCGATGATCCCCAAGCTAGACATCAAACAAGTCTTGGTAGCATGTTCTCAAGCAGTTGACTTAGTTGACATCAGCAGAGCAGCAGGGCTAATGCATGTCTTGGAACAAATGGTATCAGTCTCTGGAGACCCAATCCAACGAGTTGGCGCTTACATGCTTGAAGGCCTTCGAGCGAGATTGGAACTCTCTGGAAGCAAAATCTACCAAGCATTGAAATGCGAGTCTCCCATAAGTTCGGATCTCATGTCGTACATGGGGATACTCTACCAGATTTGCCCGTACTACAAGTTTGCCTACGTGTCAGCCAATGCAGTCATCCGAGAAGCAATCCAGTACGAGCAAAGAATCCACATCATTGATTTCCAGATAGCTCAGGGAAGCCAGTGGATCCCAATCATCCAGTGGCTATCACAACGTCCAGGTGGATCCCCATTACTTCGTATAACAGGAGTAGACGATTCTCAATCCGCTCATGCTCGTGGAGGCGGGCTGCACATAGTCGGCCAGAGGCTCTCTAAGCTGGCAGCCTCGCTCAACGTGCCGTTTGAGTTCCATGACACAGCAATGACGGGTTGTGAGGTCCATCAGGAGCATCTGATGGTCCAGCCAGGCGAAGCAGTGGTGGTCAACTTCCCGTACATCCTCCACCACATGCCAGACGAGAGTGTCGACACGTGGAACCACAGGGACAGGCTCCTCCGACTGGTGAAGAGCCTCTCCCCCGTGGTTGTGACTTTAGTAGAGCAGGAGTCCAACACAAACACGACTCCCTTCCACCTCAGGTTCCTCGAGACACTGGACTACTACACAGCCATGTTTGAGTCGATTGATGTGGCTCGACCGAGGAACGACAAGGAGAGGATCAACGCCGAGCAGCATTGCGTGGCAAGAGATATAGTGAACATGATTGCATGCGAGGGCGGCGAGAGGGTGGAAAGGCACGAGCTTTTGGGGAAGTGGAGGTCGAGGTTTCAGATGGCTGGATTCCAGCAGTGTGGGTTGAGCCCTGCGGTGAGTGGTGCTGTGAGAGATGTGTTGAAGGAGTATGATAGGAAGTTCAGGGTTGAGGAGAGGGATGGTGGGTTGTATCTTTACTGGTCGAGAAGAGCTATGGCCACTTGTTCTGCTTGGAGATGAAAGATGAGGATACCCCTTTACAGTTAGGTGATGAAAAGATGATGGCATCTGTAAATTTTTTTGGTCATGGTGGTTTTGTTGTCTGTTTTTAAGAGGGTATGAAATGAGATTAGCCTGTTGTGTTTTCTGATGCAAGCAATAGTTTGTTGGTAGAGAATGGTTGATCTTTGCTTCGCCATTTTTTGCAGTTTCTGGTCCTGATTCTGCAAGGAGCAATCAGGCCATTGTAAATACTTTAACCGGATTGAGCGTGAAATGTTTGTATGCTGTTAAACTGGTTTGGATTCGCCCATATTATAATTTGTTTCTTGAGAACAAACAAATTCAGTGACTAAATTGAACCTACGCATAAGTTCAGTGACCAGCAGAGCCATAATTAGTCTTTACAAAAAAGAAACGGAAAATAAGGGAACCGCGGGAGGGGATTCTACGCACAGCAAAAACCATTGCCATTGTTGTGTTCTTTTCTTTCATCGTCCGCTCCAAATCCCATTTGCATGGCAAAGAATTAGAAAACCGAAACACAGGAAGAAAAGAAGGCGGCAGAAGAACCCTCATTGTCGGTTGAATTAGATCAAAGCCCAGATTCTAACTCATCGTGAAGGCGCGACCTTCGTTGGACGTTTCCCGCGAACAATTTCTGGACTTCCCGCGTACGCTTTTCCATAATCACCCATTGTTATACCTGTAAAGGTCGGTTCTTTGTTTCCCCTCCTCGATAATGCGACAGTTTTCGAGCACTGATCGACGGCTTCTTTTTTAACATTGCTTTGATTCTCTTGGAATTGCGTGTGTGGGGGTTCTGATCAATTCTCCATGATTCTGGAGCACTGAAAAAGATCGATTCTTTGGGTGGTTGTTTAATGAATGTTTTGTCCTGATCGTGTCGTGCCTTTCCTTAACGCTGTTTCCAATCAAAATATGGGATCTCTGTCTGGTTTGTGGCTGTTTGAGATTTCCTATGCTCGTTTGTCGCCTTTCATTTGGATGAAATTTGGAGGTTAAAGCTCCACAGCTAGGATCTATGGCTATCCCCACCTTTATCTCTCTTTGGGCCCCACAGCATCAATGGCTGCCGGATTAGTTGTTGAAATTGGGTCGACTGGTTCATTAGACCGTTACTCTTCATGTCATATTTTGGCTTGTAAACCACAATGCTGCTATGGGTTCTTCTCTTTATGTATTTTTGTCAATGGCAGCTAAGAGACCTTTGTGTTTACAAATTGGCAGTGATGGAGAACGTATCAGAGAGGGCATTGTTGAAGCATCTGCAGAAGGAGCAAGAGAGGGAGAGGCGGCGGATAAGAGACAGGCAGAGGAGGCAATCAATGAGCGCTGAAGAGAGGGAGAGGCATCTAGCTAGGCGGCGGAGGAATTACCAGCTGCGGAGGCAAAGAGCTGAGAATGCTAGGCTTGAGCTTCAGCTCAATCAACAGGCCACGGCGGCTCTAGCAGCATCTAGTGGTGATGGAGGAGGAGACATTGGCAGGATTGTTGAACATCAGCAGCAGCAGATGTTGTTGCCTGTTCCTGAAGCTAGTAATAGTGCTCAGTTCAATAGCTTGGCCTCCAATGGCATTGTTGTTGATCCAGTGCAGGACAGCTTCAAAGCAGCATATGCAAATCCTGTTGGTGAGGCTTTTTTGGTTTTGTTTTGTTTATAATTTCGACCTAATCCACTTGTCTAGCCTTGGTCTCTGACCTGTATAGGACCAATATTGTCCGACCCTACACGTACCTCAATGTCATTCCTACTCATGAACCCAAGTGCAACAATCTTTATGCTTTCTACCATTTGGGTTCCTTACTTTTGCATGTATTGCGTCTACAGCTTTGGAAGTTGCAGCTCATGATTTGGCCAGACTTCCCAAACAGCCAAGAATAAAGCACATAAAGCAACTTGCGAGGTCTCTAGCTCGTAGTCACCATGGGAATGAGGCCAACATAATTGCAGTTGATCTACTTATCAAGGCCAATCCAGCACTCAGTTGTAAGTCTCTAGCTCTAAAAACATGCAACAGATCTTATTACCACTACATGAACTCTGTTTGAAGTCGTCTGTAATCCTTCCTGCAACTAAGTTGATTGAGTTATTCGTCTGCGGTTCAAGCTCTAGTGCAGCAAAAGGGTCTGCGATTCACTCGTCTCAAGAGGCTAGCGAGATCCTTACATTCTGACGCAGAGAAGAAGGATGGACATCAGCTGCAGGACAAAGCAGTAGAACAAAATCAGCTTGAAGTTTCCCAGCCAGACAATATTAGACAAGAAGAAGCCTGAGTAACAAGAAAAGGGCATTTCCCCCCTTCTACTCAGCCATGTCTCAACTCTCAAGGATACATGTTACACCAAGAAGTTCTGACTGGAAATATCTGCCAAGGGTAACTTTCTTTTACCTGGTTGCCTCAGTTACTTACCACTTTGGACATATGCTGAGTTAAAACTTCTTGTTCTGCAGAATTTTGCAGGAAACTGAAGAGAAAGCATGGAGAAGTTTTTGGTTAGGAAATTGAAGTGTAGGAATTGGATAGTCAAAATTCTTTCTTATGAGTATGTAACTGTAATTGATTTCTCATAAGTGAATTATTATATAGACAGATCGAGCCCAACAATATCTTGGGCCTGGGTCCAGTCCATTTAAAACAAGGCCAATGCTACCGTGCCGCTATAAAAAATGCGGCACCGGTGACGCTCATTCTAATTGGTCCACATGGAAATGATGTGGCATGGGCTGGCTTAATTTAATCCAAGCCCAAACCGAATGACCTATGAAACTACCCAGCCCACCGTTAACAAAAGAGATTCCGTCTTCACGGCCGTTTGGCTACTTGAAAATTTATTTAACCGGATTTTTTTTTTCTTTCCTGTTACGGAAGCGATGGAGAAGGGAAAAGCTACAGCCGTCTTCCTCGATCTCTCGCGCCGTCTGTGTATAGAATAAACTGTTTCGGCGAACTCTGCCAATGTCTCCTCTGCCAATGTTCTACATGTCCGACTTGTTTGATTCTATATTTCATAGAGAGTCTTGTTGTTGTAGCTACAGCTAGGTGCTGCAACTATAGGCTATTGGAAAGGTCTAGTATTTCATCTACCTGCCACATAAAATGTGGTCAAGTATATACAAGGACCTTAATCTGGAATATGCATAACAATTTCAGTAAGAATCATTTATAGAATCATCTAACATACCTATTGCAGTATAGCATGGCATGTCTAGTGCGGTGTGTTAATTGATGTGTTCACATAATGCTAATAGTTCTCTGTTTCAACGGTTCGACGTGTCTACTGCTTAGATTTTTGTACTTAGATTTTAGTATTTTTTTCTGTTAAGAAGAGTGAATTCAGTTGATTACACACAATTGCAGCTTTTGAAAAGGAAAGGAACACACTCCGACAATCCGAGACAGCCGTCAGTAGAGTTTATTAAAAGAGCGACACTTCTTTGTTACTTGTAGAGTTCAAGTGAAAAAGCAATTGCCTGCATGGAGCTGCTCACATTAGTAAATTTCTCTCTGTGTTTTTGTTATACAATGTAAATATCATCCAGGCTAGTATTCTAGCTATTGAAGAGGATCTGAAAGTCTTGCAAAGAGAACTAGATGGAACTTGTACTTTCATCCTCAACCCAGTGCTAAAAGGCAGAGATAGTCGTTCGTGCAAGTGTAACAGGGGTTTATTATTCATCCAGACACTGTATCTATTGTAATTTGTATGCAAAGTAGCTAAAAAAACAACAATATTTATACATATGCCATAGATTATGGTGATGGACGCTCCAATATTATCGATAGCATTAAGTTTCAGTTCATCCCACATATCTATTACATGTCAATGTGTAGTAGTGGATGTTGAGATTCTAGGCTGGGTTTAAACTATTTCTAGGGCTTTTCAATTTGAGAATTGTAGAAGTAAATCGAAAGTCAGTGAAGAACAAGAAAGTGAAAGAATAATGGTTTCAGTATAATCGATGAGCCCTGAAATCTGTGGCTGCAACTTCTGTCCCTCCCTCAACTGCTTGGCTTGGTCCTCTCATTCCACTCCGCTGCATTTTTTGGCTGGCTGGCCTCGATATATTCAAACAGCAGAACATGGACTCGCCGCTGGAACTTTTTCCGCTGACACAGCTGGAGTTTCTAATATTACAACCTTCACAGATTCGGGCTGTTGGGGTCTGGGTTTGCATTTTCGCTTGTTTCATTTGTTCCTGATATAGTTAAATGCAGTGAAAATCAAATGAGTTTTAATTTGAATTAATGGAAAGAAAAACAGATGACGGAAAGTGTTCCGTTTGTATGGTCAAAGTAGTGGTTCTGGCTAGTTCTAGTGGGTCATAGGTTTGGGCTGGGATGATATAAAATCAGCCGATGCCACATCAGTTTCATGTGGACCAATCAGAATTTGCGTTATCGGTGCCGCACTTTTTATAGCGGCACTGTAGCATTGGCCTTAAAACAATACTACAGAGAATAAAAAAAAAACCGTTTTCGAAAAGAAATCCTCCATAGTTACCGCCTTTTCTTCTCCTCAACAGGTATGGAAAGCAGAGTTCCTTCCAAGTTTCGGCTTCTTGGAACTCCCATCGCTTTAAATTTGGCCTTCCATCAATCATCCACAAACTAAGAAACTTCGAACTCCCTAATTTCAGTTCCTGCTCTTCCTTCTTCTTTGTAAATTTTAAGTTCTTGCAGAGTTCGAGTATCCCCATGAATAGCCCAGCTGTGAATTTCTTCGAAGCTCCGCAACAGCCAAGTACGCCCTCCTCCATCGATGCTCTCTCCCGCTCTATTGGGTTGCTTAGCATCAATGGATATGTCGAGGGAAATCCGTCGCTGCCTTTTCTGGGTACGTATCCAAGAACCCACCAAGTGAATGGTGTAATTCCTCAACGAACTCCTGTTCCCACGGCCTGGTTTGGGGATTCCATGGAAGCGGCTCAGAATCCATTCCTTGAGCAGAGAATCTTCCCTGAACCTTACAACTATGGAGGTAAACTGAAACTGATTTTGCCCCCTGTTACTAATAGAATTCTCGATCAAATGTTGAGCATAAGTTTTTCGATTCAGGGAGATTCGTGAATGGATCAATCGATCCGTGGATGCCACAGCAGCAGGATGGTGGTGCAGGGTTGGAGAATTATGGCGTACATCAGTTTTCGAACCTTGGGTTTCCTAAAGATGACAGCTTTCTTTCCAATGCCAAGACCCAACAGGGTTCAATGGAGATTCAGAAGAGTCTCAACTCAAACGATGACATGAAGTTAATGATGACATACATGAAAGCTGTTCCCTTTACTGTCCCTCTCATGATGGATCAACATGGATGCCATGTCTTCATGAAACTGCTCGACTTCTGCTCCGATACCCAGTTGAGATTCATCCTGGCGGAGATCATTCAGAACATCGCCTTGTTTCTTGAGATATCGTCCTGCAGATCCGGGTAGGATATGTTCTTCCTTTGTGACGAATGTTCCTAGAGAGCTAGACAGACCCTAATGGCTTTGCTTAATGCGTGCTCTGTGTGTGTGTCTTGTTCTTTGTTCTCCCGAAACAGCTCGAAATCACTCAAGCGGCTGATCAAAAGGCTTCAGAAATCTCCAATGCTGGCTGTCCTAATCAACATCCTGGCTAATGAGTTCTATCCACTGATGGTTCATCCGATTGGAAGCCATGTTGTATTGGAGTGCATTGACACCCTTCAGCCCCAGCAGAATGAGGTTTGTACAATGACCTTCAGTTTCCTCCTATTGATTCTCCAACATTGGCCTTATTGAGTAGTTGAAGTTGATTGCAGTTACTGTATCTAAAAGCCATTGAACACTGCCTTGAGCTTGCCACAAACGAATTCGGGTGCATAGCATTGAACATCTTCATCAACCACAGCAAAGGTCCCTACAGATACAAACTACTCAACTCTATCTCCAACCATGTTGTGTATCTCTCCCAGGACCCTTCAGGGTAAGTAGCAATACAATTTATGCTAACAAACGAGCAAAACAAAGAGGATGAAACTCGGCAGCCAGCTTATTGTTTGAGGTTCATGTTTTGTTCCAGGAACTATGTGGTGCAGAATGTGTTGGCACTAGAGAACCCATGCTGCAGTAGGGAGATTTGCAGCCAGCTGAAAGGGCATTACGCGAGGCTGTCGATGCAGAAAGGCGGTAGCCATGTGGTGGAGAAGTGCCTAAGTTCCAGAGAGATGATGAAGCATGTGGTTGAGGATCTCCTGAACACCAATCAGCTGATCCAAGTTGCCAGGGATAAGTTTGGGAACTATGTTGTTCAGAAAGCACTCCAAGTTACTAAGGTAAGAACAACAGAATCATCTAATTATGATCAGTGGATCAAACGTTCTTGATTGGTGATTTATTCAAACACTCTTGTGTTGATTTTTGGCAGAGAGCTGAGAGTAGTCAACTGCATCAGCAGCTGGTGAGCGTTCTCAAGCAGCACAAGTATGCATTGCAGTATGGATATGGGAAGAATGTGTGGCATGCGATTGAGAATGAGAAGAATGCTGCTGTTGATCATTCAGAGTAGCAGATGTTTAGAAATAAGTTCTGTCCCCATGATTTGTAAGCTCGATTGTCTTTGAAGAACATGTTCTTAATTGTCACCATTTTGTTTTATGTTGTGGATAGTCTTTGTCGTTCTAGTGTTTTCATCTTTGTTAGGATAGGAGGTGTTCTAGCTTGTTGTAGTATATGGATTTTTAAGAGCTTCGATTGTGAACTTTGGCGGCTAATGTTTGTTTGAGTTGGTTTGTAAAAATTACATTGGTTTTGTATTCTCCTTCCTTTTCAAACAAGTGATTCATTGTTATACTTCAAAGTGAATGTTGCTCCTCGTTAAAAAATAAAGTGAATGTTGCTCTAATTAAAGTAGTAAATAATAATATAGGGTGGGAAATTAAAGTGAAGAGGGATTGAAGGTAACAAATTGCAACCATTATTTACAATTGAACCTAAATTTTGAAGGAGGGGCTAATATGCCCTGTTCTGCCACTTCCTATGGTTTCTCACAATATGAACACATACATTATAACCTTAGATAAAAAAAAAAATTAAAAAAAGTATATGAGAGGGGTTGTAGGTCCTCCTGGATTACAGGTAGATCCACCACTGATAATACATGAATTCAAGTCTCGTAAAGTCCGACTTTTCTGTAAAATTTGTAACTAGAAATCTCTCATTCAATGCACTACAACGAACCTTCACGGAAGAGAAATTCATTGATCTTTTTTTTTTTTTGGAAATGCATCTATGTACAAGAGATGGACATCGAGAAAGGAAAAATTCCATTGATCTTGTACCTTATAGAGATACACATGACTAGAGACCTACATGGTCAATGTTTGATCCTTCACTCTAAAGTACTAAGCATTTATGGTATTTCCCTTTGCATTTCCTAGACTATGGTAGGCATATGGTTGCAATTTGTGAGTAGAACCTTCAATGACAATGCCATTTCAACATCAGCAAAAAAATATCATAAGTTATCTCCCGATCAAGTACTTGTGTATTCTCAGTTTCTCACACAAGACGAGCATCTCAACTCATGTAAATGCTTATCTAATGATAAGCGTACCTAGAAACCTATATAAGGAAGGGTTGATCCTTCAATTCTAGAGTACTAAGCAACCATAGCCCCCTTCAATCGACATTTCATTAAGCATATTAAACGATAATCAGTAGAACTTGTGATGACGATGCAACATTGGTAGACTTCATTGTATTATGGATCTCTCTCTTAATTGACCACTCACTTAGCATCTTCGGATAAGATGAGCGCCCTAACTCATGTTTATATGTACCATAGGTAATTCCTAACTTTGTTGTAGAACTATTAATTAACTCTATAGATGAACTCAACCAACAATGCTTTCATAGCTCAGTTGGTTAGAGCACCCGTTTAGTAAGCGGGAGGTCTTGAGTTCAACTCTCAATGAAAGCAATTTTTTCCCGGTCTTTCCTCTTTTGGGCCCAAAAAGCTATAGGAGCCCACCTCACTCGGGCCGAACTAACATAAGGATTTCAAACTGGCTCTCGGCCCACCGAGCAACAAAACCCTAGTAGCAGCTGCCGCGAAATCTACCTTCTTCTTCTTCTTCTTTTTCCCCGCAAGCCGGCGGCAGTTTCCTTTCCCTCTTCTAATTCTCTCATGCTATATATATCAAACCCACTGTCTTGTATCCTCTCAATCACCATTGCCGATCTGAGATCTCCCTTCTTTTTCTTCCTGTTCTTCCCCTTGACTTCCCCTGATGTTTTAGAAATCGATTTGAATTTCCCGTTTTCTTGTAACTGGTATCTCTTCTACAAATTCCGACGTGCTTTACTCGTAAATTCGGAGCGAGCCGACGAAAGTCGAGTGCTTGTAAAATCCGGAGTAAACGTCGAATATCGATGGCCCCTTCTCCGTGTAGCGTTGAGGTGCTCCTTCACCGGAGTATCTCCACTGTGCGGAGTACTTTTCAGGGTCTGGTCTCATTCTCATGAGCCTTTCGGAGCGGCGTCGCCGCCGTTACCTACTGGGACTAGGCATGAGACAAACATTCATTCAACTCCTTTTCGTTTTTTCACAAAAAAAAAAGCTCCTTTCTTTATCTGGTTTGATGCCTGTGAGGAAATCTGTTATAAAAGAACACCATCTTTCGGGACTGAATGGCCCTTGAACAGGGCCTTGCTGTCAATTCTGCAATTCTGAGGCATTGTTCAAGAAGTCTGAAACTTTGTATTGTGGGTTTCTATTGTTTATTTGATTTTCATAGTATCGGTAATTCAAGCAGGAGGTAACATTGAGTTCAGAGATCTTGACCTGGTGTTCATGTGGTCTAATCTTATAATAAAGGAATGGAACATTTCCAATCAATAAATACGTTTTTCATGGCATTAGTCCGTCAGGATCATGATCATGCATCCTTTCTGTTCAGACCTAGAACAGAGTTATTCCATTGTCAATATGTTTTTCTTCTGCAGCGAAGATGAAGAAGCTTTTATAATGCTATGGGGGTGTGTATTTGTGAGCCTAGTATCATTTGATGGAGCATTGTGTACTTCCATTCTAGAAGTCGACAAGCGATAGAATGTTTGCATGGTCCGAGATTGGAAAGCGTCAATGGAGGAGTTTAGATTGTTACAAGATAGAGGAACTGAGTGTAGATTGTAAAGGTGTCGATAATGTGAAACTATGTATGACTATCTTATCTTCGTTTGATCCAATATATTTACTTTCGTTGATGGTTTTTTTTTATCTTTTAAGCTGGTTACCTGATTGAATTTGTAATATTTTGTTATCTGTTTCTTGAATGCTTAACAAGTAACCAACTTTGTCACCAAATTCAAGTTGAAAGCGTCTTAGAAAACCAAAATGATCGACGCAGCACCACAACTTATTTCCGTTCTGGACTGATGAACCCTTCTATTCTCCCAAAGTGCCTATATTCTGCAAAGCGTAGTTCATGAACATGTTGAGAACTCGTTCCAGTGTCAACTGCCGATGTTTGAAGAGGGGAAGGAATACTGAATTGTGCATTACTCTGGGAGATGGCTTACCTTTGCTGCGGGTGATGAAAGTTGCATAACGATTTCCAGCCGAGTTCCTTGGTTCCAACTTCCAAATACGGGCAATGCTCAATGCCCTTCAGAAGTTCAGATACAGCACCTGCAGCAATAAGGATAACTGGGGTCTCACACAGCATCACAAATATATAACTGATTTGGTATTGTTGTAGAGTAAAGAATGAATGTCAAGTTTACATGAAACCGTTTGATCAGCCACGTGAGCTGTTTGGGAGAAAAGAACATGCATGTTAACCCATTAGATGTAACTCTATCTCCATAATCATAATAGGAAAAAACACCAGAAACATTTGAAAGGAAGATTCTACCCTTGTCTGTTGGATGATATTTCATGAAGCATTGTGATGTTTTGAATAAAGGAATCGAATCTTGAAACTAACATCACAGAACTACTACTCCTCCCTCTTCTAAGTTTGCAAGTTCTGGGGAGAACGAATCAAACAATATTTACAGACCATCTTGCCAGTTGTTCTTGACAAGGTTTCAAAGTTCCTAAATCTCATCTAAACTGATATATTTCCCCATCACAGGGGATATTATAAGTTGATAGCCCTGCTACTACCCTAGCCTATCTGCACCTTCTCAGACGACTCTTCTACAACAGCTCTTGTAGCTTCAACAACTGCTTGTCCACTCACATAATGCTGCCGGCAAACAGGCATGTAAACATCAGCCCCAGCAATCAGCTCCACCATTGTTTCATCTGTCTTTCGCAACGTGAAGAATGCACGCTTCCCGCAGAGCTCACAGCGAGCTGTCAACTTGGTCACAGAATCAGCAAGTGGGATTATGTCGAGAACAGCACCAAAACTCCTCCTGGGTCAACAAAGGAACGATGGTTGTGTTAAACCAGAGGCACATTTTACGAACGGCAAGCTGGAAACAGTAAGCTTTTAAGTTTTTACCTCATGTAATCACCATCCAGTCCAGCTACTATCACAGTTTTACCATCCTGATCAGCAGCTTCACGGCAGAAATCATACAAGTCTCCAAAGAATTGAGCTTCATCGATCCCAATTACGTCCAGCTGTGACGGATAAGCTGTCTTTAGTATGATAGAATTAAGATCTATCCTCATGTATTCTGCTAAAAATGGTATTCAAATTATAAATTGCCGTACCTGGTTGTAAGCATCAACACCAAGACTTTGCCTGAACATCGACAATTTGGGCAATGACCAGCAGGGCAATTTCAGACCGTCATGTGTTACAATTGAGTCCAATCCATATCTTGTATCCTTGTCCGATTTCACAACAGCCACACTTCTGCAAAACATAGACAAGAGAAGACCACTCAATTCATTTAACAAAGTAAATCAAGCATCTTGATTCCACATTAGTCTGACATTTCAGGGATATAACTCAACTTCCAAATTTATCATGATCTAATGCTCGTCGATCTCCAAATCACAGACAGCATCCTTTAAAACGCTCGTCATCTCGGAAACCAAGCTCTCTATCTCTTCCGACTTTCTATGAGACTTATCCCGAGTTAAGAACAAATGGACCTCCCCCTGAATCTCAATCCAGCTATAAGCAGGCTCTTTCATAATATCAAGCTCTTTCATTACCCCCCTTATCTCTTTCACACGGTCCCAGAACCCACGGTTCGCATATGCATTCGACAGTACCACGTATTTACCAGCATTTCCCGGTTCTAACTCAAAGAACTTTCTAGCTGCAATAGATGCCAAATCCGTATCTCCATGAATCCTACAAGCACCAAGCAAAGCACCCCAAGTAGCTGAATGGTCCTTAAGTGGAGAGCTCAGAACAAAATCATAAGCTTCTTGGAGTTTGCCAGCCCGACCCAAGAGATCAACCATGGCAGCATAGTGCTTCCCTCTCGGCTCAATCCCATAATCTTTCATCGATGAGAAGTAATCCCAGCCTTGATGAATCAATCCTCCATGACTGCAAGCAGATAACACAGCAAGGAAAGTGATATAATTTGGCTGAAACCCTTCCTCCTTCATCATCCTAAACAATTCCAAAACTTCTTCGACTCTTCCATGCTGGCCATACCCCGAGATCAGAGAAGTCCAGGTCACCACATTCCTATTCGAAGTTTCATTGAACACCTTCTGTCCATCAGCTAGGTCGCTGCACTTGAAGTACATATCGATAAGGGCACTACTGACAACCACGTTATCTTTAACCTTGCACTTAATCAGGATGCTGTGAGCTTGCTTCCCGAGCTCCAACAAAGCAAGAGTACCACACGCTCTAAACAGGGAAGAAAACGTGTATTGGTCAGGTGTCAAGCCGTTTTGTCTCATGTCGGAATACAGACTGAGCCCCTCTTGTTCGAGCCCGTTCTGCACACATCCCGAGATCATGGCATTCCAGGAGATCAGAGTTTTATCAATTAAGGAGTCGAAGAACACGAGTGAGGTTCTTAAGTCGCCGGATTTTGCATAGAGGATCAAGAGCTTGGTCTTGAGATATTCAGTGGGAAGATAGCCAACAATGATCATTTGTGAATGGATTCTTCTCCCGATCTTATACCTACTCGTGAGAATACATTCTTGCAACATAAGCGAATAGGTTTGATCACCCACGGCTGATTCAGTACTCCACAAGAGGCTCACAGCTTCATTCAATCTCCCGGAGAAACAAAGTCCCTGTAAAGTTCTATCCAACTGGAGCAGATTTCTAACCTGAAAGCTGGTAACTTCCGCTATTTATAATTGGGTTCCAAAACAGTTGAAATATACACAAATTGCTCAGAACCTAACTCGTATCAATCGAACCACATAGTCGCTTGAAAATGCACCAAATTCCACAAACCACATATAACAATCAAAACAGACCAATGGGAAACGAAAAGAAGCAGAAAAAGGTTAGGCGGAATGGAGCAGGGGATCGTACCTGCCATTTTCGCTCTCGGACTGAATTCGTCGGAGGAGACTGGTGGTCTTGCCGGCAAACATCGGACCCACGATGACGTGGATTTCGCCTGAGGGGTAGGACGCCGTCGAATCACCCGCAGCTCCCGCCGGCCAAAAGTTCCGATTTTGAACGCGAGAAGACGCCGGGCCAGATGAACCCATGATGGGTCTGAGAGATGGAGAAGCAGGGAACTGAATAACTGCGGGAAAATTGAAGAAAAGGGTCGACTTGGGAGCTGCGGAGAAGAAGGCGGCAGCGTTGGGGAAAGCCGGCGCCACGGGGAGGGAAATTTGAAGGGGAAACAAAGCCTTCATTCTCGAGACCGCAAACATCTAACAAAACGAAGCGTGGTTTGCTGGGCGAAGGTTCAATTCGGAGCAAAAGATGGACTTGGCATTGTGCGATTTCCTCTAAAAATTAGGGTTTTAGGGAATGGGGTTTTTACTGATGCACTTCGAAGCGAGAGAAAGCTGGAAGATTTTCCCGCAAAAAAATGAAAGCGACCCGCCGCAGTTGTATTCGTTATCGCCTGGGGGCGAATCTAGAGCCAGTGAGATGCACTCGCGGAGCTTGATTTCATCACGGCCGTTCATTTAGCTGACAGCTATCGTTATGCTGTACTTTGTTCTCTTCGTTGAGAAATCAGAAATCACGGCCCAAAGAGGCAAAAGCTTTTGACTTTTTCGCATAATTTACTCCCCACTCTTGTCTTCAGTTGTTGTTCTTGTTTGTCACGGTTATAATCGAGAAAGATTCAAATTTTCAAATCATATGCTTGTCTTGTTAAGCTCTTGACGTATTTTTTGTTGATCATCTTGGTCGTGTTTTCACATTGACAATTTAGTGATAACAAAGGAGTTTATAAAGGTAAACAGGGGCGGAGCTACAGCAGGGCTCGGGGGGGCCTCGGCCCCCCCGAGAATCTTGAAAGCTACGTATAAAATCCTCGGGCAATTTACGTATAAATAAAACGAAATGGTTAAAATACTCTAGTATGCAATAATTTGACAAAACAGACTCCTAGCATAGTGGAAGGGGGGCTGTTTTCCTCTCGCTAGGTCCTTGATTCGATTCTCATGCAAAGCAACTATTTTTTGCCAGCTATTCTCTACCGATTTCTTTTAACAACTCCAAGGGATGCAATACTTTTAGCAGCTTTAAGCATATGTATATATAACAACAATTTCTTTTAAATACTCGTGTAAGACCTATCTCTTAATTATGAAAACATATGTGCAATACAATATCGAAATGTATTGTTAATTATTATTTTTAATTTATATTGAACACAATGCTTAAAAAGTTAGTTTACAAAGTGATGTTAATTGTTTCAATGAATAATTTGTGACGTTATAATAATATAAAATTATTATTTTAATTTTTTTTTAAGTCGTTTTGCGATAACATATAAAAATATTTCCGGCCCCCCCCCCCCCCCCCGATCGTCGATTCCTGGCTCCGCCCCTGAAGGTAAAGCCCTTCTTTAATATGCTCTCAAATTATGTCATGACTTTCTTCCTTTGTAAGATGGTAGTTGGGATTTTCACCTGTAAAATGTTGCTTGTTACTGCAGTAATGATGACGGATTATGAATTTTGCATGTGTTCATCATTAGATGATAATCTCAGTAAAAAATAACTAAAATTCAAAACAGAAGAAGAGGGAATAACGACCATGAAATTGTTGGTGGGAAATAGAAGAAGGGATGGTGGGAGTCTAGGCAGCAAAATCATGGGAAATAGTTATCATGATTCATGTGACCCTATAATCATGCATGTGCTGCCTCTTTGATCCTAATACTAGTTTCCTTTGCATCATTAGTTTACTAAACATATATACCTAGACCAAGAATAAATTGTTGTTATATTAAGTGGAGCATTAGGAAGGATTGTTCAGCTCGATCCACGACAACTACTAGTTGATTAGCCGCTACAAAACTCGTTGATCTGAACAAAAATCGCAGAACGATTCGAATTTCTCGAATACATTCATACATCAGTTCTGACGAGCTCAATTCATCAGCCACAGAAACAAGAGAAACATGCTTGAAAAACACATTTCGTCTACTAAAATATCGTGTTTCAAAACTCTATTTTCTTAAACATAGATGTGAGTGAGCATAAACTCGGTTTTCATTTGTTTCTTCTTCCGTGTAAAGTTGTATTAAGCAAACCAAATGGCATAAATGTTTGGGTTTTCTAATGGAGGGTCTACAATTTGTTTATTATTTAACAAGAAATAGTCCGTATATAATTAAGTTAGTATATTATGTATACATTGTGTTGATGATGCTTCCCCACTACCACCACCACCACCTTTATACAGCTACAACAATTATAGATGGAGCCTTTCCATTCTTAGCTGTCTTGTGGGAAAGCTAATCCATATGTTTAAAATCTCTTGATACCAAATGCTGTAACAATCATTGTTTTTAAATTCAATTTTGCACATATATAAAAGAATTGAATTGAAACTTGGGGAGGCATGAATATGGGAGTAAAATCATGTTGTGCAACTAGCTAGCTGATCTTATGTCGTAATCAATCAAAACATAGAAACAAGTGTTTGGGAGGATTGAAAACTAGAAAAATACCCAAAGGTCAATTGCTTATACAATGGAGAATTACATATATTCATATTGACTAAACAGATTGGTGGGTGACTGACGCAAAGTTGTTGGTTCTATAAACAAATTGCATGAAAAAGGCGACCGAACGAGTTAAAATTATCGTGAAAAATTATGTACCTTGATTACATCTTCTTATTGCTAAGGGTCTCGTGAGACTTTAGAGCACATCAAAATGAAATATCTATCTATATCTTCTTATTGTACTATTTGAAGATATGAAGGTTTCACCCATACCTTATTACAAGACAAAGACAAGAAAGAAAGAAAGAAAGAAAGAAGAGGCAAAAAAAAATGAAAAGGCATAATTATCACATATGTGGCAAAAGTGTGGTCCGAATAAGGGCATAGTATATCTATCCAATTCCAATCTATCTTTATCTTCTATCCACATTTGCTCCAACATCGTTCTCACCATTTGCCACCCATTTCTTTCACCCACATCAATCAAAATCTTTCACACCAATACAAGAATTTCACCCCATCGAAGAATAAAGGTAGGTAGAAAAGAATTGGAGAGCATGGGGGAGGAAGAGGATGGAAACCAGCTAATTGTTTTAGTGATTTGAGTTAATCTGCTAACTTGAAGATTCGTTAGCAGATACTAACTGATATCCAAATTACATGAACTAATATCCAAGTACTAAAGTATCTAGAGAGCACAGACTAGTATTCAAAATTTGCTAACTGATATCCACCATGAATCAACTATTATCACAAATTCACAAACTAATATCTAGACAACACAGAATAGTATCCAAACAGCACATAATTAGTATCCAGATAACACATAAGAGTATCCACCCATAAGAGTATCCATATTGAATACTAGTTGGTTGATTGTGGATATTAGTTGGTATCTGCTATATGGATACTAGTTTGTGATGTTTTGAGTACTAGTTTGTGCTATCTAGATACTTAGAATACTTGGATATTAGTTCATACATTTTGGATATTAGTTAGTATATACTAACGAATTTTCAAGTTAGCAGATTAACTAGGTTGGTTGGTAATAGATTTAAGTAAATTAACATTTAGGTTTGAATAGATGATGATGGTGTTTCGTACCATTTATTTATGGTGTCAAGATTGTTATTTTTTTTTATTTAAGTCTGATTGATTTTAAGTTGACTAGATTTCCTAAAATAGTACGGAAAAAATAACTACATTGAGTGATAACAAACATAAATTACCAGTATTGGACCAGATCAATATCATTCTCTTTTCCCTCCAACTTTGAGTTTAACCCTACGAGAACTTGATTTGATTGGAAACCTAAACGAGAACAAATGAAAGCTACTTCTATCGTCAATTCGATGGGATAAAGAACAAATTATGAACTAGTTTACGTAAACATTGCATAGAATGGACAAAACAAATTATAATTTCATAAAATTAAATGGAATTTGGATAAATGGATTCTAACGCAATAACACATAATTCATGTTTTTCATTCTTGATCTACAACTTTTTTTGGGTATAATTTATGGAGAGCTTGTTTTTTGGGTTGGATTAGTGGGGGGAGAACAAGTGATCCCTTCTGTCTCTCACACATCTCTTTATCTTTATTTTGTTCCCTTCATCATTATTTATTTGTTTATCCCTTTTGAAGAAGAAAAGGTTTTAAGTACTTGTCAAGTGAGTTACAAAAATTCGATCACATGAAAAGTAGGGAGATTAAATTGTTCTAAAATTACCGCTTGTGGAAATTACCTCCGCAAAGAAAACATTTTATGTCATATAATCTCTTTTTGGTATAGATATGTAGTCAATGACTACCAAATGAGTTTGGTGTTATATTCGTTGAAGATAATATTAAGAACGAGACATAATGCTATCTTATAGGGAGAAAAAAAAATTCATCGATCCTATCAATTTTCATATTATTATGTTTGGCATTTTGAATGTAGCATAATGAAAAAACTTTACCATCAACTTCGAGATCATTTTAATGACTCAGGGTTGAATTAGCATCTTATATTAACATGTTTGCATATCTATTTAGCAAGAGCGTAGGATGGTGGCCTGATACATAAAGAGAACAACACTGCACCCACTCGGAGACCCATGCATAGGGTATGGTCATGTTAAATTTGGTTATTCTGTCTACAACTCTTCATGCTAGATCTATATGTGGTATAATTATAAGAGAGGGTTACCAAATCGTAAAGATTTTCAAGGTCGATATGGAAGGTGAAACCATTAAGAGAATTGAGATGTTGTGAGACGGTCTCGAGGTGGTAGGGTGTTGAGGTTCAAAGCAATAGCTCTATAGATAGACTTTGGTGACTCTCTCCTTGATCAACATTCTGATTAGTCAAATCTAAACTAAACATATGTTACATTGCTTTGTAATTTGCTATGTTATGACTAAAATGTTTGTCTTGTTCATATAATTCTAGAGATATGATTGAGAATTTTTACCCATCAAATTACAAGACTTTTTTAGGTGCACATATTATTCATTTTATAAACTCCAGCTTTAACTCATTGAATTATGTATTTGCAGTATTACATTATTGCCACTCCAAATCTGGATTGATTTATAATACATATTTAGAGCGCTATTTTACAACCTATTTCTACCAAAAAACCAAACCTTCTCCCCTTCCCTCTCTTCCTCACATCTCCTTCCCCTCTTCTCTCTCTCTCTGTCTGGTAAATACCAAATCGCAATTCCATTTTAACTCATATAAATACAAATCCCAATTGAAATCCAGAACACTGTCAGTAAATTTATAACAAAGAAGAGAGAAAGGGAAGAAGGAAGGGGAAAAAAGGGGAAGAAAGAAAAGAGAAAGAGAACCAAAAAGGGGAGAGAGCCTTAGCTGCTCACACCCTCTTCTTATTCTTTTGTTGTTGTTGTTGTGAGGCCTTCAGATCTTGAGATTCTCTCTCAACTCTCCCCCTCATCTGGGTTCTCTTTCTCTTTGATCAATCAATCAGTTCTTTTCTTTGTTCTTCTGGGTTCTTCTTCCCCACACAGGAAGAAAGGGGAAACATTAAGGAAAAGAGGAGAGAAAAAACTGAAAAGCCTGCTCCTTTTTGGGTAATTGCTATCTGCGTTTTTGGATCTTATTAGTTATTACACATTTCTTCGTCGAGGCTTTTGTCTTCCCTTCATTTGGATTACTGGGTGGCGATCGGTTTCCTTTTGGCCTCATCCTACTTTTCGATCAATCAGTTAAGAGTTCGTAAAGCCTTTCTGGATTGAATCCAAGAGTACCCACTTGAGATAGAGAGACATCCCTGTATATAAACATCTGAGTGAGCTTTTTTTTCTGCTTGATATCTGCGGCAAGGTATTCTTCATTTCTAGCAGCATTTTGATGTTTATTCATAGGTGGATTGCTGGGGATTTTTGGATTGTTCATGGTTATATAGAATTGTGTGTTTTGGTTAACAGATCCCGCTGTTTGATTATCATCAGAATTGCTGAATTGAGAAACGATTGGTTTTTGCAGGATTTGGAAATGGATCTCGGAAAGCTGTTCATTGGTGGGATTTCATGGGACACCAATGAAGACCGTCTGAGAGAGTATTTCCAGGTATTTGGGGACGTTTTGGAAGCTGTGATTATGAAGGATCGGTCCACCGGTAGAGCCCGTGGCTTCGGCTTTGTTGTCTTTGCTGACCCTGCTGTTGCTGAACGAGTTGTGATGCAGAAGCACCTCATAGATGGTCGAAATGTAAGTTCAAGATACTCAATTTTTGGTCCAACAATTCATGATTCGATTTGTGTGTCATTGCTAATTGAAGGTAGTAGTGAAAGTGTGGTTGGCATCAAGGTGACTTGAATTATGGATTTAAAGCTTATGATAAATGGAAATTTGCTTGGGTGCATTGAAAAACATGAATTGTGAATGAACGTCACAATTCACGATTATAATTTCCAGATCATGAATAATAGGAGAGAGTGAGAGATATGAATCTAGAAAGTGATGTCAGTGATCCTAGGTAGGTGCATCATATGATTCTATTTATCACAGTTGATCATTGCTAGGCTGATGAACAATCTGAGATAGACAAGTATTGAGCTTTATATACAAAAAATCGTCCAATGAAAATGCAATGCTAGGATTGATGCATGTCTTCTGATAAGTATGGTTATTTAGTTGTAGTCATCCTTTTGTTTGATGAGCTTTTGATCATCAGGTTGAGGCGAAGAAAGCTGTGCCTAGGGACGATCAGAACATTCTGAACCGAACCAGCAACAACAGCAGCCTTCATGGATCGCCTGGTCCAGCTCGGACCAAGAAAATATTCGTAGGAGGTTTAGCATCGACAGTGACAGAGACTGACTTCAAGAATTACTTTGATCAGTTTGGAACAATCACTGATGTTGTTGTCATGTACGACCACAACACTCAAAGGCCAAGAGGTTTTGGGTTCATCACCTTCGACTCAGAAGAAGCTGTGGATAAAGTGCTGTACAAGACATTCCATGAACTCAATGGCAAAATGGTTGAGGTGAAACGGGCAGTTCCAAAGGAACTATCCTCATCTGGTCCGACCAGGTCGAACCAGTTTGCTGGATATAACTACGGAATTACCAGAGTCAATAGCTTCCTCAATAGCTACTCTCCTCAGGCACACAATCCAACTTCTCTTAGAATGGATGCTAGGTTCATGCCGGTCACTGCAAGTCGAAGCAGCTTTTCTCCATTCAATAGCGGGTATGGATCAGGTCTAAATTTCGAGCAAGGTCTGAGTCCAAGTTACGGTGGCAACTCAAACCTTGGGTCAAACATTGGGTTCGGCCGGTTGAGTCCTTCATACAGTGGCAATTCGAACAGGTACTGGAGCCCCATTGGCTATGGAGGTGGAAATAATTCGGGCTTGAATCCTGTTTCTCGTACTTTATGGAGCAATGATAGCATTTCTCAAAATGCAAACTCAAACGGTGGTGGCTGGAACTCGGGACTCAGTTCCTTTTCTGGAGCTCTTTGGGATTCCTCAGTGAATGCAGGGCCAGGTGGCGGTTTGGGCCCCGCGTATAACAATGTTGCTGGAGGAGAGTTTAGTATTGGACCAGGAGGAGGAGGATATGGGAGAAACAGTGGGGCCGGTTTTGCACCTGTGGCATCGCGTGCTGCTGCTGCAAATGGAGGTTATGATAGGACGGCTTATGCTGACATTTACGATAATAGTTCGCTCTATGGAGATTCTTCCTGGAGATCCTCAACTTCCGAGTTGTTTGATTCCGGAATTGGAAATGCAGCTTCGGATGTTATTACCAAGAATACTGCAGCTTATGCTGGTGGTTATGGCATTGCTGATAGACAGTCAGATAGAGGTAAGTTCACGCCTTTGCTCAATATGAACATGCTTGTTTGCTGAATTTTTGTTTCTCATTTTTGGGCTATAACCAATGCATGAGATCAATACTTGTTTAGCCACAGAAACAGCTTGCATTTACCTTAAATTGTCTGTTTCTTGTTTGTTTGACAGCTTCCCGAGCTTTGCCGGCTAAGATTCTTGTCTTTTCTTTTTGGTTTTATTTTTCTGTTTCAGGAATTGCTGCTTAGGATGAAAACAAAGATTGCTGCTGTTGGTGAAAGAGTACATCATCAACATTTGAAGTAAATGTGGTACATTACATGTTTCTTGGACCTGAAGTTTACTTTCTTACCTTTTTTTTCCTTACCCCCCTTTGATGTTTATGTGAGGAGGAACTTGAGATTAGAGCTAATCAATTTATCGACGATATGGTTAGAGAGCAGAGCAGGAGAGAACAATTCAGTCAGGAGGAATTTCTTGTGTAAGGTTTGAGCTTTGAGGAGGAGTTTTTTCTTCTTTTTTTTTGTTTTGTTATCGTCTTATTTTACTATATATAGTGGTTTTAATTTCCTTTTCTCCTTCCCAACTTGGGAATATCTGGAACTCTTAAGATGTAAAATCAGGAGTTTGTGGGTATACATCAGAGATACTGTATCAGTGTTGACAGAGATACAGAAGGCCACCCAAAAAAAAAAAAAGATATGAACATGAAGAACAGTGTTTTGTTTGGGTGTTTTTTTTCCTTCATTTTTTACTCTTTTAGTTATTTTCTTTGGGTATTGGGTTCTTCAAGTTCTTCATGTGGCAGCAGAAAACTGTTTAGTCCTTGTCAAGTGCGGATTTGGGTTCTTAATTAGGGTTTGTACAAGTTGATTGTTTTTCACTAGTTAAGAGGGATAGTTACTACTTTCCATTCCCTCTTCTGGAAATAATAATTTTTACAGAATACTGATTTATGTCCATCGCTCCATTATTTTTTGTTGGGGATAGTATTTACTAATTCAGCATTTTCTTTCGAGTTCGGTGTAGCCCTACCTAATAAAAGTTTAGAATCTTTATTGTCAAGGAAATAAAAAGTGAGAAGTGATGGTACTTTGGAAGCCCTACCTAATAAATGTTAAGAAACTATTTTTGGTAAGGAAATCTTATTGTACTACTTTAGCCTCAACATAAGAGTGGTTTGTAAATTTTGATTCTAGAAAATGTGTATATTTGACAAGGTTAGTTCTAGGAATTGTTTGATTATAGCATTGAAGAAATGATGTACACTCAAGAACAAAATATATGTGTCAACTCACCTAGATAGTAAGAAAGGCTACGCATAATAATTAGCTTATAATTTTCCTTTGCACGAGATTTTAACAAAGACCTACTACTCAACCAAACTTCGATCTATACTTCTTGACACCACCCTAGTTATTTTTATCTCCTACTCAATAACTACTTAGAGAATGAACATTTCTACTATTTATTAGGGTGAAGCGGCAGATTCAGATTAATAACCTATACAAAAAACTTGATATCGATAAATAAACATACTATTGTGTTAGTTACTCCAATTATTATTAACAAATTCGTTAAGAGTCAATCCCACTAATTTGATTGCTAATGACCCTAAAATTTTAGAGATTATTTTTGTAACAATTGACAAAAAAAAAAAAAAAACGAAAACACCGATGCATTTTCACATGGGATCTATTTGGTTGATTATTTTTGTGATTCTGTGATGCAATTGAAACGTGCTTGTTATAAACGCGCTGCTACGGATCGGGAAATTGCCGGAATCGATAAAGCAAGAATACGAGAGCGAGAATCGAAAGAACACAGACACACGATTTACGTGGTTCACTAACACGATGTGTGTTAGCTAGTCCACGGGCGAGAGAGAGCCAGTTTCACTATATCTGAGGAGATTACCGATTACAGAGGAGTATGAGAAGTATTTATAGTACTTCTCCATGTGGGTCTAAACCTAATCCAATCTAGCAAAGGAAACGGTTACAGACCAGGCCCAGAACCCGAACCCAAATAACATTGAGCTCATACACCGTGGGCCGGGGGCGTTGCCCCCGCACCCCCACCGGGGCGTTGCCCCTGGACCCCCCGGTTACCAGTCGTAGCGGCTGATAATCCGATTCAAGTCATATCAACAGTGCTTTATATATAGTTCATATTTTGACCACATCTATCTCCAACTCTATCTTTTCTTCTTGGTTTCCTATGGAATTGGATAGCTCCTTGAATAAGATCAAAGTGTGTGGCCAACCCCACCTACCTAATATCCTTCACGTATTCATTCAGAATTTTGCATGAATGGTCACTTTACTAAGGGAATACTAATGATAAAATTTGCAACAACTAACTATAATAATTTCGGCCGGATTGTCCATCCAAATTGTTTAATATAATGTGTCAAATCATCTAAATTATAAATAATTGATGGGATACATAGACACCAATCAAGTTAAATGAACCATCCTTTTTACCTCATATACGACTCAAACTAAACTCATACCCTAAGCGAATTTCAATCAGCAGTAGTGGCCGTTTAACTAATTCATTCCCTTCCCTACGCAATAACTATTTAGATCTTTACATTTGAATGAGTTGACAGATCAATAAATATACGAAACTGGACAACGATCCACTTTATTCGTGATTATTCCGAACTTCACTGTAAAAAAAAAAATCATAACTTAAGTGACTGATTTATGATTAAAACCTTCAAAGTTCAATCTTTCTTTTGGAAGTAACTTTAGCTTTCTCCCCACCATCCATTTCCAAGAACGCACTATTAGGCAATTTACGCCAAACATCCTTCTCATTGGTCATGGGTGGATTCTCCTTCACCTCCCAAATATGGCAAAATCCCCACCACCACTTATTTAATTTTTGTTCTTTCATTTTGCCCCCACAAATTCATATGCTCAACATACATATAATAATAAATGAAAGCCGCAAGAACACCCACGTTTGCTGAATTTTGACCCTACAAACTTACCCATTTCTTCATCCCACTTGAGAAACAAAATGCGACACTATGGTCCAGCAAATTGACAACATTCCGCATACAGCTACCCCAAAGCAAGTCATAATTGCGAAAACTGACTGTTTCTGAGAAACAATTGGTGGTATCTATGGCTCCAACTTTGTCTATTACATCGAATATAAAAGGGAAAAGGACCAAAATGAATCAGAATTCAGCTTCAACAACAGTAATGGCCCTCTCCCACTCACTATACCAAAGGAAAGCCCCCTAGCTCTGACATTTGCTTCCCCTCTACTACTAGTTTGATAGTACCCTCTACTTAGATGGCAAAAAATAGTGTATCGAATGTAATCGTCACTCAAATTAGTTACACTTAAGACTTAAGTTCGGATCACAAAAGGCTGTTTCATATGACAGCAGAAGCAGAATGATATTAACAGTTTGCGATTGTTGAAGGCGATGTAGTGACTGAGGCTTACTACATATGAGCATCATCCACCCTTTTTCTCCATCCGCTCCTTTTCCAGGATGAACATGCCTTCTTTGTACTTCTGGCTCTCCTCCTTAGCTATCTCCTGAAGAAAAAAATTCATATCATGGTTGGAAAGAGCGAATCAGTTAGTAAATCGAGCAAATGCAATGGAACGATTAGCATCATACTTTTACAGTTACTATCGAAAAGACAAGATGCAAGACCAATGCTGTTTCAACTGGAATGGATACGAACGATTAACATGGAGGGGAAGTTTCTTCCTTAATGTTTGATTAGCAGAAATGAATTAATATACTAGAATGCAAGTTGGGGGGCCAACTCGGTGTCCGATAATCACAGACAGCATGAATGGTGATGCACATGATGAAGGTTACAACTCACAAGTCAATCAATATTCAATACCAACAATCTGTTAAAAATGAACTCTTAGCTAGAAGAACCTTACTGGCAATCCACACATGATTAGGTACACATGTGACATTAAACTATGCCAACACGGTCAAGTAAAGTAAGTATTCTGCTCTGCCCTGTCTTAATATTCTGTCCTATGCACGTAGTAATCCGCAAGCAACTACGTGTTTATCTGAATAATAAGGTCTGCCAGTAATGCAGTGGAAGAATCCACTACGTCTATGTCAATGAAAATGGAAAAGAAAAAGAGGGTGTATCATCTTACATATCTCCAACCGACTAGCTGCATGCAAGAGCTGCAGTAGATGTCATTAACAACATGAAATCCGCTTGAAAGAAATCGCGGTTCGCTGGATCCGATTACTATATTGACCCTAAAAAAACAGAAGATATGGGAAAACAATAAGGTTAGATGATTAAACACAATCAAACTCGACTGCATTTTGCCAACAATTCATCTGTGTATGTGTCAGGTGCATTCACTAAGGACATGATTGAGCTCAGCTCTAGATCCAATCCAAAACCAACTGCAAGATTCGGATGTCTAGCAGAAGAGAAAGTACTGTTAACCAAGTTGTGATATTATCTATTGCAAAAGCCGCCAACGAAACAAATCTGTCGTTCTCCCCATTATCAATCACCTGAAAAAGCTCACTTGGAACGTGCATAGACACCACAGGCTTTCACATTCTGCCAAAAAGAGAATCAAGAAGCAGTTCCCCGCAAATCTCCATGTGAGCTCCAAAGGACCTCTTTTTCTAACTAATTACTAAAATATCTCTTTAAATAACTGAATCCTTCGAATTTCCCTCTATAAAATCTATTTGGCGTTTCCTTCACAAGGGGTTGCCTACCGTAGTGGTGGTGAATTTGGTTTATTCATCGCTAAAGATGCTATCTTTCTATCGATTCTAGGCCATCGAGATTTCTGTTTCCTGTGGCTAATCACACGCAACGGGTTGGCCAATCTTGGGCAAAGTTCTTACTTCCTAGCATAGCAGAAAGATCTCCATTGAACAGACCAATTCTACTAATCTTTACTCTGCGGGCTCAATCACTAAGAATCCCAACTTGGCAACCAAATCAGAACTCACAGTTTCTTTACTCTTCTAACAGACAATGCATCAAACACCTTAGAGACACAACCCCAGATCAAGAAAGGCAAAGAAGAGAAGGAGAAATTGCAGGGGTGGAAACTCACACTTTCCTGAAGAGATAAGCGCGGCCATAGCGACCCTGAAACTCCTTGGACTCGATGTCATCGTAGGAAGCGGAATCGACCCTGCAGCCCTTGCACATGAGCACCTTCTCTCCCTTCGCATCCTCTATGAACAATCTCCCCATTTCTGCTTGCTTTCTTCCCCCCCTAAACGGAAGAACACCAAGGAAATGAGAAAAGATCATTCCTTTCCGGCCCCCCCTCTAAATACACCCCTTTTCCCCAGAATCAAAACCACTAATTTCTTACGATCTGAAGAACTTCCGACTGAGAAATCGATGGTTCTCCTCGGAATCGAAAACGGCGAGCTAGCTTTCTTTCTTTCTTTCTTGCCCTACCCTCGCCGTCGGCTCCGCCAGCCTATTTGGGGGCAGAAGGGCTGTGACCAAGTGTGATGAAGCTGGACCAGCGGAGTAAGTCTCCGTTTAGCGAGAAAGATAAAAGAAGGAAGAAAGACGTTCCTCTGACTTCCGCTCTTATTAGTGGTGACGGTTTAACCGAAATGACGGCCAAAAGTAATTAACTACCAAGTAACGACATCGTTCCTTCGCGCCATCGCTTAACGGTTTTGGAAAAGGGAACGCAACTGTGGGCGACTGAGAAACGGTGTCGTTTCAGCTATGAGGATTAGACATTTCCAAATCTCTTAACAAATTGATGATTATTAATTAGTGTTTCTGGTCATGGCTATACAAGGAAGACTAGTTAGGCAAAAGATCACACACTATGATGGAATGAAACCAATTTCATGACAACATAAAATGATCATAAATCGACGGAACAAAAAAAATCATTTGTCAAAGGAGGAAAATAATTAATAAATTTAATAATTACATCATACCATATTTTATATTAAAGACTGCAATCGTGCATTTTGTTAGTCACGACTAGGGGGATCGAAATTCAACAACAAAAGCTACTTTACCAAATTCAATTAGATCCAAATGCAACAAAGTTCATCATTCAATTATGAAAACTTGAATTGCGAACCCTTACTACGATTAGAAAAACAAGCAACAGAAGCTACTTTATGAATATAATTGAGTAGAGAAGGGCCAAAATCACCATAGGACTTAAAAGGAATTTCATAAACATTTGTGAACCCCCTTCTTCAGATAATCATCTCATTTACATTTTGCCCACTCCCATAGACAACACTGATCTCTCTAAATCATCTGGCCACATGAACAAGTCAACTACATGGAGACACAAGTGAATGGAGAAGAACAACAAGAACCCTAATTTCTTCATACGTAGCTTCTAGCTCTAGGGTGGGGGGCAACACATATACTTCATTCAAATGCTAAACATCTAATCACAAACAAAAGAAACTTCCTTAATCCTTCACCTAAAGCTCCAAGATCAACAACACCCGCCGCCACCTTGTTTAGCTGCCTCACCCTCTGGATTTTCACCGCCTGGTTCATCATCTCTCTGTAGAACCACTGTCTTCCCATTCCCCATCTCCGGGGCATCCTGTTTCTTGAGCTCCTGAGATATGACTTTCCGGCTCAATATGTTGTAGATCTCCTTCACAACCGTCTCGAAAGCAGCTGTCACGTTGGACGAGTCCAGAGCAGAAGTCTCCATGAAGAACAAACCTTGTGCCTCTGCTAAAGCCTTCCCTTCTGCTGTGGGCACTTCTCTCGCATCCTTGAGGTCCGATTTGTTGCCCACAAGTATCGTTACTACATTCATGTCCGAGTGAGCTGAAAATAATACAATCTTTCAGTCTAACTTCTTATAAACAACTATTGAAATGGACCCAACAAATCTTCTACTATGAAAATAAAGTTTCTAAAGCAAAAACCAAAACGATTACATCTTTACTTTTGGTTTGAATAATGAACACATGTGATTAATCTGTAGATTCTGTCCAATGACAGGCTATATGCATATGCAAAGAAAACAGAAAGCATTTTCTCTGACATAGTACAGATAAAAGTTCTGCTTAAAGAAAAGATCATCTTCAGAAGATGCCAACATCCAAAGATGTGAGATCTAAGTCTGAAAGATCCAAACTTCAATTCAAGATCAGCTATGGAGAAAGGACCAAAAAGAAATATGCTTACTGTGAAGTTCATTGAGCCATCTGCCTATGCTCTCGAAAGTTTGGCGTCGGCTGATATCATACACCACAAGTGCTCCAACAGCCCCTCTGTAATAAGCAGATGTAACAGCTCTAAACCGCTCCTGGCCAGCTGTGTCCCAGATCTGTGCTTTAACTTCTTTACCATTGATATCGATCTTCTGAGTTTGGAACTCGACCCCTATGGTTGATTTTGAATTAGGATAAAATTCATCCCTCGCAAACCTGGCCAGCAAATTCGACTTCCCAACAGCTGAATCACCGATCAATACTACCTTGAACAGGTAATCATCCGCACTATCCTCTTCAGAGTAGAATGCCATCTTCTTCCAAGCTTCACAGTTTCCTACACCCTATGGAAGCATATTATAATCCAAATCTTCCCGATGAGTATTTTGCTTGAGTGCCAATTCTCCCCTGGCTAAGATAAAGGAGGTAGAGTTTAGAACAACCCAAGAAAACTTGGAAGGTGGGGTAAGCATAAAGATAGCAGGGGCCAGTTGGGTAGAGACATAAGGAGAAGAAAGATACTCTATTCCTTTTTAATCAATCCATCATAAACCTTCCATCGCATATAATATATAGCATTGCAGTGATTATCTTATATGCAAGTCATGATTGAACCTTGATATATTTCTTATTACACGCAATTTGTTCATCTTTCCTAATGCGTTTAAGACTAACCCTTTTCATGAAAAGTTACAAAAATCAGTAGTATTCTTAAACTGGAATCTCTAGCTATAATGCTTCCAAGCTTGGCCACCCCACAAAGCTCAACTCCACAGAACAGTGGACTCAGCAAAATTAGGCTTAGCCTTAGAAAAACTGGAGAACAAAGGACAATCATTTTTCCAAATCCCCATAAAAAGAGCAGACAACTTCAGGGCCGTACATTTACTTCAAATGAGCAAACTGCACACTTAAACAGAGTTTTGGAAAAGAAAGATGTAATGAAATACAGAACAGACCCAAATGAACTTAGAAAAATGATCCCTGGCCTAGCTGAGACGCAGTAGCAGGTAGCATCACTCAAGTGATAAACAAAAGGAAACCCTCTCAAGCCCCAAGAACGGATTCTTTTTTAAACCCCTGGAATTGAAGGGTAAGGCAAATCAACAGATCACAAAAAAGAACCGGCTGCCATTGCCGGATCAGAACTGGAGAAAACAGCCAAAAGGGTCGAACTATAATCATCACCCCCACAAACCCCCGCGAAAAAAAAGGAAAACCTTTTTCTCATTTTCTTCTCCTCCCGCGAAGAACCCTAAAAGCAGCCCACAAATGAAAATGGCGGGGAGCTAGTAAGATGAATTTACCCGGGAAACGACCACGGCACCCTCTTCCTTGCTTTCCTTTCAATTGGGTCTCCGGCGAGAGAACAAAAACAGATGGGAAGTAACGGAACAACCCAACACCAGTAACAGCAGGACTACTGGGGGTGGATCTGATCGAGCAAGGATTTCACCAATGCAAGCGAGACAAAGTGAGATAGAGAGATATACGAAGAACAATGAATCAGAAATGTAGGTCTGATTTGAATTGAATTTGGATTGGGGTTAGGTAACGGAAGGAGAGAAAGATGGAATAAGAAGGGCTCGTTTTTTAGGCTGAGGATGGAACGGAAGGAAAGAGAGAGATGACTGGACAATTGAAGAAGAAGTGAGAGCGAAGGAAGGAAAGGGAAAAAGGGAAGAGAAGACGGAGACGGACGGGGGAGAGAAGTGGGACCCACCCAATTGAAAGCCTCGACTCGAAGCCAGATGGTGCCGTCACAGTGGGCCCGCGGGTCAGGGAGGGATTTAAGTTTGGGCCCGACTGGTCCGTTTTCCCTTAGTGGGCCAGTTATCCACGTACTGTTTTCTTTTGTCGTTTTCGGGCTTTCAGTCCACTGGATGGATTACGAATTTTACTATATGGTTCACTCAGTTACCATCCTTGGTCGGTCCAAGGAAGGGAGTTCAGCACTATGAATATATGTGGTTGGTTTACACTTTACATGAAGTGATTTTTCCTCACTAAATTATATAAGTTTTACCAAGGAATGCAATTCGATTGTGATTAAAATGGACAAAATGTACTTTCGATCATATTTTGATTCTCGAGCTTCTTTATATATCTGGTTTTCTATCTCGATACTTTCCTAAATCAATATTAATGTTGGCTATAGGTGTCTTTCCCTTGTATAGTATCCAGTAGGAAGGAGTATCTTACTACCAAGATAAATGGAAAAGGAAATAAGGGTTTGGGGAATTCTCACCTAGTATAATGAATGAATGGAAGGAAATCATAAATGGCAAAACTAGGTAGATCCAACTCAAATCACATAAAAATAATAAACCGACTCATTAAGAACGTCATTGAATTCAAATTGTATCACGAATTGATGTGATAATCCAACCCATATATAACCATGGTAACGACGAAGTGTAGAACAACAAGTAATGCAGTCAAAAGCGCGATTCTATCTAGAAACGGTTGGGTGACTAGAAGCGTAAAATCATAAGTTTTTAAGTTTTAAAGGGTAGATTTTAACTACATGTTTAAGGAAAAATCACGATTCTACATAGAAGCGTTTTAGTAACCTATAAGCTTTTAAGTTTTAAAGCGCGATTTTAACTGCATTGACAACAAGTAGTCAATCCTCAACAAAATGACATAACAGAAGCTATCTATAAGAATGAGAAATTTGCACCGGCCGGCTATGATCACATGATTAATCAAGACGGAGATGGGACATTGCGGCGTCGCAAATGCTCAACCACCGCCGTAGCTTCCGAAAGCTCTGCTTGAATGAGCGATACTTCTTCTTGCCAAGCAATCAACACCCTGTCCCCAAGCAATCCCTCCTCCTCCTCTGTTTTTCCCCTGACAACTTCCCCTGAAGACGGTGCTCTGCCTCCATCTCCTCCTCCCGCCTTATTCCGATCAATGTCATTGTCGCAATGTTGCCTGGCCTTAAGTACTGCAGTCCAGTCGTCGCCGCAGCGGTTCTCGTCGTCGTAATAAGTGGAGTGCAAGGTACAGAACCGCGTGACGAACGTAGCAATGTAGAGACCTGCAAAGGAGGCGAGAGCGAGGACGAGGTCCGGTTCCCACGTGAACGATGGCGGGATGGTGCTTAAGAACACAATCGTCTGTAGGTGAACAATTACACACAATGACTCGTAGAATTGGAGAGCGTCGTATAGTGGAGTGGCAGGGAGGACGGAATTCATCAGATTGTATGCCTTCCTCACTCCGATCGTTTCCGGTCTCTGTTTCTTCGCAAGAAAACAGAGCAATTACATGCCGTCACAAGAAGAAGAACAAAAACAAAAAAAATTGTAATTTACAGTGTATGAATGGAGTTGGGCTTGCTTACCGTTTTGTGGAGGTAACGAACAAAGAACCAGCCTTGGAAGAAGACGATGATGGCGATCATGAATACGAGTCCATGGAAGAATTCTGGCTGGAGGGATTTGTTGGAATCGGAGAGGCGGATGAGCAAGAAACAAGTCAGGGTGAAGAAAGCTATCCTTTCGATCCAGAAGAGGACTCGCTCCACATACTGAATCACTTCCTTTGCAGCTAATTTCATGGCTGCAGAGCAAAGCTTCCTCGCCATTATGATAGAAGATTCGTTACGTGCCTTTTTTTTCTTCTTCCAGAGAATAGATTTAGAGAGAGAAGAAAATATAGACTGATTCGTTGAGAGATCGGTGAAAAAGTTGTTGTGCATTATTAACAGTACTACCCACACTCTAATACCTCCAAATTGATGGTAATTTATTAGCATAATATCGGAGTTGAAATAAAATTGGTATAAAAAAAATATTAGATGGTCAATAAAAAAAGATTAAAAAAAAAACACAAAATGAAAGGAAAGAGATAGTCACTAATATTACGGGTGAAAGTGATTTCACAATCAAATCCAACCCTAATTAGTTAAGATTAACCTCCATAGATATGCCCGAGAGGCAGCAAACTCCCGTTGGATAATGTCATGTGCATTTATTTAATAATAATTATTATTTAATTAGAGATTGTTAGGGATGGGATAATGACGTGATTAGTGGGAAGTAGTAGGTTAGTGGTTATGTTTTCGTTTGGGTTTTCTAGTTCGTACGTAGGATTATTAGTTTTCATTCTCTATTTAGTATTTATAGTAGCAGATGTGTCTTAATTTGAGAGAATGAATCTTTAGCTATTTTAATTTGTGGGCACTTCAATTACCACCGGTTCTTGTGCTAGCCTGAATCTTTGTACCCGGCTCGTTAGCCGAGTAATTTTCACTTATCATTTTATGCCGAAATTTCATTATACATCTAAGATGAGTATGGAATTTATGAACATGTCTAAATTGATGTTATTCATATTATCAATGTTACTTAAACATAATTTATTATACATTGTTAGGGGTATGCTAAGGAGAGAGCCGACATTGGAATTTTGAACATATCGGACTAAATATAAGGTGATCTAGTTTTTGATTCTATGAATATTGAAGAAAAGATGGACTAAATTAATATTTGGACAAATCGAATGCAGTGATGATTCGCAAGTAGTCAATCCTTAGCAAAATAACATAACAGATCGAAAAGATTGGCCAGGATGTTTATTTTGATCAAAGTTCAGACCATACGAAAATATTAACCTTTAATATTAAGATAAGGATATTTCTTTTCTACCCAACGCACTGAAGAGTAGCTTAGGGTTCCAAAATTTATAAATAGCTTCAATAGATATCAAAGTGAAATGATTATATCTCAAGTTATTCCCAACACCAAGTTAATACACTAAAGGAGTTCACTCAATACACTATTAAAGGTAATCGAAATTGGGTGTGTGATCGTAAACTATAATTTATTTGTTACATTGTAACTTTTTCGAATGCTACCCAAAATTCTTAATAAAAGAAAGTGTTTATCATAAAATCAACTCAATGAATTTAAATCTTTCATCTATAAACATAAACAATAAAAACACCAAGCAGCCAATACATATGACGAATACACTACACCCTAGTGTTAGAAAGAAAACGTAGTTATACCATGTAATCATGTTTTACTGATTGTATTTGGTTGTATTATGCAATCCGTGTGTGTATATATATATAGTGCCTTCTACGGTAACTCGGGTGAAACCCGGGGTACTGCATACCTTAAGTATGAAAACGCTATCTAAACCTCGAATTAGCAGGATTTTTGTGCATGATATTATATCCTAACCCTAATGAGTGAACCCTAGGTCCTAATTATCTAAATCATAAACTATAAACCCTAAGATGGTGCATTGAATTTTTTGCCTATATTTGGACGAATCATAATCGTCGATTATTGTCTATAATTAAATTGATCCTGGGGTATAAGATTTAGAGAATTAAGACCTAGATTTTGATCCTTAAGGGTTCGAGTATAATATCATGTCCGAAAGATCAGTCAATTCAAATTCTAGATAGTATTTTCTTACTCAAGGTATGCGGTACCCCAAATTTTACCATGGGTACCGTAGAACTGCCATATATATATATATATATATATATATATATATGCTTTGAGAGTTCATGATATTCACCACATTCAAACTTAATATGAACAATCCTACGACCAAATCCTAAACTCCAAATTTCCTTCCACTTCATTCTTGTTCTTGTCACTGACTCATATACTTAAGAAGACATATTTGCAGAAGTGTTTGGACGCTTTTAAAATTTGTAGTAGACTTGGGATAAATTTTCAACAAATACAATTTACATTCAATAAGTTATTAAAGCGAACATTATCATGTGTTGTGAAGTCAACATTACTAGCAAAAAAGCTAACGAGAAGTGAAGGTTTGCGTGACTTGAATGCTTTAGCTAATAATTTAAAAATTGTATTTAATCTTACTGGATTTCTATTTAACGCCCTAATTTTTTAAAAAGTTCGCCCTAAATTAACCAATTAGACGATATTACCCCGATTCTTAAAGCAGTCGCCCCCAATCCCTAATCCCTAGTTTTGCTTTGTTCGTCGCCGGCGGAAGGATATGTTTTGCTTTGTTCATCGCAGGTAGCTCAAGAAGACACCGATGGATTCTTCACCCACGCCCCCAATCCATCACCCTCAATCTGCTCGTCGCGCGGCTGCTCTACTGCGTCTCATCTCCGTCGCCAGGCCTGGCGCTGCGTCGATCGAGGACGTAGAAGAGACAAAGGAATCCTACCCCGCCGGCCACCTCTGCTACTGCTGGGTTCTGCTCCGCCGGGATTAATCGTCTGCCAATTGATGGTTTTCGGAGGAGGAAGAAGGAACCACCCCGCCGGTTCTGCTGGGTTCTGCACAGTCGAGGAAGGTGGGTCGCAGGTTGGGTGGAATTTGGGGATGGGATTAGGGCGATGGCGGTGATGACGAGGCAGACCGAGTAGCACTCCCTACCAACGTGAGGAATCCCTAGGTCGAGCGATGTAGCGGAAGGAAGTTGCGGCGGCGACGGTGAAGACTCCCATGGGAACGACGACTACGAGGAATAATTCTAGGATGAAGGTTTGTTAGAGACTGGGGATAAAAAATGGGACAAAAATGTCAAATTGAAAAATTAGGGCGATAAATTTTAAAAATCTAGGGCGTTAATTAGTAACTCCCTCTTTTATGCCCTATTAGCAAAGCAATAGTATCTATTAAATAGTCCACACTAATAACAATTAATCAAAGGCTAAGGATTTGTAAAAAAAAAAAAGTAAAAAAAGGCCAAAACCCGATGTGGTGTTAGTATATGAGTCCGGCCCATAAGGCCATCCACAATGGTGGAAGGGAAAAGAGGAAAATTTGAGTGGGAAAAGTGGGAAAAGAGGGTTTGGCCAAATGGTTGAGAAGGGAAAATAGGATAATTGATAAAGTTTTTTTTTGTTGCCAAAATCAATTTTGTGTTGATTTCATTACTTTATTAAGATAATATATTCATTATTTTTATATAGGTACTAATAATTAATTAAGACGAACATTTTGATATAATTTTTTAAATTTGGACATAATTTTGTTATCACTAATTAAATATGACGTCATCAATAACGAAAAATATAGATGTTGGAAATGTGATTGTTGGAAATATTGCTGTTAAAAAATATGATCGTTAGCCAATAACACACAATTATCACTAATTAAAACAACTAAACCTATCAAAAAAGAAAACAAAAACAAAAACCATCGAGTCCCACCCATCACTTTCTCTTTTACCCTCCTCCATTTATCTTCTAGTGGAGGGAAAACCCTACCACTTTTTTCATTCTTCTCTTTTTTTCCTTTTTTCCCCTATCTTATTGTGAGATTTCCCACCCTTTTTTCCCATGTTCCCTCTTTTTTCTCATCTTGTTGTGGGTAGTCTAAGACCATCGACAATGGTGGAAGGGAAAAACGGGTGAAAAGGGTTGGAAAAAAGGGGGAAAAGGGTGGAGGAAAGGAATTGGTCACAATAGGTGGGAGGGGAAAAAGGGTTATGGGGAGAGGTTTTTTTTTCCAAAATCAATCTAGAGTTGATATGATAATTTTATTTTGATGATTTACTTATTATTTTTAAACAGGTAGTATTAATTAATTAAGACGAACATTTCGATATCTATATATTTTTAATATGGACATAATTTTTTTATCGCTAATTAAATATGACGTCATCCATGACGAATCTCAATAATTTGAAAAATACTATAACTCATCACAAGTTTCACAAAATGAGTGGTTCCATCAATAATTTGCAGAATATCCTTCTCCAATTCTTTTCGAGAAAGCTGGTGAAGATTGATAACGACCTTTAATAGGATCTTGTGAAACTTACATCCAAGCTTGGCACAAAACAAGGTTTTCAGGCGTTGTGTAATTCGGATTGCGCTCGCTGCCAGAAGAAGCCATGATTACGATTACAAAGTGTTTGGGAAGAAGAGAATTTTTTGTTTAGAAGGTAGGAAGAGAGTTTGATAAGTGTTGGAAGAAAGTGAAATTGAATTCTATTTATAGAGCTGAAAAAAATATGGTCGTTGGAAATATGACCGTTGAAAAAAAAATCGTTAGAAATATGACGGTTGTAGAATATGGCCGTTGGCCTAAACTTACAAAAAAATCATTTAAATTCAAGCGGTTAAAAAAAAAGGACACCAGTCGCGTTGCCCAATCATCTTCTTCCACCAGCAACCCACTTTTTCCTCCTTTTGTCTTTTTCAGAAGGGTAAACCCTCCCCCAATAGCCTTCTTTTCATTTTTAGCCTTTTTATCCTCTCCTATTGTAGACTTTCCCCTCTTTTTTTTCCCCCTTTTGCCCCCTTTTTTTCAATGCTTGCTGTGGGTGGTCTAGAGAGTTTATGTCGAGGGGGGGGGGGGGGCGAGAAACGAACAAAATCTAATAGATGTATACTTTTTTTTTGTCATAAATAGTTTGTAATAGATAGGACATTACAGTTGCTGTTAGGGTCTACTGTAATGCCCTAGAAACAAACAGAATCTAATAGATGTATACTTTTTTTTTGTCATAGATAGTTCGTAATAGATAGGCCATTACAGTTGCTGTTTGGGCCTACTTATGGTCACCTGCTTGGGCTGAGACTTAATTAACTTGATTAGTAGTACATCACGGTTTGGGCCTGTTAACAAAGTGGCCCACACCATCCCAACCTTGTAAACCCTAGCAGACGTCGCTAGATCCTAGGCTATATATAAACCAGTCTCCCGGGCGGACACAGTATCCTAAAAAGAAACCCTAGAAACTATCCACAAAAAGAAAAGAAAAATGAGTTAAAAAGTTAGAAAAATCTCTCTGTCTCTCTCTCCCTCTCTATCCACCGTCCCTCCTTTCCTTCCTCGCCGGAGACGTTGGCGACGCCAAGAAAGCCTCCCGTTTCCCTTAGCTCCTACACCGGCTTCTTCATGCTGCACTCGTTCTTCACCTGTCCCACCCTCTTATACGCGGGGTACCACAACCACACCGTCCGAGCCCACCTGCCCTTCATCTACCGACTCGATGCCTTCGGAAACTACCTGCTGGTTGTTCTGGGCATCGCCGTCACCCTCATCATCGGCGCCTTCCACCAGTCGTCGGCGACGCTTGTCAAGTCATGAATCGCCGACGATTCCAGCATCCAGGTGAAGGGTGTCAAGAACCAGTTGATCCCAATAACTCGAGTTGTTGCGAGAGGTTTAATCGTGGATCATACACACACTAACACGCCCCCTCAAATGAAAGCCACTCACAAGGGATTGAAATTTTCAAATACCATGTGCTTAATAAATGGGGTCACCGGGAATCGAACACAAGACCTCTCGGTTATAGAATGATCTGATACCATGTCAATAACCAGTTGGTCCTAATAAGGGCAAGGGCACCATCATCGATTGGGTGCTCACCGTCGCCGGTATACGGCATTGGAGGACCTGAAATCCAAGAAGGGGATGAGAATAAAGGAATTCCCTTGAATGCTGGAGGAGGTGGTCTAGCTTGAGAAATCGAACAAGAGATCACAAGGAGAAGGAAGATGTGACAGCGGGTGGCTGGTGTTTGTTGTCTGTCTGTACGCAAAAAAACCTTCGGAGAGAGAACGCATGAGTATTATTATTATATAATATAATAATAATACTTATTATACAATACTTAGAAGAAAGGCCCAAATTGTGACTTTGTGTCATACAACACCACCTCCACCAACTCTTTTATACATGACCATGGACATTGCCACGGACTAACTCTTGGTCGTGCGGCACTTAGCACTTAAGTCTCGTTAGAGCGCTAAGTTAGCCTTGCTCGTATTCACTCAAACTCACAAGTGTAGAGAAAACTCTAGAGATGGAAAGCTCTCTTATTTCTGGATGATGACAAATGAGGGAGAGGGATGCTTATATATGCATCCTCTCCACTAAGTACTATATATGTAGGCGTCATTAATGAACGAACCTAGAAATCCCCCCATACATGAACGATAATTAATAAGGTGAATGTATGTTCACCCATACATGAATCATAAGAAATAAAGTGGATGAATGTACATTGGTGGATAAATTTGAAGATGCATGCATGTACCCAGGGGCGGAGCTACACATAGGCTCGGGGGGGGGGGGGGGAGAGTTTCCGAATTTACGTATAAACTATATCGGTATTTGAAAATTTCGTATAAACTGATGGGTTTGTATAAATTGGTTTAATGTGCATTATTGAAACATGAAACTAAACTAGGCCAGTGGCCGGAATCCTTCTATTGCATCCATCAAATTGTGGATTCTCAATTCTGTAATTTCCATCAGATTATGGGTTCGAAATCCAGAGGGGGCATATTGTAATTTTATTTTTACTCTCTCATTAACTTTAACTTTTATTTTAATTTTAGTTTTAATCTCTCATTAATTTTTATCTTATGGATTCTCAATTCTGTAATTTCCATCAGATTATGGGTTCGAAATCCAGAGGGGGCATATTGTAATTTTATTTTTACTCTCTCAATAACTTTTATCTTATGGATTCTCAATTCTGTAATTTTATTTTTACTCTCTCATTAACTTTTATTTTAATTTTAGTTTTAATCTTTCATTAACTTTTATCTTATGGATTCTCAATTTTGTAATTTCCATCAGATTATGGGTTCGAAATCCAGAGGGGGCATATTGTAATTTTATTTTTACTCTCTCATTAACTTTTATCTTATGGATTCTCAATTCTGTAATTTCAATATGGTTTCTTAACTCTTTTATTTTCAAAATTAAGTTTTATATGGATTCAAATTGATGCTTTGATAATATTAAAAATTTATTTTGATTATTGTTTTTGCTTAATTTTATTGTCTTTTCGCAGTAACAAAATAAATCCCCCTTCGGAACGTCAAATTCTATCTTCGTTCTAACTCAAAGATGAAATGCATTTTATGCACTTTCAACTGCAACTGATAAATCAATACTAATTTTAGAAGCACATAAATTAATGGAGTCATAAACAAAACTTATGGATAAGACGTATTCACCTTTTTGAGTTTGTCTACACAAAATAAGTTGTAGTATTGATCTTATTTTGAGTAACTCTAATCATCTAAAATGCTAGTTATAATAATATTAAAAATATTTTTTCCTTAATTTTTATTGTATTTTCGAAGTAGTAGAATAAAAAAAATCCGCCCCCCCCGAACTTCGAATCCTAGCTCCGCCCATGCATGTACCTACATCCTCTAGAGTCTTCTAGAATTTCCTCGGTGACATTCTCCCCCACCAAATGCACGACGTCCTCGTTGTGGCGCTTTCTTCGCATCAGCGTCATTGTTGGTGTGGTTATGATGTGTTTTATTGCGAGCCAAGGGTGGCTCTGGCCCTTGCACAAGTTCCACTCCTCAAAGATGTCGTGCTCTCCTATTCGGCACTTGAGGGAAGATCAAGAGACAGAGCAGTGGGTCCGATAAGCTGCCACAATTTTTGTTTTCGGCATATGTGATTTGATTTATATAATAGGTATCCAAACACACTTCCCTAAACGCGACAATTATACTAATTAATTCAATCCTGGTATGAAAATATTATCATTATTATGGATGACCAACATTAGATGCTCCATGGTATGTTACAAGTTCTATGTAACTCATCTCCTTATATTTATTTCTTCATATGACACATTAGATGCACAATTGGGTGTTACATGTAACCCCCCACCCCATTTCTATTTCACATTCATTCTCACATTCATGTATATTGATTGTAAGAATGTAGAGGTTATGTGTTGTGTGCCTATAAATAGATGATCTCATTGTACTAGGGAACATATGAATAATAAAGCTCTATTCCCCCTCTCTTCTTGTGTCTCTACTCTTACTCTTGTGTCTATTGCTCTTTCTTGTTATTTTATAACACGTTATCAGCACGAGCTCTGCCAAAGTAATGGTTGGTCATTGTCTCTCTACATAATCACATATACTTGAGTAAGATCACAACACGATCAAGGTATGCAAATTTTCATGTCATTTCTTGTTAGTATGTTTATCTATCTCATTGTCTTTGAGGGATTATTTGATCATGTTATTTGTTCATATTATTTTATATATGTCGATCTCGTAACATAGAGTTTGTGCTTGGACATTATCAGATAATGAAAATTGCTCCTGTAGTAGCAAAATCATTATGGGTTGACTTATCGATTGCTACATTCGACATACAGAGAAATGAAAGTCTAAAGATCTCATTTTCCCCCGAAGTGGAAAAATGAAGAAAAAATGTGTCAAATGAAAGAAGTTGATATGGTAACTAAAATATTGGAATATGAGTTACCATTGCGATGGGGGAAAAAATCAATGATCTTGTACCCGATGTATGAAAAGAATTTTTATTGATCCAAGAATCATTTGAAAGGAAAATGAAAATCTATATTTGCTCCTGCAGTAGCAATATTATCTTAGAAATTTTACAAAGTGTAAGTTAATTTCTTGTTAGTTAAAGGTGAAAAATGTATTGGACTTGTGATGAGAAATATTATATAATATGATCCAAAGTACTACTAAGCTAGGTTTGCCTGGAATGAGGCGAGTTACTAAGATGTAAAGATAACAAATTATAACATCAAGTCAACATGGCCGAGTTGGTTTAAGGTGCCAGTTTTCCAAAGTATAGGAAGATGACAACTTGACAATAATTTTCCCCCGTGTTTAAGCTTTGCCACAACAGAAAGTTCGCTTTTTTTCATTGAACCCCTTAAACTTTTCCAAAGTATAGGAAGAGGACAAGGGAACTAAAACCAAGTGTTTGCTTTTACTATGTACCGAGGATAACTTTGTATAAACGGTAAGGAAAGGATTCCTAGAATAATTGGTTAGCAACTTACCAGAGTTCAAAGTTGACCCTTAACATGGAGATTGCATCAACTTATTGGTACACGGGGATAGATCTATCAGAAATTGTGAAGACTGCCAAGAAATGACAAATTCCAACATTGAATTAGAGATGGTATGATTCCTATAATTAGTTTTTTTTATGCTGATGAATGTTCACCTCTGGTACACCGTACATTTACAAAACGATAATTGAGTTAGAAGATTTTACATGCATACATTACTCTAGGGCTCCTTGAGGTTTGTTGAGATTTGATAAAATTGATAAGAAGATAACCTTTGTAGCTTTATTTTGGAAAATATTTGAACTTCTAGATTAAGTTGAAGTACATATGCCATATCCAGAAAATGTAAACATAGTTATGTGATGAAACGTTTGCACCTCTAAATGAAACCCATATGGTAAAAATGCAACCATAGTTTTGTGTGATTAATGAAAATCCCATTTAAAAATATGATAAGAAGATAAGGTCCATTGGAGAAACAATTTGGACCTTATTTGGATTTCCACCTAAGCATTTCCCCTCAAAATAAAAGACCAAACTATGTGGAGAGAAATCTTTGTTCTGCCTTATAAACCAAAACAATATTTATCCTAAAAAAACAAAAAGGATCTCTATAATTAGCCAAGTCTTATCGTCTTTTACCACGAAAATTTCTCCCACTCACAAGCACAGTTGAAAGAAATGTTACCTCATCAATATCAAAACTAACCTCCAACCACAACTAGCTTTAATTCCCTTCCATTTGTACAATCTTTCTTTTATATATTTATAGTCTCTTCTTCTCTTCTTTGCTCTCTCACTTGATTCTCTCCTCACCACCACACACACTCCATAAGTCCCACCAAAAAAATAAAGGAAAAAAAAAGATCCAAAACATACAAAAAAAACCACCTAAACCCACTACGACAAAGCCCTCTTAACAATTACAAAATTCATCCAAAAACCAAAAGGAAGACATATGTTTTTCACCTAGTAGGTGAAATCTTCTCGGGAAAAAATAAGGCAATTCCTTCATCGACCAACACATAGAAAATGGTGGAAGGGGGTCCGGTGAAAGCGGACAAGACAGAGTTCACAGAATGTTGGAAGATCTCATCGAAAAATCCTTATATCATGAAGTTGGCCTTCGCTGCCGGCATCGGAGGGCTTCTATTTGGATATGACACTGGTAACACTTCTCTTCCTATTTCAATAATTCTACATTACTCATCATATTTTTTATTATGATTTTACGTCAAATACGAGATCGAGAAGAAACTCAATCCGATCTAAAATATAAAACTTATATATTTCTCTGATATGATTCAATCAAATTGACACTCTTTCATTGAATTCATATTTTCCTAAACTAACTAATAAAATCACTTATACCTAATCACGATCTAATCGTGATAACACATTTCAAGAGAAAAAAGATTTTCATATATTTTGGGTAATCCACAATTCGCGACGACAGAGATTGCCGTCGCTATAACAAGAAACTTTACCGACACTTTTTCCCCGTCGTCTTAATTGTATTACCATGTCTTTCTTTTAGGCGTTATCTCGGGAGCGTTGCTATACATCAAGGAAGATTTCGAGGAGGTGGACAAAAGCACGTTCCTCCAGGAGCTCATCGTGAGTACATGCGTCGCTGGAGCCATCATCGGCGCGGCGGTCGGAGGCTACGCCAACGACCGGATCGGACGGAGGAAGACGATCATGGTCGCCGACGTTCTGTTCTTCTTGGGGTCCATCATCATGGCCATCGCCCCTGTTCCGGCCGTCATCATCGTCGGAAGGGTCCTCGTCGGTCTCGGCGTCGGAATGGCCTCCATGACCGCTCCCCTCTACATATCGGAGGCCTCCCCGGCGAAGATCCGCGGCGCCATGGTCAGCACCAACGGTTTGCTCATCACCGGCGGGCAGTTCTTGTCGTACCTCATCAACCTTGCATTCACCAGAGTACGTCAATTAATTATTTGGGTTAATCTTTTGATTTTATTGTTGATTTGTTTTTAGTTGCTATGTGGTATAACAATTACGGTATTGAACCTCTTCCATTAAATCGAGTTATTGAAATGTTCATAAATTAGTTAACTTCAATAACTCTAGTTATTGGGATAAGTTCATGTATGATATTTAACTATTTCCTTTACACGTCCTCTCAAATGAAATCCACTCATGAGTTTGAAGTTTGCACATGCCCCCGCTCTAATACCATGTGTGAGCACTTGACACGCGTGACCTCGTGGACAATACCAACTCTGATATCATGTCATAAATCAACTAATCCCAATAACTCGAGTTTTTTTAAGAAGAGACTCATGTATAGATCTTAACGACTTTGTTAGAGGAACTAACTAGTTTTTGACATAGTATGAGAGCGCCTTCTATCACCATGATATATTTTGTTTTGAATGTCTGATGATCCCTATTTGTTAAGCACATGGTATTCAGATTTGTGCAAATTTCACACCCGTATGAGTTGTTTCTCGTTTGAGAGACATGTTAGTATGTGTTATAAATTCATTAATAAACCTGTCTCAACAACTCCAGTTATTGAGATTGACTGTTGGTTCTTAACTCGATCGAACTGAAATTTTTTGGTGACCAGGCTCCTGGAACATGGAGGTGGATGCTTGGAGTGGCAGGGCTCCCTGCCCTAATCCAGTTCTTGTTAATGTGGTCACTTCCTGAATCTCCCCGATGGCTCTACAGAGAGAACTACGTCCACGAAGCGAAAGAGATCCTTGAAAAACTTTACCCTGAAGACGAAGTAGACAGAGAGATTCAAGCCCTGAGAGAATCCGTCGAATCAGAGAGGGCGATGGAGGAATCGATTGGCAAAGACATGTGGTCCAAGCTAAAAGGAGCATTCACCGACAAGGTTGTCCGGCGGGGGCTCTACGCCGGCGTGACAGTCCAAGTGGCCCAACAATTCGTCGGAATCAACACCGTCATGTACTACTCCCCGACCATCGTCCAATTCGCCGGATTCGCCTCCAAATCTGTTGCTCTGGCGCTGTCCCTCATCACTTCAGGGCTCAACGCCGTCGGCTCGATTATTAGCATGATGGTGGTGGACAAGTACGGACGCCGCCGGCTGATGATCATCTCGATGTTCGGGATCATATCTTGCCTGATAATTTTGGCCGTCGTTTTCCGGCAGGCGTCGTTGGGCGCTCCGGGGATCGATTTCGTGGACACCAAGCATTTTGGGAGCAACGTGACTTGCCCGAGTTACTTGGAGAATTTTCATAAGCCTAAGTGGGGATGCACGCAGTGCTTGAAGGCAAAGTGCTCCTTTTGCTCCAATGTTGCTGACAAGGTAACGCAAAATTTTGATTTAATTGAAATATTGGAAGAGGTTAGAACATGGAAGTGGACCTTTTTGGATTTAGGTTAGACTTGCATTTGGTAATTTGGTAAGTTGGTGAGACACTGGTGTCGAGATTCCGAACGAAACGTTACACATTCCGAGTCTTTGAATAGAAATTTTGGTAAGTTAGTGAGACATTAGTTAGTAACACAACATTTGATTGAATCGAAGTATTGAAAAAAAGGTTAGAAGTGGGGGTTTGGATTTGGATTGGTTTAGGCTCTCTTAGGTAATTTGGTAAATTAGAGAGACATTATAGTTGAGATTGTGAACAAAAAAATTATACATTCTAGACCTCCGAAAAGGTGTTTAGTTGAAAAAATTGTGTATACATATCATGAAGTAGTGTGATATTTGATTTCTGTCATCCAATACTCTTTATGTGTTGGATGACTACGATCATGCAACATGCAATTCAACGTTGTCATCCACTAAACATATCGCATCTCAACTCATAACTAAACTCCTTTAAAAGTAATTTAGAATAACTTAACACGTACGAAACACATTCAAAGAAGATATACTTAATTTCGAGTTTTAGTTCACAGATGCTATCGATATCGATATGATTTCCACCTGAGACGAGTATCACTTACACCTCATCATGAAATGTCCATGTTTCGAATGTTTTTGTTATGGTGAGTTGACTAGATATTTTGGCTATACAGACCGCGCCGGGAGCCTGTCTGATCGACACCAAGGTGATGCAGAATGAATGCGAGGCAGAGCACCGCGTGTTCTACGAGGAAGGTTGTCCGAGCAAGATCGGGTTCCTCGCCGTCCTCCTCTTGGGCCTCTACATCATCTCCTATTCCCCGGGGATGGGCACAGCGCCGTGGATCGTCAACTCCGAGATATACCCGCTTCGATACAGGGGCGTGGGAGGTGGGATCGCCGCCGTGGCCAACTGGACGTCGAATTTGCTCGTCAGCCTGACATTTCTGACGATGACGCAGACACTGACGGTGGCCGGAGCTTTCCTGATGTTCGCCGCCATCTCGTTCATCATGCTGGTAGCGATCTTCTTGTTTGTGCCAGAGACGAAAGGGCTGCAATTCGAGGAGGTGGAGAAGCTGTTGAGAGATGACTACAAGCCAGGGTTCTTCAAGGTAAAAGCAGGGGATCAGGGAAAGGGGAAAGCGCCAGCTTAATTTGATGAAGATTTAGATCTCTTTTTTCTTTTTTCTTGTTTAATAAGTTTCTATTTTTTTTTCAGAATAAGTTTGAGGAGTTGTTTGGGAATTGGGGCACTTGTTTAGAAAAAAGGGGGAACGGGTACATTTTCATTTCTTAAGAATAAAATGTTTGATTTAGTCACAAGTTATGCTGTTTTTTGTTGTATATGGCATGTATGCAGTTATACAGAGGGATAAGTTATAGAATTTGAGATGGTTGGATTAGTGATCAAAAAGTTTGGTGTTGCTAGCTTATAGCTATTGGGTTTATGATATGAAGTGAATATGAAAGGTATGTTTACTCTGCCTTGTTGATGGGGAGCATACAAAACAGGTCGGAAAAATTTCGATTGGATGAATCAGATCAATATTGTCATTATTAGTCAAGGAACTAATTAACTAACTCATCTCTCTATAAAAAAAGTCTGTGGTCATCCAATTAGGGAGAATCTTTAGTAGCACGATCAATAACTTGCTTGTGTGAAGTCTTTTGTCGAGTCCTTGTTTAACGGTCGATCTCAATAAGTTTTACTCATTTGTTCTCAATGTTAGTTTCCATTGGATGTCTTGCTTTAGTTGATTTTATATGATACGTAATTGTTTATTTTTCTCTCATACTGATTTTTTTTATCTTTTGCAATTTCCAAATCATATATAAACCTTATTATAATTGTGGCAATTCTTCGTTTTAGTTAATGTTTGATTGAGGAGATCCTTTCCTTAATTACAAGGATGAGTTAAGGATTTGTCAGAAGAAAGAAACAAAAAGGATCGAAGGCAAAATCCTCTCTTACGGATTAAATGTTTCCCAATTCAAGCTCTAACCGTAACTTGGAAAGAAATTTATAGTTTCCTTTGGTAAAAGCAAGGTTGTCAACGCGCGGGTTGACCCACGGGTCGACTCAATTTGACTCTGATCCGGTGAGAAAAACGGGCCGCACGCACTTGCCGGGCCGACCGTTATAAGGTACCGGGTTGGAGGTCAAATTGTGTCATTTTTTTCTTTAGTTTGCGAAATGCGCCTATTTTCCAATTTTTCTTTTCGCCTAACTCAATCTTTGGAATACTAAGTTGAACATTTGAATATTTATGTTATATAAGTGTGTGTGAATTTTCACTATATGTTGGATCTAAGTACGATATGTTATTTTGGTGTAATATTATATGTTATAACTCATATGTTAGATAAGATTTGATATAATTTATGAGGATAAGTACAATATAACGACTCTTTCTATATTTCCGGGCCAAACCGAGCTAAAACGGTTGACCCATTAACCCTTGACCCACTAGCTCGACCGGGTCCGGGTCAACCCACGGGTTGACAACCTTGGATAAAAGTGGCTAAATTCATTATAATTTGATTTATTAGGTTTATCCGTATCAAACTTAATATGGTGTGTGAATTTCTGGTAAGGATCTAGGGAAACATAATCAAGGCATTTCTTTAACCATAATTCTTGTTAGATCTTAGATTAATTGATCAATTTTTGGGGGAACATTATCCATACATGGATTTCAAATTTTAGTAGATAATTATAATCTACGTGTAGCATAATCCTAAACATTTATTTTAGTCTTGAAATGGGTAAGAGAGATGGGTTAGGTACTCTTAAACTTTGCAATCTTTGGCGAATCAACTCATTCTCTTCTAGACCGAATTTAGAAATGTAAACTTTCTTTTAGGTCATTCAACTTCTAAGTTAGGATCAATCGACCGGTCCTTAGTTTGGAAATTGAGTTCTACATTGTAATCTTAATTTCTATTTTCCTCTTTAGACCATTGAGAGCACTGAATTCACATCCAATAAAAAAAGTGAACAGTAATTTCGTATCAGTTACCATTACCCATTCCTTCTTCCCTTTTCCCCCTTTTCTTTTACTACAATTCCAGACTCTATTACTACATTTATTTCTTATTTACCTTGATAAGCTCACCCAAATTTCTTCATTATTTCTTAAATTTACCCCGAATTTTCATCTAAGACTAAAATTAGTCAGGAAAGATATTGGGCAAAAATCTCTACAGTATCATAAATTTATTACCAGCCCCTTTCTTAGAAATTCGTTGGAATTATTTTTCTCTATTCTCCCTCAAATTAAGTCAAGAAGTCCATTGTCTGAGCAAGAAAATTGGGATTTTCTTCATTTTCCATTACCTTTTTTACTGACTATTAAAAATGATTTACCCTTTTTAAATCTTCTTATCTAAGTGGGATTTTCTTACTGCAACATTAACCCGTAGTGCTCGTTCCTCTATATATACGAAGTTACAAACAAACACATTCACAATCCATTTCAGTAGCAAACAGAATAACGTTTCTTTTGGTTTTGGGAGGTTTCATATAGATAACAACAAGACTTCTATATGTTACCATTTTAAGCTTAGCAAACAGAGGTTTTCCAGCAAGAAGAAGAAGAATCAAGTTCATATCATTGCGGTGAAAGGTAAAAACATCATCAGTGAACCTCTGTTCTTCTTTTCATCTTTCTCATCTCATCCAGCCATCACTATAGTTTGTCAATGGAGATTCTGATCGATCGTCTTTACTATAAACTTTTTGTGGGTTTTTCTTGGTTTTGTCTATGGAGGATTGGGTTCTCATTCTTTTTGAAATTATGTGAGGAAGTTTCCAGCTTTAGGCTCGATAGCACTGGTGAAAAGAAATCGACCTAAACGAGTTATTTTGGCCTAAATTCTCTAATTGCGATCACAATTTTATTTGCAGGACTTCTACTTGTTCTCGAGTTTCGCTAGTCGAGTTCGAAAACCATGGCAGAAGGAGGTCCAGTGAAGCCCGATAAGACAGAGTTCACAGAATGTTGGAGGACTAGTTGGAAGACTCCATACATTATGAGGCTTGCTCTCTCTGCTGGAATTGGTGGCTTGCTATTTGGTTATGACACAGGTGAATTTTTTTTATCAGAATATGTGGGGAAAAAGGATAAACATTCTAGAATTTGATCAATGTGTGATGATCTTGTTTGATTAAATCTTCTTTTGATAATATGTTCTTAGGGGTTATATCTGGAGCCCTACTGTACATGCGAGAGGACTTTGAATCAATCGACAAGAACACATGGCTTCAGGTTAGTTTCTCATTTTCGATCTCGATATGAAATCTTACTAAAACATAATGAAAATGTAAACTCGTCTAAACATCATCCCTACTGTTTTTAATTGTGACTTCCATGTGACTTGGGAAACAGGAAACCATTGTGAGCATGGCCGTGGCAGGAGCCATAGTGGGAGCAGCACTAGGAGGGTTCCTAAGCGATAGCTTGGGCAGAAAGAAATCGATCTTAGGAGCTGACATTGTCTTCTTCGTCGGAGCCATAGTGATGGCCGCGGCTCCAAACCCATGGGTCATAGTAATTGGAAGACTCCTCGTCGGACTAGGTGTAGGGATGGCCTCCATGACTGCCCCTCTTTACATCTCCGAGGCTTCCCCTGCTCGAATTCGAGGCGCCCTAGTCAGCACCAACGGCCTGCTCATCACCGGCGGGCAGTTCATGGCCTACGTGATCAACCTAGCCTTCACCAAGGTAAAGTATAAACCACAACCCAATTGAGCTTTTGTGTTTTCTAATGGTGAAATTTTTGAACTTTGGAGCTTAATTTTGAGGGTTTCTTGTGTTGCAAGGCTCCTGGAACTTGGAGGTGGATGCTTGGAGTTGCTGGTCTGCCTGCCCTAATCCAGTTTGTGCTAATGATGTCCCTCCCCGAGTCTCCTAGATGGCTCTACAGCAGGGTAAATTTTTCGATTAGCATATTCGCGCGGTTAAGAAAACTCTCGATTTAGATCTTGTCGAGTTACGGTGTAAGATTGTGACGAGTTGTTATCGATTATTCTCATTCTAAAATTGTTCTTACTACACAAAATCAACATATTTGATAAACTTAGGACAAAGTTGATGAAGCAAAATCGACCCTGGAGAAGATCTACTCGCCGGAGGAAGTGGAAGAAGAGATGGCCCTCCTCAAAGCCTCCATCGAATCCGAAAAAGCCGACGAGGCAGCCATCGGGGAGACCATGCTAACCAAGCTCAAGAACGCCTTCAAGAACCCCGTGGTCCGACGTGGCCTCTACGCCGGTGTCACGGTCCAAGTGGCCCAACAATTCGTCGGGATCAACACGGTCATGTACTACTCTCCGACCATCGTCCAATTCGCCGGATTCGCATCCAAATCCGTCGCCCTGTCTCTGTCCCTCATCACGGCCGGGCTCAATGCATTCGGCTCCATTGTGAGCATGTTGTTTGTGGACCGTTATGGAAGGAAGAGGCTCATGATCATTTCCATGGCAGGGATCATATTTTTCCTGATTTTCTTGTCCGTGGTTTTCATTGAAGCTTCTTCCCATGCTCCCAAGGTTGGTTCGATCGAATCGGTCCTTTTCGGGGCGAATTCTACGTGTTCGGCTTATGCCGGGGCGACGAGTAGTGCTGCCGCTGGGAAATGGAGCTGCATGACCTGCTTGAAGGCCAAGTGTGGCTTCTGCTCCAACAAGGCTAGTGAAGTAATTCGAAACTTCCGTTCTCGTATTATTTTTAACATTTGTGCAACACGTTTAATACTCGTATTTCATCAAGTATAGTATTCGTAACACTTACCTGCGTACTTTATGTGTTTAAAACGTTACTTACGATTTTTTATCTTTTCGTAGTACCATCCCGGTGCCTGCCTGGTGGATTCGAAGCACAATCGAGACCTCTGCCTCGGCGAGGACCGGGTGTTCTTCGAGCAAGGGTGTCCGAGCAAGTTCGGAATCCTCGCCGTCGTCTTCCTCGGCCTCTACATCGTCTCCTACTCCCCCGGGATGGGGACAGTGCCGTGGATCGTCAACTCGGAGATTTACCCACTCAAATACAGAGGAGTTGGAGGAGGGATCGCTGCGGTGGCCAATTGGGTGTCGAACTTGATCGTCAGCGAGTCCTACTTGACTCTAACCGAGCATCTTGGCCCCGGGGGGACGTTTTTCTTGTTCGCCGGAGTTTCGACGCTTTCGCTCTGTTTGATCATCTGGTTTGTGCCGGAGACCAAAGGGCTGCCGTTTGAGGAGGTGGAGAAGATGCTGGCGGAGGGGTACCGGCCTTGTGGCGGACGGAAGGTGAAGGGAGAGAAGGTGGGGAAAGTGACTGGTGATGATAATGCAGCGTAAAGAGTAAGAGTGAGACAGAGTGAAAACAGAGCATTTTTTATCGTTTGCTTATCATGGGTAACAGTAAAAAAAACAGAGTAATTGTCTTCTGCCTTCGTTTCTCATATTTTTTAGGTGGTGAGATGAGGGTGGTTAAGAGGGTAAAAAGGGGGGGAATAAGTAGAGGGTTTATTTTTTTCTTTCTTTTGAGTTTTAAGCTGTGCAAGGAAAATTTACCCTTCTTCATTCGAACATTGATGTAATCATATATGTATGTTATTATTCTCTTGGTTTATGAATCATGTTTTGGTTTTAGTATATGCATATGCTTCTATTCTCAATCAATATTAGAGTTGGAGCCAATGAATTTGATGTACAAGATATGCTAATGATCGACGATTACATCTAGATGAATGAATAGCTGCAACCGATTACTAGTCTTGTCTTTGATATTGATCTTTCACCTTCGTCGATCGAGCTTGCTTGACATGAAAAAGAACTGAAACCAGAAGGGGACCAAATCGAGTAAGTTCTTCATCTGGATCCGATCATCATCTTCCTTCGCTTATCAAAATGAATTCTACAGATCGGGTGTGAATTCAGACATCTCCTACTTGGGATGTTGGGAAAACAAGGCACCATAGCTCAGAAATGCCATGCATGATGCAGCAAAGGAGCAGCAGTAAACTTCACAGCACATCAGCAAATCTTCAAAAAATTGAATACAGAAAGTTGTAGAAGCCAAGAACAAGAGTAGCTAAAATTTACAGCATCTCTTTAAATGATCTCAAAGTTCTGTCATCTGTGATTTCAACCAATAATTATCGAAGTGTAACTTATTGAGCAGTAAGGACTAAGGACAAGCAAAACCTGCTCAATTACTTGGTACCTGCTTAATGCTTATCTGTGATTAATCAAGAAAGAAGCTGATCAACAGCCAAATAATATGTTCCTACGATAACAAACGAAGCGACCCCACTTCGAGCCATCCTCAGCCAGATTCCTCGGAACAAGACGTTTCTATCAGCAGGGTGGATTCCAGTGGCTCTCTCGAATCTTGTCCCTGGCCGACGCCATTTCAACAGTGCCCTTTCATATCTAAGATACTGGAACAAAGCATAAGTGGGTATGAATAAATAATAGTGCAAAACCAAGCAGCCAAAGGAATGGAGCAGAGATGGAAAGGAAAGGAAACCACTCAAACCAAGCATCGTTACCTTGGGCAGCACCGTACATTGGAACCGACATTTTGCTGTGTCGAAACAATGAGAGGCAGCAGCAGCAACCGATCCTGAAACCCCAGCAGCAGCACTGACAGACAATGGTGACAGCGGTCCAATTTCATCGTCAAACCTGATTAAAAGCTAGAAATTTATTACAGGGAAGAACAGGGACATAAAATTGATGCATCAATGAGACTGCTGCTCTTAACAGGATTGCTATGCGGACAAATAAAGAAGAGCTCTAACCTGGGTTCAGGAGCCATTCCAACTGCTTTCCAGTCGAGCATTGCCCGGTGAAGGAATTGCCACGTGCAAAAAAATGCCCCACCAAACACAGAATCTCGAACGAGTCCAGACCGAAGCCCTCTCCAGAAGGCACTCCATCCTTCCAACGAGATTACATGCGATGGTTTACAAACATCACTAACTGATGGTGGCCTCCCAGAGCCAGTCATCATCCAAGGATGCTCTCTCAGTGCACCGACGAGATCTGGGTGCTTGGCGGATAACGTGGATAGGAGGGCGGTCGAATGGCTCAGTGCTTTTACATCAGGAGTGTATCCACGCAGTAGTTTGGAAATCACTGGTCCCACTGATCTAGAATCTGTAGTAGGTGTGGAAGTTTGAACGCGAGAAGCTGAGGTAACCTGAGCACGAAGTTTGACGAATTCGAATGGAGAGCTCATGAGCGACTCCAAGGCACCGGCTGCCAGGCCTGCCATGAGGGCCTCGTGGACATATACATAGTTGTCCTCTCGACCATCTGCAGAAATAAGTTGTTACATGTAATCATCGAATCAGTGATTCGGTTGCAAGAGTTTGCAGACAACATTGCAGAAGTCGAACTTAGCTCGCATCTAAAAAGGTCAACTTTTCACTAAACAAAACTACACTCTTTCGTAGGAATCTACAATTTGTTTTAAGGATGCTGATGGCAGGAAGAAAAGGAAAGGAACTTATTAAAACCTGGCAATGGAAAATCTATAGGCATTTTCTTCCTCATATCCCAAATAAACAGAAGTGTTACCCAAGCAATTACCTTTATAGAATGCTGTCAAAATTTCATAAACGCCAAAACGAGTGCCAAGACCAACAATTCTGCCTGAAGTCAACCAACCCAATCCACTATATAAACCTAAAACATAGATAACTACGGTTTAGTACAGAGTTCCATATTGATAAAACCAACAAACTAAGTAACATTAACCAAACTCAATGGAGTAGACCTGAGTTTCCAGACAAAGCTTGAACCCTTCTTAAAATCGAAAATGGAGTCAACTGCTTATTAGAACTTGAACCAACCTGTTCATCACCTCAAAACCGACCATCCATATGAAGTCAGTAAATACACAATTCTTGACAAAACATGGATTTTGTGGCAGATACTACAGTCTAAAGTGCACAAACCTGGGTAAGGACCTTGATCGTATCAAGAGGATAAGTTAATGCGGTGCCTAATGCAACCGAGCCTGCACCAGCAATGGCATGCGTGACAAACAGGTGGTTCTTCAGAAGTTCGTCCATTGAGTACCCCAATCCCAACATCTTAGGATTTCACAACATGCAACCCACAATTCTCTTTCAGCTCTGCATCAGGGCTAGGACTAGGATTAGTTCAATGAGCTCACAGTATTGCAGTTCATTACTTCTACATTTACATCTCTTGAATTCACGAAATTGAGTGGCAATATAATCAGATAATCAATTAAACGTGCAAGAAGGACTTCACCCCAGCTCCAAAAGACAGATTAGGGTTTGCAGAAGAAAGCAAACCCACGAATTCGAAACATATGAACTCAGCCAAACTCTCTCAGTATAGAAAGCTATGAATGGGGACGAACCCAGAATGATACAGAATCAGCTTCGAACAGTACTAGACAAAAATGGAAACTTTTATATGGGAATTCGAAGATACTTGAGGGACATTGGAACCTACTGCCGGGAATTACCATTTCTTTCCCATAACCGGAATTTCTGAGATTATTCCAGGGACCAAATTCACTGCTAAGAAGTGAAACTGAGAGAGGTAAAAAGGAATTTACCTCTGCAAGCAAGAATGAAGTCGGGTCCGGAAGAAGTCGGAGCCGGAAGTTTCTCGGTCGGATTATTGGGGAAGCCTAAAGGCGCTCCGCGGGAATTGATCGGCGGTGAACACTGGCGACGAATAGCAATGCCCTTATTCAAGGTTTTTGGTCTTTCTGTTCTTATTATGGTTCATTTTGGTCCCTAATCTTTGGTATTTTACTGAAAGGAGCCCCTAAAATTTACTTTTTTCTTTCTTTCTTTCTTTCTTTCTTTCAAGTTTCAAGAAATGAGGCCTCCATGGTTTTTCCTAAATGAGTCTTTTAAAAACTGAGAGTTTGTTCATGCGAGTGAGGCACACATCTGTACAATAAATTTCTTCAAAAATGATCGATTTGAATTTGAAAGCTATACATAAAATTTACGAACTTGTTATGAAAACAAAAGTTCATAAGCCCAATTACGAATAGTATTGAAGCTAATAAACTATGGCTCGTCACCACCCGTTTAATTCTTTTTGAAAGACAAACCTAACACTTTGCAACACTATCTTGATATCAGGTTCTGGATTATTGTCATGGGCTAGTACACAAACTTCTGTATCCTTTGCCCACATAACAAAGAACAAATAGTAATATTCATGTCTTGGGATTAATACATTTCCCTATTTCACTAGAGTATCAGACAGCTTCATAACTAGTATAACTTGAATGAACTATAAGCATCTACCTTCTTGTTGTTGCTTACAAATTCCTTAACAACAATCAATGCTGCAAGACCAACTAAATACAACCACCACTGGCAAGGCAAATTCACCAGGCCAATTTCAGTTGTTCATCTCTATTCTCTACAACCAAACTACCATTTCTGCTCAACATTGATGATTTTACATAGATTACACCAAGTGTGAAGCCACTAAGATTTCAGCCGGACCAGAAAAACCATGTCTGCAGTCACTTGGGAGTTTCTGATGAAGGTAAGTTAACAGCCAAGTTGCTTGATGACTTCTTCATTGTGTGTGGGTTTCTCTCTCTCTCTCTCTCTCTCTCTCTCTCTCTCTCTCTCTCACACACACACACACACACACACACTCTCTCTCTATGAGCTTTGCCTAGTTGCACATAGCCATTGCCTTGGCGTGGCAATATCATCATCAGTGCTCATGGGAACATGCCAACTACCTTTTTCAGACTCCTGCATTTGCATCAAGAAACACATAAACCCCAAATCCCTTCTGCAAAATGGTGTTGCAAAAAAGAAAGCTGGTGTCTTTGTGTTATCACCTGAATAACAATTGAATAAGGAGGCGGCATGTGTAATTTGAGCCCAGATGTCGACACAGACAGTCGAACCTGCAAATTGTTCCATCAAGTGATCACTTTCTTTAAAAGCAAGTAACCTTAAGTATTAATAGGCTTAAACCTTAGCAGCCATTCAGCAACCTGAGAATTATGGCACTTGCATAGAACTTATAGCAGCATTAATCCAAAAGTGGAAGGCAAGTAGTAAACAGTAAGTAATGAAATGGCTACCGAAGCTTCCAGCCAGGACAAACAGCTTCTGCAATATAGGACAAACTTAGACATGCCACATAATGCAAGTGGAGAACTGTACCTGATGCTTCTCCTTCCATCTCGGAAAGAAAGATGTTCCGAGTAACTGGAACAAGTGATCTCTCATCTCGTCATTGGTCACCAACAGACCCTTAAAACTCACAGCGGCATATAACCAGTACCTGCACATCAGTGTATGAGATACAATCAAAACATGAAAAGAGAAAGTCAACAAGTTATTACTGATTATCATGTTAACCTACTTGAGAGAGCAATAACACCAGAGGACTCGAAATATCTGAAAACTTACCAATCATCATTTGAACCAGGAGGAGTAGCATAAAGTGCTCCGGAATTTTTCCATCTCTCTAATAGCGCCTGGTTCTTCGGATGTTGAGCAGGACCTCCAGTCACACGGCTTTTATGCAAAATAATAAGTGGAAATCTCTTTGATGGACTCATTTCACGCAATTTGTTCACGACATTATTAAGCTACAGCACAGAGAAAGGAGACCCTTGAGAATCAATCGAGCACATTAGCACAAATTGTTTCATGATAGCTCTTAAAATGTAATCTGGTGATGGGTATCCTTGATCCCTAACCTGGTGGAAGTTAAAATGCTGCTGGTTGATCAAACTTATATTGGCTCCATCTACAACAGCATCAAATGGACCATGCCTACGGAGCCACTCCTGAATCAGTTCAATCATAGGTCATTAGTTTCAAGTATAAATAAAGAACAAATATTAAACGTGAGAGTCATTAGCTGGAATTGAAAATGATACATAGAGGGAGAAGTAGCAACTCTTGTACACCTGGAAGCGAATGAAATCTGATTTGACCTCTTTCTTGCAAGCCAAGCTACTCAATGATCTAGCAAAATGCTCTGTCTCTCTTGGATCGATATCGATGCAAACAAGCTTCTCTCCACAACACTGGCAAACACCTTCTTCATCCACTTGAGTTCTTGTCACTCTCCACGGGCCATCCCCCAACCACCCTTGCCCATGCCACCCTCCTCCCCCCTTCACAACTCCTTCCCTTACCCTCCTCTCATCCCATTTCCCTAAACCGATCTTCCCACCACCCTCAGATTTAAACCAATCTTCAATAATCTCCATAGTCGATTCTGCAACTTGTCTGACCATGGCTCTCAACCTATGAATCATCTCATACACCCTATCTCCCTTCTCTGCACCAGCACTCACTTTCAAAAGTGCAGAAATCTCAGCCTCTTCAGCCACTACACCAGTTTCATTCATGTGTACATAAACTTCATAAGCTTTATCAGCCATCTCCTTCTCGCAATATCCAAATAAGGCCGGGCCATACGACCTCAATTTTGGAGGGATATCAAAATTCTTCATTTGCTTAACCAAATCAAATGCCATATCAGGGTCTTCCAAACCTGCAGCAAGCCGAGCTGCATTGGTAAAAGTCGCCTCATTTGGATCGATTTTATCAATCACCATCTGCTGAAATATCTCAAATCCCCTCTTCAAACCCAAATCAGAGAAGGAACCCGCATTAGAAGAAGAACACAAATACAGCAATACATTGTAAAGGTGCTGGGTAACCGGGATCCCATCCCGGCATGCCTCATCATAGAGACGGAGAGCCTCGGTTAGGTCGCCAGATTTCGAGCACATATCGATCTTCACACGAAGCTGCCCCTCGGGCGAATTCCGGGCAGCTCTCCTCTGTGCTTTTGTTTCTCTACCGGAAACCCTAGTAGCCACTGTTGATGATGACTCATGGATGCGTGATGCTGCTGATGATACCAGGCTACAAAATTCAGCTCTTCTGCTAGAGAACTTCACAGGTCGAGCAAGTGGACGATGATCAGGATGATGGCATGAGAGAATGGAAGGACGGTGTAAAGTGTGATAGCTATGCTGGATAAATGACATCAGTGGGATTCTTCTTGCAATGGCCATTAACAAGAGAGGCGATGATGTGCTGCTGAAAATTGGGGAAACTGCAGTTCTTTGCAACATTGCTCACAAATTGTTATAACGAATACCCAGATTCAGCAGACTCCGAATTTGGATAAATCATGGAATGCCTTCTCTCCCTCTGCAAGCATTTTAAACACACAAATCCGATCATTCCAAAAGCAATGAAATTTCATCATCTATCCTAATCATAAGAACCCAAAAGCCATGCAAAAAGAGGGGACCGAATTGAAAGCAAGTTCAAGCTGATGGAAGTTCGTATAATGCCCAACCGACGCATAAAAACCCAAGCTTTAGCTCAAACATGAGTTCCGCGCCATTTTTATTCAACAAATTGCTGAACTATTAGTAAAACAAGAGCTTCAAGTACCTGGAAACAAGATGTTCTACGATGATTGAAAAGGCAGCGGAGGTTTCATGAATGTCTAGCAAATGGAAGGAGAGGCTCTCTTCCCGTCGCTCTGGTTCAGGCGGGAGGGACAGCGAGGGAGAGATTGAAGAAGGTTTATCCCTGGGTTTTTCACTTTTTCTTTCGGCCGTGGTGAAGGAGAAACGAAAGATTGAATCTGTAGGCCTGATGGGCCCATATGTATAATAAGAGGCTTCTCAACTTGAGCTCGGGTTAGTGGCAAAGCCCACAGTGGGCCGATAACGCGAAGGTCAATTTTTACTCATAAATATTTTTCTAACAAATGTTTTTTTCTTCTTCTTTTTTTACCAACAAAAAATCTTATGTTGCCTAATAAATGAAAAAAAAAGTTTTTTTCTATTTGAAATGAAGATTCTAATTCATAAAAACATCTCTAGTGAAATCCATATTCAAAATATCATACAATATCTTCAATGTTGGTATGACCTTGGAAACAAGGCAAGTGTAACTTTAAAAATTAGTCTTACAAATCACAATATAAGCCATCTGGCCTATTAGCTCAGCTGGTTAGAGCGTCGTGCTAATAACGCGAAGGTCGCAGGTTCGAGACCTGCATGGGCCACTTTTTAGTTAACGTAATGATCGTGATGATATCAATGATATAAAAGTCCGTACTTAAAATAAATCTTAATAATCACATTAGTAATCGTCTAACATATTAGCTCAGATGATCAGTGTATCAGGCTAATAACGGGAAGGTTGTAAGTCCATTATTTTCATTTAATTCTTCTCTAACAAATAAAATTTCTTCGATTTCTTTTTGGCCTTTTTGGGAGATCACCAAAGGCAATCTGCAGTTTAGTTTAGTGATAAACAAAAGGCATGGTCTACCGTGGTCTAGATGTACACCAAATTAAGATTTTGAGCTAGATAACAAATAAAAGTAGACAGAGATTTAACCATATAAAAACTTCATACTATAGAATCCAAATTCATCCAATTCCCAATTAAAGTCGTCTACTTTTCCATTCTTATACAAGAAGCACGTTCGAAAGAAACGGTCTTAGACAATCAAAACCAAACCAAATTATACATCAAATCGGGTCGTGTTCAATTCAGATTTCAATTTTGTTTGCCATGGACCGGCCCTTAATGATTGTTACAACTAATGAACTTTGAGCCACTCACATAACACTCATTAGCTATAGTATGAAACCCTTTGGCCATGATAACCACAAAAGGACTGCCCATGAACAGATAAAGCTTTGGAAGAAAAAAAAAAAGTAGAGAACCATCATCAAAGGAGTGGCCATTTGCCACTAGAAAGAAAACAGGGGAAGCAAGACAGACAGAACAGAACACCACACCTGCCCCTTTTGCCAGCTACACGAAGCTGCAGACAAAAGGAAAGGTAAAGTTGGGAAAACACCCAATCCATCATAAATACTCATAATCCTCAGCTCTTCCTTCCTATATGTGGATTTTAAAAATCTATCTCTTCCCTCCTAACCTTCCTGTGGGTAGGGTTTGGATTCTTTTTGGTGTCTGGTGGAGTTGGAGAGAGGACGTTTGTTGGCTAATAGAGACATGATTTGCCAACCATACCTAGTCAAATCTGGAGAGATTTGAGAGCCTCATATTGGGTAGCAATACACATACATGTTTAGCTATAGCCATATTATAGGTCGAACCGAATGCGCGCTTCGGCCGCCATCCTCAATGCTCTTGTATGTTCTAATAACCACTCAAACTTGATTATACTGGTGGTTAACTTAAGTGGTAACACCAATGATAAACATGGAAGATAACATCTTTATAGTGCTTTGTTGCTTATCATATTGATCATGCACTCCCCCCCAATGAACCTGTAGAAGCACCAACCCAAGTTTCTAAATGTCATCATTTGGCAACATTTTGTACAAAGGAGGGTAGAAATGCAGTCATTGTTGTGGTCCTCCAAACCATTACAAATCCTTCCTCATTTCAAAAGATGGAAGTAGACTTGGTCTTTCCATCTCTTCTCTAATCTCCTTCAAAGGAGAGAAGATTCAATTCTCCAATCAAGTTCATACACAAAGGGAGTAGAAAAGAAGTTGTGATGGAGATAGGAAAGCAGCCCACTCTCACATGCTAGAGAGAGAGAGAGAGAGATGTGGTTTTGGCCATTGTGGTTATGGTTTTAGACTTTACTACACCTTTCAAAAAACAGAGGGAGAATGAGGAAGAAGCCAAATCCCATTCAAAGGAGGAAAAGGATATTATCATGTGGGGACTGGGGATGGCAATTATGTTTAAAATAATATGAGTCACATATAATAACAACAACCATAAACAAAGAAAGTAAAAGACACTACAGTCCACAAGCCAACCTTCAGGTCAGGCTCAAACACCAAACCCAGAAGAAAGAACAACCCTTTTTGTATTACTTTCCTTTTCTTTAATAATCATAGCTTTCCCCTCAGCCATTAAAGTAATCGATAATCCTTGGCCTTCCAGTTGGCGGCAGGTCAGGAGACTGAGAAGTATGACCAGAGAACCTTTTGTTTGTTCCTCCAGCCTTGCCTTCTGTCTTACGCTTTGGCAGGAGAAAGAGTTGATCATCAGAAAACAACAACACACTAACAGAACAGAAACCATGGCGGCAGTGCAGAAGGCACTACGCAGAATCTGCAGAACATGTTGTGAATTGTAATCATCATCTGTTCTTTCTGATTCGGTCGTTATAATACCGATTCAGTCCAAGGATCATCCATACTGCCAGTTATAATCCACAATGTGAAATAGTCTCAAGCAAGATGAAGAACTAAGATATGTCATTACTCATGAGTGAAATACATTTCCACCATCATACAGCTCCAAGCTAAACTGCGTAATACAGGCAATATACATATATGATCTCTAAACCCTGATTATACTTTTACACAGAGGGAACACATACCCTTCAAAGAACAGAAATTTGGGTCACCATCCAAATCAAAACATAAGGAAGGCCTAACCCAAATCCCTAGATTTACATGAACAATACACATACAGTACAGACCCACAGAGTATTCATCCTGCAGAATACCATGGGAAATTAGGAACCAAATCCCCCCTTTTTCAAGAACCCTAGTTTTCGAAAGTCGTACATTTCACAAAAGTCAGCTTCTTTGCTCAACTCTAAGCCTCCTTTCCCTCCCTAACTTCTCACTTCATAGAGAATTCAAACTTATGAAAGCACACTGTACATAACAAGAACGAAAAAGGCACTACTCCTATGTACATATCCAACAAAACGAACCCACCCTCGACCACAAGGCTAGCTAGTCATGCCTTCTCTAAAAATAGTTGGGGGGAGACAAAATTTACCACCATCTCTATTTCTTTCTAAGGACTTGAAGATGAAGCCTCATTTCTTGATTCTCTCAAGTACACAAGCAGTGTCTCCGCCTGCACACAAGCATAAGCAAAGCATTCAGAACCCAGTGTTCAAGATATCGTAGCAAGCCCGTATTGAACAATCAGAACTAAGACTCAATCCCATACTAACTCAACACTCTAACAAGAAATGAAAGAGCAAGAATTTCACTCTTAAATACTGACCTTATGCTTGGCTCTTACAGTTCCAGTCTGTGACAATGCAACAAGAGGGGGAATGCCGCCTTCCCTCACAAGCAACCCGCGATTCGTCGAGCAAGCAGTGCACAATTGGAGCAGTGTCAGCACAGCAAACTCCTTCCCTTTAGGAGAACCATCTTCAATTGCTTCCACGAGGGCAGCAATCCCTCCTTCCTCGACTATAGCTTCCCTGCCTTCTTCAATCCCTGCAAGGCTATTCAGTATCACCATCGCCTTCTCCGCCATTCCGGAACCTTGCTCCACCACCATCATTGTCAGTGGCTTCACAGCTCCAGCGCTCACTGCTCTCTCCTTGTTCTGATTGATGGAGCAGAGCTTGTACAGAGTCGTCAAAGCATCCTTCTTTCCTCTGGTGGATCCATTGATCAGGAGAGCAACCAGGGGAGGAATTGCGCCGCAAGCTCCAATCGAGGTTTTGTTGTCTTCTACCAATGCGAGGCTTAGCAATGCACAAGCTGCGTTCTGTTTTGATGTCTCCGTCCCCGTTTTCAACACGTAGACCAAGGATTTAATAGCCCCGGCGTTCGTAATTAGGTCCTTGTTGCCTTCGTGGAGGGAGAGATTCAACAGAGCTGTAACGGCGTTCTCCTGAGTCCACGGATCGCTGCACCGGAGAAGAGGAATCAAAGCCGGAATCGCGCCGGATTCACCAATTAGTGCTCGATTGTCCGACCGATTCTTCGCCAGGAGACGCAGCTTCGCCGCCGCGGACCGCTTCACCGCCACGGACGAAGATTCCAGGCCGTCCACGCAGATCTTGACTGTCGGCTGGAGATCCTCCGGCGAAATGCTCTCGATTATCTCCGTCGAGAAGCTCTCCCTCTGCAGAAACCCTAGGCACGGCTCCGGCTCCGGCTGAACCTCTCCCCCTCCTCCTCCTCCTCCTCCTCCTCCTCCTCCTTCGGATTCGTGCCTGGGAGAAGGCAAATTCGCCAGCCGCTGCAATTCGCCGGAGATATCACTGCTACACCCTGAAAAATCGCTGAAAGCCTGAGAGATATCCAGAAATTCCTCCACCTCAGCGGAAGACAACCCCGCCCCCGACGCCGCCGACGACTTCTCCGACTTGCCAGAGCAGTTGAGGAAGTTCCTGGCGGCGAGCTCCCCGAGGCGCATATCAACGACGGAGTCGGTCAGGTTCTCGGACACAAACCCCGAGCGATCAGGCGAGGCGGCGGCGGAAGCGAAGGAGGAGCAGCTGTCGCCGGAGTAGAAGGTGGACCGGATCGTGCGCATGGAGCGGCCGATTTGGCGGTTGATCTTGGCGGTGGAGGCGGAAGGGGAGCGGAGGGAGGAGTAGAAATCCGTGCGAGGAGGGAGAGGGAAGCGGCCGGAGGTGGAGTGGAGGTGGTGTTGGTGGTGGGAGAGGGAATCATCGAAAGACACCATTTTTATTGCTCGGGGCGGTGAAGGAAGGATTGATCGGAAATGGGGAGTGTTTGGTTTCCGGGGAAATTTACTCTCTCATGGTTGCAGCAGGCAGAGAGTGGGCTGAGTGGGTGAGAGAGCAGAGGAAGGAACAAAACGGGAAAGGGAAAGTGATGATGAAATTTATAAAAGGGCTGTTGCTGTGCTGGCAAAATTGATATCCACGAAGATCAAATTTAAAAATGAAAAAAAAAGTATTTATAAAAAAACGAGGGGCAAAGTATAAAGTTACGCGTCGCGGCCAATTGTGTTCGTCACAGCTCTTTCTTCTCGAATCTTTTCTTGTTCTTGTTTAAAAGAAAGAAACGGCTTGTCGTTTCCGCACGCTTTAAACGAAAACCATTGATTAAATCGGGGGGTTTGGAGTGTGGATTAAACGAAAACCTCATATTATTATTAGGTGAACGAACCTATGATATAATATAATGGTTTGAATCAAATATGAAATTAATGATAAATTTAACAAATTAATGCTATACCAATTACCAACCATATTTGATCAAGTCATCACATACAGATTAACGTATAACACCTTATCAAATCTTGAGCATGAAGCTAATCGCAGATGAAGTTCAGTAGGGGTGTGCAATGGTCCTGTTGTGACCAAACTCATGAGAATCGTAGTGAACTAGTGCACAAACTCATAGGATCAATGACCGGACGTCCGGACAAACACCCATCCGACTTGATTTGATTCGGTTCAAATGTCAATTCGATTCATTTATCTTATGTATTTATACAATTCATGGAACCAAATATCCAACCATGTTATATTCGATTCAGTACGATCTTGCTCCAAATCGAGTCCCGTTAAATTGCATTGCTTGGAGCCGGGTCGACCATAATCATTGACCATCAGCGGTTAAAATTATTTCCTAGCTCACCAGCGACAGTGGATCTTTGTACCACTTACTTTAACTGCCCCCACTGCAACCTGCAATCATTTTGTTACCACTTCGCAGAATCACGGCCAGCCGTCCGATTCAAATCCCACGGCCGAACCGAAAACTGTTACTCTTGGTCGCCGAGCTTGGGTCAAACAGTGAAAGGTGAAAAAAGCAACCGCACGTGCCGACACATACACGCTTCTCACACGTGCAGCGGCACAGAGAGTGGCTCGATCTTTCATTCATTCTTCACTTTTCACTTTCATGCTTCTTCAGCAGCTTTGTTTTTTCGTATTTTAATCCTCTTTTTTTTTTCCTGAACCAGATTTTGTGATGGATCCTGTCGTGTCCTTCACATATTCATCAATGGTGATTCACAACTCTTCAATATTGGGCTGTTTTCAGAAGTTAGGAACACGTCGAGGAGAAGATAACAATGTTTGTCCATTGTCAATCTTTCTATAGGTTAGTTTCACAAGAAATGAAAGAAAATACTAAATTGAATTTCAGTAGGATGGAGCTCGACTAATATTTATAGTCGAATCTTGTAACTAAATCGAGTTGTCGTGTATGTGGTACTCGTTATGATACCATATTCCGTTGAGGATCTAGTTGCCTGAAGCTACCACTACAACAAGCAGAGTACGTAAAGTGTAGAGGATCGTTACTTGTTTCCTAAATAAGCTATGATCTAACTCATAATGGTTTCCATCACATTCAGTCCGCCTCATGCACGACGAACTGTATCATTAATAAATCTTAATACACTTGGGAAGAACATCATAGTAGGAAATTTTGATTTAATCATAATTTTTTTTTATTGCGTTTCATTAATAACTACAATTTGCACGGATAGGAGTAGCACCAAATAACGCCTACATATTCAAGTTAGGATATGAGGTTTAGACTTTTCAACTAATTAAGCAACCCATTTAAAAAACAATTGCTTTCACTTTCATAGACTTTAATTTTGGTCAACCAAGTGTCAAAATCTCATTTTCGTAAACTAAAATATTATTCCAAAAAAATTAAAACGCGTTGTCGTTTCCGGCGATTCTTGGCTCAATACGGCCGAAGAACCAAAACAATTTTGTATACTTTTGCTTATCCCGTCACTAATTAACTCTTGCATTTGTTTATCGGTGTCCAATTAAGATCCACAATTGGACAGTTTGATCAATTAATTAATAGTTAGAACTTAGAACTTATAATAATATTATTACGATCTCCAATCCCCTTCATCATCATTTGATGACGGCATCATTACCCACAACAATTCAACAATTTATTTTGAAATATATTCCGAATAAAAATTGAAATTTATCAATACATTTTTATGAAAATAAAATCCACATTCAACGTACCGAAAAGAAAAGAAAAATAATATGCACAATTATATTGATTAGTAGTGCACGGACAAGTTATTGAATAAAAACTCTATTAGTATTGATTAAGTACAATAGGGTTTATTATTATTATTCTGCAAAATAAGTGACAATCTCTGACAATACATATAAAATCGAGATTGTTAATTTTACTACATAATAATCTAGGTTTTATTTTATATTATATTATGTTATTTATTTGATTGATAATGTTGATTCTTATTGGGACATTGTGAGCTGTTTAGCACCCTAGCTGGCCATTGGCTTTACCTGCAACCCCAATTAATTAATTAACTTATTATTTTTTTTGTGAGGAAGATTTGGTTTCGTCGCCTAGATCATAAGAGTACATAGTACTAGTCTCCTGTTTCATAATTGTGTACATATATATATGTAGCCATTAGGTATATCTAATTCATTTGTTTCTATCTAAATAAAATAAATACAATAACTTGTATCCTCACGAAACATCAAACAAAATATATATCGAACCAAAATGAGAAATTGGGTTTTGATTCTCAAAGTGTCCATGTCAAATTGTCAACTGTTTTTTTGGTTTATAGCTTGGTGAAAATAGCGTTGTAACATTTATTTATAATGAGTTGTTTGACCTATTAAACATATATATGTGGTTTTGTTGTACGTAGTAACTTTTTCGGCGTCTCTCTTTATCACATTACTTAAATTTAGCTTGAAATGATGTACAAGTTCAATATTATGATAATATCAAAATATGTGGTTGGAAGTTCATCGGCGGAAATCATTGCCTTCGGATTAATCCAAGGTCAGTGATTCTATGGTGGTGGTTTGTATTCACATTTTTGACATACGTTGTTAGCATCAAGTGCTTGTCATTCATGTTTGTCGGAGTGGGGAACTTTAGTAAAAACTACTACGTGGTAATGTCTTCTTCAATTCCTCCATATATAGGTTGATGATGATGATTTTTGGTGGGTTTGTTGAATTCTTACAGATTTTGGTTTTGGTACATTGTCGCAGAATCCGCCGTAACTACAACGTTTATGAGTTTCAGCGATAGCAAGACCATAATTAGGAAGTTCTTTAAGACGCGCAAACCATCATCGTTAGCGGGTTTGTAAAATAATTATCGACAAATATCATTTTTAAATTTTACGCTGATGAATATTAACAGATAACTTACTTTCTGTACGAAGACGCGCAAACCCCTCTCTCTAAAACTCGAAACTCCCTATTTCCATACTATAAAGTACTATAGTCCTAATGAATTCTACGGGAGCTCTATAGCCACACAAGAAATTCCAATGCCACTTGGCTTGGCTCATTGACATTACTTGAAACAGTAGGATCGTCGGTCGAGCTATACTCCTAAACCCTAATCAAACGACTGTGGTTAAACACATACATCAAGTTTTCAATCTCAAATCAAATCACACGATTATTTGCATAGCTTGTCGGCTGCCATCCCATAATCAATACTACCTACGTCGTCATCATCAACAAGAGATTAGCTCTAAGACCAGAAGCTTAATTATAGTTCCCCCCAACAACTAAACATACTCTGATATGATATGATGCCTAGCTAATTATCACCACAAATCTATCTTGAGAAATTTGAGAGGCCATAAAATGCCAACTGTTCTCAAACAGTAAAGCTTCAATATATCTGAATGTCGGTAGATGTAGATAGAGATATAGGTCAAGCTATCATATCATCACTTCCAAAAAAAAAAAAAAGTTTGGATTTTTGCTAGTTACTATGGTCGGCTGATCGATCTAGTCGATTGTCGGCTGCATGTCCTCTAGGTTAAAAAATGAAATATCAGGACGATGAATAGTAACAAAAAAATGAAGCAACAGTAAATATATTATGAGATCCTGATCCTTCAATGAAGGTCCCTAATCCTTCAATGAAGAAGAATCCCACAATACGATTTGCACTCACACATGATTCTTCTCTATAACACTATGATTTCTTTTCTTCTCATAATCAGTTGGACTATATCTCGTATATTATAGCGACACGATCATACGTATAATCGGTATATGAACCAGATAACTAATGGCGTACATGTTCTGCACATATTTCCTCCACCCCCAAGAGAGATCAATGTAACACAAGCTAAGCCAGCCAAAACACTTAGGGGTCGTTTGGAAGTTGCGTATGTTAAATCGTTGTATTGTTATGAATCACTATGATATAAATGCATGCATTGATACAATAGATGCATTTTGAAATTACATTGTTTGGTTGTTGAGATTATAGTTTATGAATTAATTGTTATAAAGTTACTTTATAAGGAAATGTCATATTTGTCCTCCACTTTTAATATACAACAAAAAGAACTATGGACATAATTGGAAAAAGTAAAGGTGCTGAATTATTAAACCAACAATCACAACAATCTCAACTTTTAGTTGAGATTGTACAATCCCTCATTTTTGTTGATTGTTGGTGGGACCCACACAAAACAATACATGCATTGTTTTGCAACTTGACACTTCCAAACGTTGTATTGCGGATAATGCATGTATTTAACAAATACAACACTAACAATCGCAACTTCCAAACGACCCCTTAGTAATAATTCTTACTTCTGATTAATTACAACACAAAAATGTAACAAAATTCAGGTACCCAAATTGATACCCACATGTGTCATTGTCACCAAAATTGATGGGGGTGGGCTGGCCATGCATGCAATAAGTGCATTTGTGTGCCCCTAGCTACTAGCCACCCACCTCTACCTTCATCATATACATAGAAAAATGGTGCCATCTTAATTGAAATGTCACACCTTTGAACATTTAATCCCTACACCATTATAAGTTCCCCTATCATGTACATTTATTATTGTTGTCGTTGTGGAAACATGGAATATGTGCACTAAATTGACAGGAACTGTTGTTCATTTTTCTTTCTCATTTTCTAGCTCTTATGAAATATATATATATAGATTAATAGTTATAAATTGTCGCTTTTGTGGTGGATGGATCATTGTATTATTGGAAATAAATGTGAAAGGACTGATGGATTGTGAAGTAGACATGACAAGAGAGAGTTGAAACCCTTGACAATTTTTTTGGCCGTGGGAAGAAAGTTTGCAGCAGCTAGCTAGCTAGCCTTGAATACTCCTCTAACAAAGATTCACACGTATATAAGGGCCAAGTTGCTCGATATTTCCCATTGATTCTCAAATGGCTTGTTTGTGAGTTGGCACACGATGTTTACATGTAAATCCACACGTACACAACTTCATGAATGAGTTTTACGACATGTTTTACTCAAAAAAATCGTCGAGAGATAAGAGTCGTGTACTAACTACAGAAACATATAGTATTATTGTCCATCCTTATGTTATGCATGGTTTTTTTATTCATCCACTTCTTCCGGACTTGATCGCTATCCTGAGAGATAATGAAATTAGAAGTAATGCTCTGTTGATCGTTTAATTATTTGTTCCCACTCTCCCACTTCTTGCGTTCTTGGATATTGTCTCTCCCATGAGAAATAAAACTATATTAATAAGTAACATTCTTTGTTTTCAGACGGAGTTGTCTTATCACTTGAATAGAAATTTGACAAACATATATCAATGGTCTCGTCACACCAACATGCTAGCCTCAGTACTACAGTTTCGAAGTCTCATCCAATATTGTTCATTGTTTTGCATCACCTTTAGATCATATTGGTTTGCATTCATATTTTTGTTTCAGTGATAATTCGGTTGAGACAAGAAATGAAACATTCACAACGACGGATACTAGAACGAGCATGGCCAAACTTATCGTGTCAAATAGAAAATTAGGCCCACTTACATACGGGCCTGGGGGTTTCTCTCTCTCAGTGTTGGACTCATCTGCTACTAAGCCCATCTACGGCGGCGGTTGATGCTTCTTGTTGCCGCTGCCAGTCTCCGACGACGACAAGATACAGTGGGGAAAGGATTCGTCACAAAATCATCAACCTACAGCTTTTGTTTTGTATTTCTTCTATAAGAAGAAGAAATGCCTTCTTGCTATTGACAATGGCGCCCACAAGTTCGAGGTCTTCATTTTTAGCGAAGAGTAATCACGAGATTGCTTCAAACCATAAACACAATGATCCAACACAATAGTCAATAACACTAAACTAAAAATAATCTATAACAAATAGAAAAGACAATATGCAAGTTTTACATGCTCAAAATGCTAAATAAACTCGCAATGTGATCAAAATTGTCTAATATCCAACTTATATAGTTTCATAAGTCGTATTCATCCTTTTTCGATTCAACAGTTTTTTTTTTTTTTACAATGGAGAACCACAACTCATACGTTTAAGATTACTTCGCCTCTGTAGCTAAAACGTTGTTCTTAGAATGATGTATTATGAGAATCAAACCACGAAAGCACACCATACCAACCTTATGACATTATATACGCCCTTAATGATTCCAATACGAAATATATTGAATCTTATTTTGTATTATTTTTTAACACATTTTCGACGGTAGGAATTTTTGCCGTATAGTCACCATCAAAACAAGGTAATGTCTCCAAAACAACAATCTCCAACCCAAAAACAACGAAACTAAGGTCCCTTTCCAAACTAAACCAACCTCAAAACCACCTTCTTCTCCACCACCTCTCTATATTAACTCTCATCCTTTTCCTCAGACCATTAAACCCTCCTTCCATGAAAACTAGACGCGTTTGAGCAACACTCGAAGAAGCAAACTCTGTCACTAGTAAAGAGTCTTTCCTCCTGTTTAGCTCAGTGTATTTGCAGAAAATACAAGTGGTTAACACTAATTACAGATCTTGTGGCCTTCAACTTAACCTACTAGACATCAGAGCACAATGGCTACACCAAAACCCAAAATTCCTCTGTTTTTCATCTTTCTTCTAACCCAAGCAACCTCCCCTGTTTTTTGTTCTTCTTCTTCTTCCCCTGCATCGTCCAAATGCTCAACCCACACCTTCCCCCAAAACAGAGTCTTCCCATCATGCGTTGACCTCCCATACCTCGACTCCTTCCTCCACTGGGACTACGACCCATCCACCGGAATCCTCCGAATCGCCTACCGCCACGCCGGAATCACCTCCCCTGCATCCACGTGGGTCGCCTGGGCCATCAACCCTTCCGCCCCTGCCATGATCGGCTCCCAAGCTCTCGTAGCGTACCACCGCGACGGCAAGCTCACCGCCTACACTTCCCCTGTCTACGACTACTCCACGTCGCTGATCGAGGCCAAGCTCAGCGTCGATGTCAGGGACGTTACGGCGGAGTATTCGTCCGATGACCGAGAGATCGCCATCTTTGCCTACATTCGGCTGAAGGAGAACACGACGACTCTGAATCACGTTTGGCAGGACGGGCCGATGGATGGGGACAAGCCCATTCAGCACTCGACGAGTGGGGGTAATTTGAAATCGGCGGGGACTCTGAATCTTCTGTCCGGACAATCTGCGGGCGGCGGCGGCGGTGGTGATGATCGGATCAAGAAGCGAAATGTGGGTACTAGCAATGCTGCGGAGCTCTGTTTTTTCGGTTATGGGTTCTTGTTGGTGTTTTCATTTCTTGTTGGGACTTCTTGATGGTGTTTGATGGGAAAGTTTATGTATTGCTTAAGGAAGGGTAAAGGTAGTCTAATAAGGGGGAATGAGAAAGCTAACATCTTTGAAGTAAATAGATATGAAATTTATAAGTGGTAATGAAAGAAACTAAGAAATTGTAATTTTGGGGTTTAGTCTAAATTTAGCTCAAGGAGAGCATTTCTCTTCTTCCAATCTATCTATCTTTCCTCTATTCTTCTTTTTCATATTCCAATCTTTCTCCTAACTTCTATTTGCCGAAAAGGGCACGTAACAGACGACAACATCAATACATCATTAACTACAACCATTCAACAATTTATTTTTGAATAAATGTTCGGAATAATAATTGAAATTTATGAATAAACTCTTATGAAAATAAAATCCACATTCAAAGTACCGAAATGAAAAGGAAAATAATATATACAATTACATTGATTATAAGTGCACGGCCAAGTTATTGAATAAAAACGCTATCAATACTATTAGTATTTATTAAGTACTATAAAGTTTATTATAATAATCGTTATTATTATGCAAAATACGTGACAAATTGTCAATTGGCTTATGTTTATAGCACGGAGATGCGAATAATATACAAATCTCATTGCCTTCATATTAATTTATGTATGGCGCGGAGGTTTGTATTCACACTTTGTCATACATTGTTAGTATCAAGTGCTTGTCATTCATGTTTGTAGCAGTGGGGATTTTGTTAAACTTGCAATTACTCTGTCGTTGCTTCCACCATTGCTGAAATAAGGTGATACTACCATAGTGTACTACTTTCATCTAAACTTGCAATTACTCTGCCGTTGAGAAACCGTTGGTAGTTTGGTTTTTTTTCTATCACCAAAAACTTTCCCTGTTTTGACTACGACGAAAACCACCCTACTCAGCCTATCGACGGGGACGACGACGGCAGCGTTCCTCAACCGCTTTGATGACTTCTTCCCTGCTGCCATGGTGATATCCTACGAGCGGCTTTTGCCCGCCGAGTTGCTCATCATCATCAGCCGATTACTCTTCACGATTCGGAGAACTGGACTTTGATTTATAGCCACGTCCATCACCGAAACCACAAGAATTTCGGTTCATCAACGGAAACAGAAATCCTACTCGCAAATGGAAAAAAGGATCAGACTGCAAATAAATTAAGCCTCTCTTTTATTCCTCTCTTCAGTCGAGCACCAAGTCAACAAATTTAACCAGAAATCATGAGGGAAGGGGGATGGGGAAAAGGAGCAATGCCTTGTTGAGGCGGCTGGCTATCTTTTTAACTTAAAGAAGAAGGCAAGGTGTGTTCAGAAGGATTGGATTACCTGCATGAATTACAATTAAAAGTAGTATTGTGATACAACAAATGCATGCAGCACCCCTTTGCTTGGTCATGCAAGGTCTTTAGGCTCGAGCGCCGCTATCTCTCTCACCACCTGCGCTTTATCTGCCTCGAATTGTTCATCCTCTGCAGAAAGTTCCACTCCAAATTACACACGGAATTGAGATTACCGAGCAGGTAGGGAGAGAACTGTTTGAGCCAGTTGTTAACTCTTCACACTCGAGAGTATACGTACCTTTGTCTGGCTTAAAATCGGCAAACAAACGAAGAAGCTTGCTTCTGTTTGCCACAAGTATGCTCACAATGTCTGCAGGTTTGTTTTGGTTAGCTGCAAAGAGCTGCATAGAAAACAAACAGTTGGCGAAAATTCTTAGTGTTTGTTGATAAGAGCATGAGTGCATACGATGCAATGATTGTTCAAGGGATCTTGCACCTTGAAAACATGAAATGCCTCTATCTGGATGCTTTTACTTGATTCCTGCGGACAAAGATTGGACACGTCTAAGTAGAGAACTTAGCAATGAGATAGAACATCGATAAATCAGGAGTGAAGAAGAGAAATGGATTTTGATTTGGACGTACTCTGAGCAGGTTCATGAGTATCCTCAAGTTGTCCCTTGAGCTCACGTAGGTTGTCATCACACGTGAGTTTGACCGGTCCAGTAACATGTCTCCTAATAGCTGCAAGGTGAAGATATGTTTAGCAAACTGTGTTGCATTACCAGACAGTAGAAGGATTGCTCCAAGTTAAATTAATAGTAGTAGAAAAAAGAATGTGAATAGATTGCTCAACAAGGTAACGCTATATAAATCTTCATCACCTTGACAGCCTGTCGCCTGGTCATGTAATTCTCAGATTCCAGCAACTTCGAGTTGTATTCTGCAAAAAACTAAAATGCGTACAGAAGTTTAGAAAGAAAGAGTTGAATTCTCATTCAACCAGAAACTTACAAAAACTTTCAAAACTGTAAAAACAAATTGTCGCAAGTAGAAAGCTAAATGAATTGGAAGAATCATGTTGGTAAACAGAACTTACCCAGTCATAGTTGTTTGATAAGAATTCAGCTACAGTAGATTTATGTCTTGTTAGGAGCTCCTGCAATCGAACATAACAGGATTAGATGTGCTCAACCAAAAAGTTCTCAATTGATAATCTGCTACGTTCTCCTTTACGAGCTAAAAGTTAGTTATTAACTAGGATCGTGATTGGTATTTGGAGGACTGTAAGTAATGGGAACTCGTAGAGATTGATAACAGCTTGCCAATCTGACATTTTTTGCAGTAATTCTATTCAAGTTCAATAAGGGACTTCAAAGCTTCATCTTGATTGAGGTTTCAAGTGGATGCAAAATAAAAATGCATATACAGGGAGAAAAAGTGTGAAAATAATCATTTGGTAATCCTTGGTCAATTATGTACCAACCTTGAAAGTTGCAGCAGCATCAGCAGCAATATCAAAATTAGGGAGCTGTATATACTCAAAGAATCTCTTCATTTCTGGAGACTCCAAGACATATCTATAAAATGAAACAGAGACATTAAGTCAGAATGTGTACATCAAGGGATGCCATTAGTAAAGAAACCCTTCCAAACCTTTAAGAAGAGTACACTACATGCACTATCAACATCTTTTCTTAAGATTATGCAAAGCTAATGACATTCTATGCTGTTATTTGTGTTTCTCATTGTACAGGGTGTAATAGTGCAAACATGGAGCTAGCAGTTTACAGAAAAATGTGACTGCATGCCTTTTTATGTTCTTTTCTGAAAAGTCAGGCCAGGATGGTACGGTGTGAATGAATCAATGAATCCATAATGAAATATAAATAGATCGGTTTGTTGATAATAGTACACATGCTTCCATCTAACAAGAAATGTTCATGAGTTCCATTACTTGAAGTACAATAAGGAAGAAAAATCTATAAGACAGATTGGCAATATTAAAATAGTTCGAATTGAGTGTTCTAAGCTTACCTTGCAACACACTGGTGACGTATACACTCCCTCAACATTGCACCATAGTGTAAAGCCATTTCTGCATTATCATAACTGCAACAACGGCATCTATATAATTAGGTGGAATCAACAAAGTCAACAGTTCCTTCAAGATATATCATCCTAGAAGCTAAATAACTAATCTTGACAATTTTATTCGATGTTTTAAGTTCAGAAACTAATATGTACAGTAAATTTTCATCTATGAGTCAACAGAGCAGAATCTATAACTTCCTGGAGTTGTGGCAACTTACCCAACTATTAGAATATCCAGGAGATCTGTGTTGTTTTCCAGATAATCAGAAGCAATTAGACGAGACTGAACTTGCTGTCTCTGTAAATTAGCAACAACTTGAGTGGCATCTTTTCGGGTCTGCAAATGGCAAGTTGACAAGCTAAGCATGATATTTGATAACTAATTCCAGACTTGCATTACAAGACTCCTGTGCAGTTTATCTCCAGTGGGACCCCAAAGGATGAAAATCTCTTGACAAAAACTAATCCATAAATCACATATATCTCAGAACCTTTGAATGTGTTTACCTCCAAATTCAACTTCGGAAGACAGATAATGAAAAGGCGGAGTGTGTTCTCTTTGAAGAACTCTTGAGTCAACTGTGCACAAGCTTCTGCCACTGGTTCTGCCTCGCTGTTGCCATAAAGAATTGTCTTCAACTCCCTCATATTTTTAGCTAACTCCACCATCTGCAAGAATATTAAATCACGGAATCACATGTAAGACTGAAATAAACAAAAAGAGTGCCAAAAATCCAAAAATGAGTTCCAAAACACTGGAGAAAAGTCTACACAGTATAAATAACATTAGAACACAAAGTTCAGTAATCAAATCATGCTTGCTAACTACCTGCACTCTGCAAATGGAGATTCAACACAGAAGCCAAATTCACCATATGACCATTATGCATAAGATGAGTTCGTTAAAAAGTCAAACTACTTCTTATCTCAGCTTCTCTAGCTCTCAAGAACAGCATGCATCCCCGCTCAATCAGAAAGTTATCACCTTGACACCCACTCACAAAGTTCTATCCTACATCAACTATTCCTCCCTATAAGAACTAATAAACGAAAAGCTATCGAAGACATTTTCGCTCCTTTGAATATAAAAAGAATACTTCAATCGGAAATATTTCATCCCACGATTCTGGTGCAAAATCCCAGAAACGGGTAAAGAAAAAAAAGAACTCCACTCAACAACTGCGGAACCCAAGCTAGGCACTTCAAATAGTACGAAGTTGTAGTCACTAAACCACACCAGCAGGCTACTTCTACACTCCAAGCAATAGACATATTGATAGCATGAAGAGCATGAAAGCAAAATTCAACACCAGTTCACTACAAAATACAGATGACTGGAGTCCATCACAGGTCAATCCATCCTCCACCAGTTCTTCAAGATGCCACAATTGCGAGCCTAAACCTTAAAGCCGAGCTGTAAGCATGATTAACACCAGAACTACCCTATGATCAAGGTCAATTAATCCCCCCATCCAAGCAACAACTCTCCATCGGAAGAGTAACTTGCTGAATTTCCAAACCCTAGTCAACTAGTTCACCCCTCTCTTTAAGAGCTCAAATTCGCCGATCGATCTAACTTCTATCAGATTCTCATAAACAGAAAAGTCGGCAAGCAGCGTAATTGACCAGATTGCTAGGCAGCCCACGTAATGCCAATAAACCCAGAAAGCAAAACACTTTCAATTTCTCCTCTTCTGTTTACCTTCTCTTCGCGCCGGACGTCGCCGCGCAAATCGGTGGAGTAGGAGGAAGAGCGGTCAACATAGGCGAGGATATCGCGAGTCTGGCGGACGATATCGGCAGGAGTGCGAGGCTTGTGCTTGAACAGCCCCTTCATCTTCTGCGATCTCGACGGAGACAGAGCTCCCGACGATGCTCCAAACGTCGTCGACGCCGAAATCGAAGCTGGATTAGCTGGAGGAGCAGCAGCAGTAGCAACAACAGCTGCCGGCCCCGATTGTGCTGCTGCCGGCTGCTGAGAGAGTCTCTTCACGACATCGCCGGAAGAGACTCTCTCCGCCGCCGGAGCAGCAGGCTTTGACGCGCACAGTCCTATACTTCCTCGCCTTTAATCCCCCCACCGCCCACCAAAAAAAAACTACTTCTTTTCCTTCGTTGCTCGCTCCAGCAGCGCCCAGCGGCGGTGCCCGATTGCCTTGCCGGCAGCTGAATTGGCGAACTCTTCCTTCTAGCTCCGGCGGGTTTCCAAGAGAAGGGAATTAGGAATGGCGATGAAAGATGGGTCTTTCCCTCTCTCTCGTTTTGTGGTAGTTAGTCTGTTTCTTTCGTATGATCTATTCCATTTTTATTTTGGTTTGGATGACTTCAGAGTATATCTTACCATTTTTTTCCCCAAAACTTTTACCTATATATGATGTTACAGTAAGCAACTTACCATTAATTAACGAACTTTTTCCTTGTATTTAACAAAATCTATATAAAAAAATCGTGAGTAAACTATTGGAAACATTGATAGTAGAGAAAGACCTGTATAGGCTTGGCCTCCGACTTTATTAAGAAGCTGGCTGCTAGTAAACTTTTACATTTCAACAATTGCTCAATGCAAAATGAACCAGAGATACCAACATGAAAACCAAGTCTACTACGGACTTGTGCTTGTTCATCTTCAACCTATCCCTCCTGTATCGCTTCATCCATCAAAATAACTTCCCTGAGTCTTGTATGCACCAAAATTGAGTTGCAGATAAAATGATCAAACCAAACTGGCAAAGAAAAAGAAAAGGGTGCTGATCGAGTTCTCTTCTACCATACAATTTCCAGCCTAGCTTGCCCCCCAGAGTTGAACAAAAAAGAAACCTCTTAAACTAAGGCCAGGGTCGATCTCACTTGCTGTCGGTGAAATCTGCATCGATGACATCGCCATCAGGCCCTTTTGTCGAAGAGGAGTCGGATGGACCAGACTCACCTCCAGGAGCTGGACCTTCACCGCCGGCAGATGAAGAGCCCTGCTGGCTGTAGAGCGACTGCCCGAGTTGCATCACTTCTTGGTTGAGAGCGGCCATCGCATCTTTCATCGTCTGGGTGGATTCTCCAGCAATCGCGTCCCTGAGTTCTTGAAGCTTGACCTCGACCTTTTCTTTGACTGGAGCTGGGACCTTGTCTCCGAGCTCCTTCAGCTGCTTCTCCGTTTGGTACACCACTGAATCTGCCTGGTTTTTGGTGTCGATCGCGTCTCTCTTCTCCTTGTCCTCCTTGGAAAACCTCTCGGCTTCTTGTACCATCCTCTCAACCTGTGCATACAGATTCATGTTTAGTTATCTAGGACATCAAAATGTTGAATGCGAGTTCAAGATTACAATTTTACAGTGATCTCCTAGTCTTCTAACCTAAAATCCAATTTTAACTGCTGTGGACTTTATAATGTTTACCAAGAGAGTAACAGTTTGTAGTGGTTACATTACCTCATCACTAGGCAGAGTACTAGCACCAGTGATTGTAATATCCTGCTTCTTCCCAGTGCCCTTATCGACAGCAGTCACTGAGAGGATCCCGTTGGCATCAATGTCAAACTTGACCTCAATCTGAGGAACACCACGTGGCGCCGGTGGGATACCATCCAAACGGAAGCTTCCCAAAGATTTGTTGTCCCTCACGAACTCTCGCTCGCCTTGAAGGACATTGATCTCAACGCTGGTCTGCCCATCTGCTGCAGTTGAGAACACCTCTGATTTGGATGTTGGCAGCGTTGTGTTCCTAGGGATGATCTTTGTCATAACTCCTCCGAGGGTCTCCAACCCGATAGATAATGGTGTGACATCCAACAACACGATGTCACTAACATCGCCAGACAGAACTCCAGCCTGTGATGATCGCATAATAATGAAGTTAGATTCAGCATAATTTCAAGACAACAAAATCTATGAAAGTTTAATCTACCTGAACTGCAGCACCAAGAGCAACGACTTCATCGGGATTTACAGTGACATTAGGATCCTTCCCCGTTAGCTTCTTCACAAGCTCTTGTACTGCGGGTATACGTGTCGACCCACCAACGAGAATGACTTCATCTAAGTCTTTGAAGGAAAGTTTTGCGTCCCTCAAAGAATTCTCAACTGGGGTTTTAAGCCTAAGGATATGAAGGATAGATCATAAATAAACCGCCATAGGCAAAGTAAACATGTTTTAGCTGCGTGCAAATCTGTGCCATATATTGGACAGAAAAATAAAGATGCTGCATGCAATGAATATGGTGAAGCTGTGTCAGAAAATGTACCTATCTAGGAGATCAGAGCACAGCTCCTCAAACTTGACCCGTGTAAGAGTGGTCTCGATGTGCTTCGGTCCCTCAGCGGTAGCGGTAATGAATGGCAAACTGAAACCAAGCGAGTCTCATCAGTCTAAGCCACAAAAAGAACTTACAGGACAGGCTGGAAAGATCGAGATTTCAAAACTCATCTACCTAATGTTAGCTTGAGTCAGAGATGAAAGCTCCATTTTTGCTTTCTCAGCTGTCTCAGTCAGCCTTTGGAGAGCTTGCTTGTCCTTCAAAAGCTTAATCCCTTCATCCCTTTCAAAGTCGGCAGCAAGCCAATCAACAATTCTCTGTATAAAAGAGCAAAAATTGCATTAGAGGACTCATTTCACAAAGAAAGCGAAAATAACATCAAACAATGTGAAACAATCAAAACCTTATCAAAGTCGTCACCACCCAAATGAGTATCTCCTGAGGTAGAGAGCACTTCAAAGACTCCATCACCAACCTCAAGAACTGCAGCACACAAAACACACACAGTGACAATCCCATCTCAACATTTTCACCAAGAACTGCGACATATACAATCTTCAATAATAAACACAGTACTTCAAAAGCTGAAGTGCATCTAGATACCTGAAACATCAAAGGTACCACCACCAAGATCAAACACCAAGATGGTCTCGTTATTCTTCCTCTCGAACCCATAAGCTAATGAAGCCGCTGTAGGCTCGTTAATGATCCTAAGGACTTCTAGCCCTGCAATACGGCCAGCATCCTTCGTTGCTGTCCTTTGTGAGTCATTGAAGTAAGCTGGCACTGTGACAACAGCTTTGGTCACTTTGTCATTCAGAAATTTGGAGGCATCATCAACCAGCTTTCTCAACACCTGAATCCAATCAAACAGACATTCAAGAACAAAACCCAATATGGATACCATTAACTCCTTGCAAGCGTATTCAATTGGAGGTCAAACCAAGTAAAAGTTCTTGACTTCTATATCAAACATTCAACACAATGAAGTACACCAATTCACAAATCCTAGCTCAATCAAGCAACTAATATATATTACCTGAGCTGAAATCTCTTCAGCAGCAAACTGTTTCCCCAAAATAGGACAATCCAGCTTCACATTCCCATTATCATCCCTCACAACTCTGTAAGAAACCTGCTTCGATTCCTCATCCACCTCCAACATCTTCCTCCCGATAAACCTCTTCACGGAGAAGAAAGTGTTCTCAGGGTTCACAACAGCTTGGCGCTTGGCAATTTGACCCACCAACCTATCCCCGTTCTTCGTGTACGCCACCACGGACGGCGTAGTCCTCTGCCCTTCCGCGTTGGTCACAATCGTCGGCTTCCCTCCTTCCATGGCGGCGACGGCGGAATTGGTGGTACCCAAATCGATCCCCACAACTTTCTCGCTCACAACCCTCAACGGACCGTAGCTCCTCCGCCTTGTACTCCCGCCGCCGTTGTACCTCAGGAACGCCGCCGTCCTGGAACCCCCCAGGTTTTGGCCGAGGAAGACGGTCTTCGGGGCGAATGAGAAAGTGGGTTTCTTCGATGACCCGGATGAGGCAAACCCCATAGCTCCGAGGCCATGGATCTGGGCAGTCGAGGAAGCCATCTCTGTGAGGTCAAAGACTGAAGCTTTAATCGAGCAGTGAACAAGGCGATGAACTGCGTCACGGAAAGGAAGGTCGGGCGAATGATAAGAGTGAATCCCCAACGACTCCTCCCAACTACAACAGCAGCCCCCGTTTCTGTAGAGCTTTGGCAGGAATTGGGGGTTGGCGAGTAGAAAGAAAAGAGGGGGTTTTCGTTGTATCGTTTCTTATCCCTTCCCTTTTGGCTTTTATCCTTTTTTCTTTTTTATTTTCCCTCTCCCGGGCCGGCAGCGGGAATTCTAATGTCCAGTGAGACAGCAAACCGGTTCTGTCAGTGTGAACCGGTATGTGGATTCACCGAAAACGACCAACTCAAAATCGGGAACGGTAAAGGCCCAATCCATTAATTTTATCCAAGGCCCAATTCAGGAGCCCAAAGGTAGGCAGGTGCCACCGGTAGCTCATCGGAGAATGAACAGCCGTCGTTCAATCTCCGACGGCCAAATTTTGATTTGTCTGCAAAAGCTCGAAATTGAAGAAGAGGGTAAAGCTAAAACCGAACAGTCTTTTTTTTTTTCCTTCTTCTTATTCTGATCCATAAACCACACATCTCATCATCATCAGTTCATTACTCCATATCCCTCTGTTTCCTCATGCATTAAATATACAATCACCGATCACAAGATCCAAATTAACCCGATGAAACTACCGAAAGAGGCCGGAATTATACCGACTCGTTCACGGCTTCTGCTTCTTGAACGAGGTCAGCTCCTTGGGACTGTTGCCGCCGGGATGAACCCAGACGATCGCCTCGTACTTCGAAAGCGCGTCGCCATTGCCGGCGTCGGAGACGGTCAGGTTCAGCCTGTAGCGCTTGCCGTTGACGACCTGGGACTCGCCGGAGTCCACCGTCACCAGCTTCAGGTTCTCTGCGCCCTCCCTGTTGTGCTGGTCGACGGCGAACGCCGCGGCCTCCGCCACGTCCTGGTCCTTGAGGTGTTCGGGCTCGATCTTGGTCCACCCGCCGAGCGACGCCGCGCCGGCGACGGCGAGAGCGAGGACGAGGAGGATCGCGAGGATCTGAGGCTTCTTCATGGTTTGTGCGATCTAGGGATTTCGACGAATTTGGGGATTTTTGGTTGGGGGGAATTGATTCGATGATTTGAGTTTTGGTAAAGGTTGAGATGACAGTTGTGAGCGCGGGTAAGGATTTATTTATAGGGAGAGGAGTCGGTTCGAGAATTAACCACGGCGATTTTAAGCGTATACCGGAGGCATAGGGTTAACTGTTTAGCCTCGTGAGATGCCAGAATTACGGATCGTGCCATTGGTGGGAAAGGAATTGAGGAAGTGACGTGGCGGAGAAAGCTAGGGGATTGGACACCCACATCCCCCCATGGTTAAAAATGTTTGTAGTGGTCATTAAACTACGAGATTCGTCACAAATCGGTCACTAAACTATGCGTATCACAAACGAAATGATCGCTATTTGTTAATTGAATATAAGGTTTCCTAGATGGGCTAGTTGGACATGCTAAATAAATTTTTATTTTATTTTATCAAAATAGTCAAGTTAAAATGACTGTTTTCGAGTAGTATGAGTTGGGATTTAATCTTGCATTACGAGTACATATTAGTTCGTAACCGCTTATAAAAAAAATTCCTTCTTTTCATTGATTTTTTGTGTCGTCGAACTTGTAAGAATAATTATGACCGAGAAAATCATAGTTCGGTGGTAAATTTGTTAGTAGTTCCAAAGTTTAGGGGTCGTTACGCAATTGACCCAATAACAATATTAAAGCAGGCCGGGGATGGTGGGTTGATTGTGTTACGGGCTGTGGGGCCCGACTACGAGTCACGGGGCGATGGACATTTATGTTAGGCTTTTTTTGGGGAGCTGGGCCCATAGGGGTTGAAACTAAATAAAGCCCTAAGATGGGGACGCGACCAATTTTTGGCTATTTTGCTATTGCATTTTTCTTGTCTTTGCCTTCAACAACTCTAGTCTCATGTTGAATAGAAGAAGACATGTGAGTGAATACCACCACCCAACTTGGAGAAATGGACATCTTTATCATCATCTAACCCGTTGTTCATGGCGTAGGAGATATGGGGTGTTAGAAATCTTGACCTTGTATATACTTTGCTAATCAGTTACATGTGTCATAGCCTAGGTTTAGTAGCGGCGGATCCACCCTTCAGGATATAGACGAGTACTGGGCCAAATTTGACTAGCAATGGTCTGAAAAAGATGGAGAGGATTAGAAGAAATCAAGTCTCGTTTGCAAATACTAGTTTTGAACCCAAAGAAGGGATGGACCGTGACCCGTGGAGGCCCTCCCTTGCATCCTCTACTGATGTTTATAATCTTATAAGCAACGTTTGTGATCGAGTTTACATGTCGAGAGTGACGACGGTCAATAATTAACGAGACGAGTTCTCATCTTAAAGATCGTGTTTAGATGAAGATTGTACGTGACGAGTAATCTGGGCATCACGATATCTCATTCCTTGAGTATATAACACATTATTTTCTACCATTCTCTCAATTGAGGCTGGAAATGGATATTAGATGTGAAACTACATGTACAACAAAGTTTTCATTAAACTAGAGCCTGACCATTAAATCTTAATTCACGATTAGAACAAAAAAAAATCTCTATCAACTTGGGAGTTTGACATATCTACACCTCTAGCACACTTTTATTACATAGATAAAACCGCCACTAGATTAGTTTTTTTTCAGAGCCATCAACCTATCATCGATCTCCACCAGGCAAGCAAGCTTGGTGATTATCACTAACGGCCGGCAGAAACCTTAATAACAGACAAAAGGGATCAGCTTGCAAGCCAAGCTCGAAATTGAGCATTCCCACGGGCCACGGTAGACAGCAAAACCCAACAACGAAGCATTCCTCCACGATACAAAAACATGTCGATGAACCCCAACTATGTACCAAAATGACATGGGGAACAATTCGGCTAGCAATGGCTACTAGTTGCGTTTGTTTCGTACTTATCACGACATTTTATAGATAAGTTTGCTCGACAATATATTGTTAAATTACGTATTGATGATGCAAGTTGGTGTTACGTATACCGCAAACACAAAAATTAGAAAGAGAGAGGGAGAGAAGAACAATAAAGGGAAGTTGATTAGCAATTCTGCATATGGCAACAATAAAAAAAAAAAAATTTGGTATACAAGTACATGGTACATATACAATGAAACTATTAAAGAGATTATCACAGAGGAAAGGAAAAAAGAAACTATATCTATATATTCATTGCACATGGATTTTCTTCATTCTTTTTTTTTAATGGAAATCTTTCCCTCTACATTTCCATAAATGAATGAAATACAGGGACACAAAATTGCTCTATAAAAAGGGAATTGGAGATGCTAGTTTGCTGCAACATCAAATACTTAGCATATATTATTGTAAGCTACACAAAAGATAGTTAGATAGTTAGATAGAAATGGAGGCCATGAAGAAGATGGGCGTGATCATGGTGCTGTTTGTGATTTTGGGTTCAATGACGAACCAACAACAAATGGTTTCGGCAGATCGACAAGAGTGTGTTGCTAATTGCTTGGCGCAGTGCATGTTGCCGCTTTACAGTCGTTGTGTTGAGCTGTGCAATAAATATTGCGATGGTGAGGAGCTTCAACAACAAGATAATCATCATCAAAAATCAAGTCCATCAATCACTAACACCAATTTTGATTCTTCTAATTAATATGAAATGGTGTATAATGATAGTGTGTTGAATTATGGATGGACTAGCGAGGCTCTTTTTTTTTGTGTACCCTTCACAGAGCTTGTGTTCAATGAATAAAACAAAGATTTGCATTGGTTTATGATAATTTTCGTCTCCTATTTGTGTATTATTGTATGCAATTTTTTTATTTATGTTGAGATACTCCCCCATTCTCTAAAATGTCCTAAATATGTTTTTTTCCACTAGACATTTAAACGATACAACGATTTGACCAATTGCTAAACCATATATTACAATGAACATAAATAACTACATAAGAAACCACCTCAAAGAAAATAAATACAAGGTCTTTCCTGGCACAAGATAAATATTCACGTTTTTTCTCGCAAAACTCACTTTGTACCCTTGATGTCGGTGTCAACGGTGTCTTATCTCAATAACCACATCCAAACCATGCGTCTAGGGGTCATCTCTTTTGGAGTATAAAAGTCATCTGATCGGAATGGAGCAAGAGAGGACCTCTAGAAATCATTTGCATCATCAATACATAATTGAACTATATACTTTCTCCTGACAGTATATAGTTCAATTATGTATTGATAATACAAGTTTGTGTCACGTATATCCGCAAACACAAAAAAGAAAATAGAGAGAGAAAAAGAAGGGGAAATTGATTAGCAATTCTACATATGGCAAAAAAAAAAAATTTGGTATAGAAGTACATTGTACACATACAATGAGGAAAGAAAAAGGAAACTATATCTTCATATTCATTGCACATAGATTCTTCATTATCTTTTTATGAAAATGGTTCCCTCTACATTTCCATAAAAACGAAAAACAGAGACCAGAAACTACACTATAAGAAGGGAATTGGAGATGTTAGCCTGCTGTATACGAAATACTTGATAAATATATAATTATAAGTTACACAAAAGATAGTTACATATAAAAAATGGAGGCCATGAAGAAGATGGGCGTGATCATGGTGTTGTTTGTGGTTTTGGGGTCAATGACGAACCAACAACAAATGGTTTCTGCAGATCGACAAGAGTGTGTTGCCAAATGTTTGGCTTGGTGCGCGCTACCACTTTACAGTCGATGCGTTGAGTTCTGCAATGATTATTGCGATGCTGGTGGGAAACTACAACAACAATATAATCGTCATACAAAAATCAAGTCCAACAACCTCTAATTAATTTGAAACCGAAAATGGTGTGTAAGGATAGTTTGCTGAATCATGGATTGACAAGCTAGCTAGCCTCTCTTTATTTATTTTTTTTTTTTTGGTACCCTTCCCATAGATTTTTGTTGAATGAATAAAAACAAAGATTTGCATTGGTTTATGATAATTTTCCTCTCCTATTGGTGTATGTTGTATGTGTTTTTCATGATTGTCGAGGTACTCCCCCCACTCCTCTAAAAGGCTCGTGATATTTTTTTTTTCTGCACGAGACACCTAAAGGATACAAAGAATCAACCCAATTACGGAGCAAGATCACGATATTACAATGAATATAATTAATTATAGAAATCGAAATCAACAAACCCCGAAGTAAATAAATGCAAGGTCTTTCTTGCCATACGATAAACAAAGTAACCCTGCTAATATTCCTTCTCACAAAACTCGCTTTGTACTCTGATGTCCGGGCCAACAATACTCTTTTTCGAACCCCTCCACTTAGGAGGAGATGCATGCGGGCTTCGGGTCTGTCACGAAAACTACAAATCAATCCACCGATCGAGCGTACCACCCTAATTCAACAAACAAATGAGTATATGCTTGAATAAATGTAACAACGGTTTGGCCCATATCGAAACAAATTGTCCCGAACATAATTTGATATAATGACTTTTGTACATGAAAAAAAAAAGTGGTCACTCATCACTAACACTTATATCCTTTGTGCGCTTTGGATTTTGCCAAACCTATCTCTCGATACCTTTTTGGGTCTCCCCCGTCTTTAGTGTTCCATCTCACTGCCCGTTTGTGGTTATGAGAACTGTTCTTTGAATTACGACCGTAAAATTGGAACTCCAAAAGCGAGCCAGCAAGTGGTGGCAGCTTTCCATCTCACCATTGCCATTCTGCCTATGAATTTTGGTTTTATCGATCGTCATGTTCGTGTGCACCGTTTATGGCTACCGGCACATGAGATTTAACTTGCTGAGAGAGCAAATGAGATGCATGCCGCTAGTGATCTCTAGCAAAGACACACTACTGGAGAGAAAAATGCATGGAGTTCTCTGGGTCGAGTAAAATGGAGAGAAAATATTTGTGTTAGTTAGAAAGCGATCGATTTTGCTTGGGGACTTCCCATTTCTTCAGCAACATTAAAGTCAGCGTCACCTTCCAACAATGGCGGCGTCCACGAAGAAATTCACCATTCTGTTGTGCGTCGTGGCCTCGCAAGCGACGTTACTATACAGTTTCGGATACTGTACGTGACCAAAACAAAAAAAAAATGTTACGTTATTTGTTCATGCCGCAATTTTCCTTCTTTTACTAGTTTTGCTACTACTCATCGTGTTGAATTTGTAGATACGGTGGTGGTGCTTCTTTCCTCCACCACCACGATGGAAGAGGACCTCGGGATGACGGAGAGTCAAGGGAACCACTTCCGGAGCGACACCCGATGGACGTTCTTCTTCGCGTGCTTCATTTCGGGCTTCGTGGCGGACTTTCTCGGCCGTCGCTCGACACTGATCTTATCGGGAACCCTAGCGTTCGTAGGGTTCCTGGTCATATCCCTCGCGGTTTCGTATGGCGTCCTCATCACCGGCAGGATCCTCTCCCTCGTCGGAATCGGGTTAGGACTCCCGGTCGCGCCTCTTTACATCGGAGAGGTCGCGAGCCCGAGCCTACGAGGCCGTCTCAACACCATACCGGAGGTACAGGCTGTTTTATTTCGAACTGTTTATTCTTTTCTAGGTTTTGTAAGATGCAATGCAATGGTTGCTATAGTGAAGATGTATAGTACATCTTTTTGCAACCACTGAAAAAATAGTTGCATAAGGGTTGGTCAGTATAGTTACGGTCACAAAAGGGTCTTTTTTTTTTGGGTGCGTTGGTCACCAAAGGGGTACTCTTCGTATATGTCCGAAAAGAAAATTGAGTTCAAGCTGTCTCTCAGTAATCGTGGGTTAGTTTAGTTCTTGAGTAATGGAGACAGGAAAGGCTGCTACGTATAGTTTGGTCTCACCAATTGTTTCACGTCAACTTTAGAAAAGGGAGGCGGGAAGTTAAAAGGGCAAATAGCATCCACTAATTAATGGTTCTCTTACGTGGTAAAGTGGGTTGATGATCGATATTTAATTTGGTGATTAACGGTTCATTTTAACCCACTCCAATATACTTTTTACCACCCCCTACTCTTTGCTCTTAAGCAATGTTCACCCTTTTTTATATCTAGAAATATTGAGCAATGTTTACCGTATGGGTAAACTTAAGATAATCATTACTTCTCTATGCTCTGTTAATTAACATGAAGCCTTTTGAATTCTTTGGCTCATAAATAGCAAATGATGCATGTACAATTTTTCTTGCCTTGCAGATACTTTCAGTCCTAGGACTGTGGTTAGGTGTGTTGACACGGGCCGCAGTCCGGGACCTGCCAGCGACCTCCCAGTGGAGGGTGATGGTGGGTATGGGGATCATCCCATCCCTAATTTTAGGGGTGGGTATGATATTCCTACCCGAATCACCCTGTTGGTTGGTCCGGCGGGCTAGAGTCAGGGATGCGAAAATTGCCCTCCAACGTACTCTGAAAACCACGGAAGAAGTCGAAGCACGCTTGCTGGGGTTGAGGAAAGCTGCCAGAATCCCACCAACAATGGGAGACGAAAACTTCGATGCCTTGGCACAAGACATCCACGTCTTGGCCATTTGGCAGGAACTGCGACGACCATTGGTCCGACCCCAGTTGAAAAAGTTGTTGATCTCCGTGTTCACCATCCAGTGCCTTCAGCCAATGTCAGGGGTGGACCTTCTCACGTACGAGTCGCTGATGAGGTACCCTCACAACGGTCCGGGCACTCCGGTGGAGTTCGTGATGGAGGAGCTCCTCCCATTGTGCGGGAGGTTGCTCCCCATCTCGGCTCCCCTGTTCCTCTCAGATGTCATCGGACGGACACCACTCGTGCGTCACAGCTTGGGGGCCGCGGGGATCTCCATGGTGTTCATCTGCACCACGACGACAATGTTGAACTATGAGATCAGCTCGAGAGTTGTCAAGGAGCTGAAGAGGTGGAGCACGATAGCCTTCTTCGGATCGTTTTCCTTTGGATTAGGCCCCATGACAATGGTGCATAGCTCCGAAGCCCTCCCATTTAAGGTTAGGGCTCAAGTAATCGGGATTGCAGTGATGGTGAACCGACTACTAAGCTTTGGGTTGTATTGCTTGAAACCAGCTCTAGACCGGGTGTTCGAGAGTTTGATATACTGGATTATCAACCTCGGATTCCTATTCGGATTGTGGCTGTGCGGCAGGTACATAATCGAGACCTCCAACGAGTCCTTGGAAGTGCTGGACAACGATTTCAGGCCGACACTCGAGCTGAGTTTAGGTCCTCTTGCTACCTAGGTTAGTTACTGTGTGAGTTACTTGAGTCGGTATTCATAAATGGAAGCTCTAATTATCCCTTGTGTACTCTGTTACAAGCTAAGATGATCTTCTAGTGTGTATCTCCTCTGGCATGTGAATCACTTGCAAGTCCCTTCTTTTGTACGCCTATGTATTGCTGACTAGCTTTGGCCCTGCCAGATGGACGGTTCGATGTGTGATTATATATGTGAGTATACTTTTCGAAGGAAGGTGGCTTTGGTATGCATACAAAAAGCCTATATACAAGAACATGAATCACCAAACGAACGATGATGTACAAACCAACATTTTGCGATCTCTGTAAGAAGGAAGAATGAATTTAACATACATCAATTCGAAATAAAAGGAGTAAACAATAACAGGACATTCAGAAACAACCATCGCATTGTTGATGAAAGGGCGCTGCTTCTCCAAGTATAGGGAGGTTTTGAAAATTCTGCTTCCTTCATGGACGAAAGACTGCAAGAGTCGAGAGGTGTTGCAGTCTTTGCCATGGTTGATCTGCAGATTCTATCACTGTTTTTTTCCCTTTTCGATCCATCTGCGTTAATAAGGATTCGCATATCCTATTTTCTAGCAAGGCATAAATCAAGGGAGTAGTTGAAGTGCGTAGTAGAAGTAAAAGCCAGTTTATTGTAAGAGACCGAGGTTTGATCATCTGTCAATTTCTCTAGCTTAGGGCCATTACATTGAACCTACGTTTGCAGAAATTCAGTTTGTTTCTGTGTTCATAGTTGGGCAATGAACTTTGATGGCCAAATATGATCTGGAAAAGGCAGGGTAGTGCTAGTGCTCAAAGTAGACAACAGAAACAGAAACACTGGTCCGAGAGTCAAACACAAGTTAGGCAGAAGCTGATCCTGGTAATGCAATACGGAAATTAGGAGTCCAGCAGCCAAGGATTAGGACTTTTTGGTCTAGTTACAACAGTGAGCAGAACAACTTGAGAGCACAGATATGCAGGTAGCTGTTTGAATCTAAGGGAGGACGTGTTGAAGCCAGGCGTCCTGAGAAGATGCAATTCAGCTCCTGTGTGTTATCTACTACTGAGAACACAACAGTTTGCATTTTACATTGATGAAAGGAAATCAAAACGTTCTGTAGTGGCGTGAAAGGGAAATCCCAGTACTGTGCTTAAAGCTGCCAACTTTAGGTTTTAATAATCTGGAAGCTGCCAACAGTTAAAACTTTAGCCAGAACCAGAGCCACCCCTATTTCACCTAATGCTTCCAACGGCAGGGATACGAATGAGAGAACCCAAAACGTAAAGATCAAATCTTTCCTCGGCCGAACTCAAACACTAATCGGATAAACCCAAATCTCAATTTTCAAGTAATTAATAATAATGGGAGTGGTTTCAGATTTAAGTCACTAATACCTAGCGTGTGGCGGCTGTGGTTTTCATAGTAGCCGGAGAGAGGTAGAGAAGGAGATGTACCTCTGCATCAATTTCCCGGCGCCACCATCGTTGTCATCAACGGGCGGGTAACTCCCCGACATCCTGACGAAAGAATTAGGACAGACTTTTGATCGAAGAAGAAGAGATCACCCCCGTCGGAGGAGACGATTTCTGTGCTATTGGAAGAAGAAATGGTTCGTGATTGGGCGGCGGCGAGACTCGCTTTTTGGATCCGGCAACCCGGCAAAATTTGCGGGCAAGGCGCCAGATTGGGCCGAACCCAGCTGACACTCGATCCCAACTTCGATTGGGCCTACTGTTCGTAAAAACAAAGCCCATAAAATCCTGTACTTTTGTGAAAGTTGGGTATCGCGTAATTTTTTTTAATTATTTCGAAGACTCTACCGGATCTGTAAACGAATTTGCATTTTCCTTATTATTACTGTTCCTTATTGGATGACTTTAATAAAAAAATAGGGTCAAATATGTGTTGCATTTTTAATTTGGTTTCTACAATATTAAATATGTATGCGATATTCAACGAAAAAAAAAATATGTATGCGAGTAGTGAACAATAAGCTAGGTAAAATTCCCAGGTTTTGATGAATAAAAAAAAAAAAACAATAAGGTGAAACATAAAAGAATAAGGGTGAAGATGATCTCAAGGAACTAAAGACCCTTTATTGATAGTTCAGTGTACAATGACGATGAAACATAGGCACTGTGACAACAGAGGTGAGCGGGAAAGAACTATTTAACCAATTTAGAATTGGTATTGTTACTACTCTCAGTTTTTGGGTTTTCTGCAGGGTTGTTAGCTTCTTGATTATGACACTTCTTATAACAATAAATAAGACAATCCTCATAATTCCTCTGCTTACAATGGGTCGTGCAATAATCGAAACATTCCTCGTAACCTGCAAATGTCTGGCTTGTCGAAGCTAGGATTACCAACAACATGACTACGAGCATCATCTTCGTCTTCATCTTCTCTTCTAGACCTCGATGTGAGAGTTTCTCAACTTATGAGATATTGCGGATATTTCTTGGTAGCTATTTTTCTCTTCTTCTTCCTCTTATAATTAGGACTCTATCTCTCGCGGCTTCTTGTAATGGTAGACAAGAGTGGAAGATTTGGATTTTCTTCTATTTACAAGAAAATAGAATGAGCAATTTCCATATAAAAAAGTTTCCGCTTCTTGTAATGGTAGACAAGAGTGGAAGATTTGGATTTTCTTCTATTTACAAGTAAATAGAATGAGCAATTTCCATATAAAAAGATTCGATAGTTAATGTTGGATATTCTTTGCTTCTTTTCTGTTTGGCAAAATCCTAAAAATTTATTGTCACGGATCCCTCTATTAAATGATGTGTGTCTTTTATGTGTTTATGATTTTATGGTAGTTATATCTGTAATTAAAAGCAAAAAAACAACATAATCAGAACAGACGGAGGCGGTGGTGATAGTAGTTCTTGCCGTGATTTCAACCATCTTCGTTATTGCTTACAAAACTAGTGCTTGCGGGGACAATGTGGTGGACTGGTGGTGATCAAGGTTGAACCCAATTCTAATTTCTCAAAAGAATTTCGAATTTGGTCAATGGAATATATCATAATTTGTTGTATGCGATTGTCATCTCTAAAGGGTACCAAAGGGAATGTACAATTGAACCATAATAAGATACATCTTGTCATAAAAAAAATACTACCAATTTAAAAAGACACACCCCGTCATAAGATACATTAACATAAATTGTGAATTGATAAATTAACCAAAAAATTTCTCACTTGATGATAATATGATTTTATATTGGTTAATCTGGTTAACCAATTAACCAAACCGATTAAACTTTAGTTTGGTTAATTTGGTTGTTGTATTAGTTTGGACGGTTTGGTTATGATATTGCATTCCATGGTTAATGAAATTTAGCTTTATTTGGTTTGGTAATAACTATGGTAACCATTTGAACACCCCTAAAAGGGAATGTACAATTTTTTTTTGAGGGAAAAGGGAATGTACAATTGTACCATAATAAGATACATCCTGTCATAAAAAAAAAAGATACTACCAATTGAAAAAGATACACCCCGTCATAAGATATATTAACATAAAAATTATGTTACTTTGAATGTTTACTTGATCTCGAAAAGGTGACCTTCCAGTTTAAGAAACAATAACAAAAGAAATATGCTTGATCTCAGAAACTAGTATTATTGAACTTATTGATTTCAAGGACGCGATATTGAAAGCTTGGTTTCCGTCAGAAACATGAAGACGAGAAACTATGGATCGGTCTTAAAGTCGGTATGAATTGCTCGAACTTTTTTTTCCCCGTTGTTGCTCGCAATTTGAATGACCACTATGATGACACAGTGTAGAGCACCTAGCAAGACAAATAGGATAAGTATGTTTGCAGATGTCTTTCATGCAAGCCTTTAAACAACACGCATAACCTCCTGAAACTCGTTGATTCATCGAGCTCGAAATTACTAGCATTACAATCACCACTCCAATCATCATCTTCATTTTTCTTCAACAAAAAACCTCTACCAATCTTGATTTCTCTTCTTTCACCAGAGTGTGATGATGTATGGCTGCATAGAGCTCTTCCCTTCTTATATATAGGAGGTTGCAAAATGAAACTTTGTGCCTATATAAACATTCAACCAAACTTTATCAGAAAACCGGCCAGATCATAAAAATGGAAAGAAAAAAACAAAAGAGGAAAAACACAATAAGTTTGACTGAAAAGAGTATCCCAAAGAGTGACTACATAAGGAAAGAGTTGAAATGAAAAGTCTCATGTATTGATTACAAATTTTAATACTCAATCTCAAAGTCGTTATATATGCTCTATGGATGCCACCGTACATTACAGATTCTCCCACGTTGTATTAACTTATTATAAAAAGGGGGGAAAAGAGCTATGGAGAACATATACACACAACACCTTCAAGAATCAAATCATAATTTTGTTGGTGAAATCGAGAATGAAGATGGTGGCGATGATTGGAGTCATGTTAATGCTAGTGATTTTGAGTTCGACTCCAAACAATCAAGCAGTGGAGTTGGCGGACTACGCGTCGTGTTTCAAGAAGTGCGATCTTTCTTGCAGTCTGGGCGATGTAAAGCTGTGCGATCAATACTGCGATCTCCAGTGTGAAGATCAGAAGATCAAGTATCACAAAAAGCCAGACGTAATTTCATATGATAGCAAGTATAAGTCGATCATTCCCTAGATAATCGTTTCTTCTTCTTCTTCTTCTTCTTCTTAATCACCGTTATAAAGAGGAATCCAAATCACTTTCCATGTAGGTCCCCGAAGAGAAATAATCGGTGGTGTACTCAACTATCAATAAAATACCTTTACGACGAGCAACAAAAGTCGACAACCAGTGGCGGAGCCACCCATCTTGGCTCAAGATTATAGTGTTTGTAAAATCGTATTGTATAGGTGGTTCGATCGAGAAAACCTTCTATTGAATTTTAAATCGTAGACGATTTTTTAGTATTATGAAACGGTTGAATCGCGATTAAACCATGGTTTCAACATAAATATCATACTATTGACTGTTTTAGTACAACCACTGCTACGGATTTACAATCCTTGCTAAATTATTACACAGATAACAATATTTGTACACAATTAATAACTCCGGAACCTATTACCTCATGCTTACTGGTTTTACTTATCTACAAATTAATTGTAGAAAACTTTGTGGTACTCATGAACCTTGCATATTATATAAATAACTCTAGAGTTTATACAAAATTGTGTCCCTAATCATGTATTATAAATTTACTAAGTTCTAATTTAGTATTGAATTATCCACCTTCCAACAAAAATATGTCGACATACTATGAAACGCGTTATAGGTCATTTCATTCATTTTATATAATTTTATTTTTATGTCGGACCCACCTTAAGTGAAATCCTGGCTACGCCACTGCGGACAACAATATTTACTTTCAAAACACTTCTACGTACATAATTAATTAAAAATATCGTTAAGTCAAATATTAATCCCCAAATCTACAATTTTGAAGTAATTTAAAGTACACATATATAACAACAGCAACAATATATTCATATGCATCACCACTATCATATATATAATACAACATTCCACTGGGCCACACTTTAGCACATTATAAAAGGCATCAATTATTGTAACGTAAAAATAAAAAATAAGAAAAACATTAATAACTCTATTGCCACCAGATCCTTCGTGGCTAAAGCTAGCCTCGATCCATTCGCACAAACGACGTCAATTCCCACTTCCCCGTCCGATACTCGAACACAAACGTCTGGTACTTCCCGCGGCCGAGACGGCCGCCGGCGGCGGCGGTGATGTAGAGGTGGTAGTTGGCGCCGACGGCCTTGAGAAACTCGCCCTTGTCAACGCTCACCAGGCTCAGCGGCGGGCGATCCGGATAAGCCTTGTTGTACTCCTTCACCGCGAACTGGGCTACCGCCGTCACCTTCCTCGCCTTCAAGTTCCTGAACGGCTGCCACGAGGCCTCGAAATTGCTGCGCGCCACCGTCGCTTCCGCCGACAAGAGGAAGAGGACCGCGAGGAGAGCGGCGGTGGAGAAGAGATGTGGTGGTGGTGACATGGTTTGTGTTTGGTTTCTTCGTGTGTCTGATTTTGTGCCACGAGTTTTTATGTTTGTTTTATTCTCGTTTTGGTTTTATTTTTATTTGGAAATTGATGAGGTTATATATGGTCCATGTTTAATATGGTTGGGTATGTGGCAGGTGGTTCTTTATTTTGGAAATATCTAGCGGGTTTGGTGGATTTATTTTGTTTCCTTCGTTTGGGGTAATTTAAAATTCATGGTAATTTTGGAATTTATTTGAAAATGAGATTTTGAGGTGTACATATCGAGAACTACTAGATTTATAGTTCGGGGATATCATAGTAATAGTGTAAATATGTGATTATTTCAAGGGAAAAAACTCGTAATAATCACATATTTACACCATTACTATTATCGCCGATCGATTTTTACAAATTTCTGGTGAGATTAGTGACCAGACACGAAATATAGGATAAGTGAAGTAAACATTTCATTTAAGTAGTAGTTAAAGAGAATTTTGCAGGTTTTAATCAAAGATTACGAAATCGTACCGGAGGTTATATAAAAAAAATTGAATGATAAAAAAATTTATAATAAAATCATGATTTAATTATAGTTTAGCCGCTTTATACGGCTAAATCCATCTATCATTTTGTTCTCGATATGCGGTATTTTCGATCTGACCGGCCAATTCGGTAGGTTGCTCAAACATTGCTTTTAATTCGTTTATTTCACAAGAACTGAGTGATATATAGGTGTTTGTTTCTACTTTCTACGCGACTACGTGGGCCATGCATGCACGAGGTTTTAATTAATCGGGCCCAGCGGTGGAAGGCAGTTAAGGCCCAAGTCGAAGCCCGCCTCATTTGGGTGGGTAAACTCCAACCAAACAAAAAACGGAAGGCCCAAGGAAAAAAAAATTGACCCTCACCAAATGACAGACGAGTGTCCATCATCGCAAATAGCTTTCCTTTAGCAACCATGAAGGATTAGTCACTGAAAATGGTTATTTTATCGAGCACCGCCATATTAGTTACTGAAAAATCTAGAAAAAAACTACTACGCTGAATTATTTGGAACCAACAACCAAAAAAAAAAAAAAAAGCCCACAAACACTAACTATATAGCCACCTGAGCTACGTTGTCGTCACTAATAAACAACATCCACGGGCGCAAACAACAGCTGCCGCGGCATCTCTCCGGCCAGAGGAACAAACACAAACGTCTGGTACTTTTCCTCGCTGTGCGCGTGGCTGGAGGCGGTCAGGTAGAGATGGTACACGACGCCGGCTCCGGCGGCCAAAACCTCGCCGCCGTCCACCCTCACCAGCTTCAAGGGAAGCTCCCCGGGGTGTTCGTTGTTGTACGTCGTCACCGCGAAGCGCGCGGCGTCAAGGACGTGCTTCTTTTTCAGTAGGAATCCCCTAACCGGCAGCCAGTTGTGTTCGGACATCACCGTCGGCATCGGGTAGACATCGTCGGGAGTGCCGGCCGGCCTTGACGACTCTGCTGTCCCGACGGCGAGTACGAGTGCCAGTAGAAGAGCCGTCGCTAAATTTGGTGATATCGTCGCCATTGTTTTTACCTCTCGAGTACGTTCCGTTTTTTCTTCTTCTTTTGCTGCTAATTAAATGCTTGTGGAGAATTGAGCTTTGGGGACGAATTTATAGTAATGATTATCTGAGTAATTAGTCATAACTGCATCACCTTATAAATAGCAGTTTCTGATTAGAGCATGACCTAAATTTACATAAATCAGATTAATAATGAATTTTTGTATTACGATTACCAAGCCAAGTCCTTCAAAAATGGTTAGATATTTTAGTTGCTGCGACCTTGTCTTTAAAGCAATATATATATACAAAAAAAAGGAACTTTTCAACCCTCCAAATACGCCGAGTTACTTTCTTACTTAACAACTAACATAAAATTCATATCATCGGAATAGTTTGGCCTGATGTAATTTTTGCGGGAACGGTTAGGTTCTAGCTGAAGTTTTTACATGAGTACTTTTCAAAATATACAATTGCGTGTTTGGCTAAAAAAAATTATTAGAAGGACATTTTAATACAAGAAGATGTGCAAAACAACTAAAAAACTTCTAATATAAACTGTGAATAAAAGTTTTAAAAAATAAAAAGTAGTCATAATGAATTCTGCTAGAATTCTCTTTAGCAAAATATGCATATAAGAAAGAGTTTTTCAACCCTCCAAATACGTAGATTTCATTAACCAACTAATAACAAGGGGAACGATTTATATAATGTAAGACCTTTGAAACCTACTAAACCCTGTATCTTACAATTTTTGTATAAGATACTTATCATCCTGGTAAAATTCATATCATGGATGATAACACACAAGGCTTTGTATATTTAGTTTGGCACCAAAATTACATGGGTTAAGATAAAACAATCCATTTAGGAAAAACTACTAACGAGATCGTTTTTCATGAGTTGGTAAAATAACAGATGAATCGTCCTAAATTCGAGCTTCGAAATTTTATACCACACATAAAACACATGTACATTTTATCGTTTCAGATCATTATTGTTGCTATTACGCTTAATCTATATTTACGTAACTCTTATATATGATAGAAACTTAGTGATCAACCACCAGCCTTACATAGAGACCTTCATCTAAAGGTCCATCCTGGTGCAAGATCTCAGGAGAGACTGAGAGAGGCCAGCCATATCCCCAACGAGGCAAAACTACATGCACCTTCAACGTAAGTGGGCAGTCAGAAATTTTATTAAGGTAAACCCAATCAATAAAAAAAATATAACAAAATTATTTTCATAATTTTGATACTATTAACTAGTTCTGGCTCCACCACTATTCAACATTACGATATAAATTCAACTCGTACACGAAAAAAATTCGCGACGCTTATGAGCACGGTTGAATTCCTCACGGATAATATCCCATAAGATATCATAGCTTACAAGACCATAACTAAGATGAATATATACATCTTTAGCGACACCACCAAAATTATTTAACTCACAAAAATACGACCTACATCTCGTCACTAATTCTCAATGCTTAAGGGTACAAACAACAACTGCTGCAGCCTCCCTCCCGGATACGAAAACACGAACGCCTGGTACTCATCCCGGCTGTGCGCACGGCTGGAGGCGGCCAGGTAAAGATGGTAGACGACGCCTCCTCCGGCGGCCAAAACCTCGCCGCCGAGCACGCTCACCAGCTTCAACGGCAGCTCCTCGGGGTGTTCGTTGTTGTACGACGTCACCGCGAAGCGCGCGGCGTCCAAGGCGGGCTTCTCTTTCAGTTGGGCGATCTTTATCGGCAGCCACGCGTGTTCGGACACTGCCGCCGGCGGCCAGGCGTGTTCGGACGCGGCCGGCAGCTGCGAGTAGTAGTCGTTGGAGTAGACCGCCCTAGACGACTCTGCTGTCCCGACGGCGAGGAGGATGGTCGCTAGAAGAGTCGTCGCTAAACGTGGTGATATCGTCGCCATTGCTCTCGAATCTTTTTTGCTCAAGTACTAATTAGTGATATCGTCTTTTTCTTTTGTTGCTAATGCTTGGTGGAGTAATTGAGCTTTGGGACGGGATTTATAGTGATAATCTATGTAATAATTAGTCAAAACTGCATCACCTTATAAATAGCAATTTCTGATTAGAATAATGGCCTAAATTTGCGAAAATCAGTTAAAAGTAAAATATATGTGTATGAAAAGAACTTTTCAACCCTCCAAATATGCAGAGTTCATCCACCAACTAATTACCGCTTTATATTAAAAACAACGTACAAAATACAAGCACTTAACATGCAGTATTTCACATTATACAAGTAAGTGCTTATAAGTTATAATTCAGAAAAAAACCAGATTGATTGTTTTATATTCGAATCTCGAAACCGAAATCATATTTCTTGAAATCGAACCGAATTGGAAGGGATAGTACTAAGTGTGAAGGAAAAGTAAGGACTAATGTCGACCTCAAAATTTTTCTAATCTAATTTCACCCAATCCACTTTCCCCTTTATTTTCAAATAGTTTATAGTACCAAAATAAAATCCAATTTTATTTTTGATTCTGTTCAGTTTGATCCCAATATCAATTTAATCAGCAATTCAATCCTTATATGGTCTCAAACAAGGTTCACGAGTTTAGCTTGAGAAATTTCACGGTAGTATTTCGCAATTTGGATTCACGCAAAGTCAGAATGCATGATTCATCGGTCTCTGTGCGCGCTATACCGTGGATGTGAGACAAAATGAAACTAGATATATTGATTTAAAAGAATCGCTGGTATGGTTTCAATATAGAAATCTCATATTCGAAACATTCCTCAACATACCCTTAGGTCTCTTAATTATATGGTGTGTTGCCCTTCGTTTGTTAATGACATTTGGTGCAATAGAACCACATATTCTACGCTGCCATTCAAGCCTCCGATTGCACCTCGAGCCTTGTCATTCGTGGTTTAAACGGGCATGTGCTCCTCGCATTGTGAGTCTGGTACCAGGGTCTCTTTGTCCCTTATCTTGCAGAATGACTAGTAGCCAGGAATGCCTTGTCACTTGCAGTCTCAAGAAGTTTGTCTCAAAGGCGATTCGAAGTTGTCATCCATCAACTTAGTCAAGGAGTAGTACTGGTGGATTCGATTGGAGGACCCCATGTTTCGGGAGTGTTAGTCTTCTAGTTGAGTCATTCTCTCATTGTATAGTTTTTAGGGCGGTTCAGCGGGCTTTCAACTGGGCTGCCCATAGAGTGGCGATTATAGCTCTGTTGCTGTCAGCTTTATAGTTAGCTGCTTTTGTTTTGTAGGGTGGATTTACCTTGTTGGGATTGGGAGGATCATGGGTAGAGGTTCTTTCTAACTATCTTTAAGTCATTACCCGGATAAAAAAAAGACATGGAACGATTTGAAAGAAACTAAAATTTGATGCGAACAATTAAGGACATGATCATCAGTTAATCACATTATAACTACTAGACCGACAAAAAGCTTATTCTAACTTCTAATTATTCAATCAAACTAACATATGGAGAACTTGACGGATTTTAGTGGATTACAGTACAGGCATGAAATACATTAGCCCCCCGGCGGTACGATCAAGGCTCACGCGAACGGCCGTTTGGTATAGAGACCCCTTGGAGCTGAGGTTGTCGACTGGAGCCGCACTCACGATGAGCGTGTAGATCAACCCACCTTTAAACTGCTGGATGCTGCCCTTATCAACGCTCACGAGTCTCAACGGATATTTGAACTCGGTTTTGAAGTTGTGCATAAAAACTGCGTACTCCGCGACCATCCTAACACGAAAGTCGTTTGGGTTTTTTATCCGCTGCCACGTACCGATCGTCGACGACGACGTTGCCCCGACGGTGGAGAGAACGACTGCGACGGTAGTTATAGCCACGAGAAACGTAATGGGCTTCATCGTCTCGTTTTGGTTGTTTGTAAAATGATTCTGAGTGAGTGAATTTTTTTTTGGGGGAGATGTTTGCTTTGGTGTTTTGGGATGTGAAGCTAGAGTGAATTGTGGTGTGTATTTATAGGCTATATAGTGAACTATTTTGATTTTTCTATCATTTGTTCGTTTTCTGGTCTTGTGGTAAAGTTGTCCATTTTTAGAGGCATGTATCCCGTCGTTTTAGATTGCGAGTATATATTTTTTGCTACTTTTATGCTTAACTAGCCTATTGACTCTCCTCTTTTATCGATTATTTGTTATATACATTCTCTAGTTGCCTAAGTACGTACGTGGCATGTGTTGGTGGTATGTTGAGCAGCCACTTACACTAGTTCTTCGTTTGATTCCATATTGAATTGGATCACGACTACATGATCAAAAGCCTACTAAAACTTGACTGTAAAATACAACTTTTTTTTACAAAATATATTCATATAGATTGAATCACCAAAAAGATAGTTACACCCTGGAAAACAGCCAGGTCTGAAAACCAAACAAAAGACTCGCAGTCGGGGACAATGAAAGGGCCTTTCTAGCCACCAAATGGGCTACCCTATTGTTACGACGACCTACAAATCGAACACTAAACCCCGAATGCAAGGCAAAACAAGATACCACCTCCTCCAAAACCGCCCCCATCCGAATATCGCCAATCTCCGCCCGAATGATCTTATCGATGACAACCTTGGCGTCCCCTTCAAAGCAAACCTCAGAGAACCCATTCTCAAGACACCAAAATAATGCCTTGCGCAGCGCCAGCACCTCCACCACCATAGGGTCATCAATGCACTGGAATTGGACCCCGTGGGCCACCAAAATATCTCTCGATGGAGTCATCACCACCACTCCTCCCGCCGAGTGGGACCCCTACCGCGTCGCCCCATCCCACATGCAGATAACCTGACTACCAATCCTTGTGCTAGTAGAAGGAGGCCCAGGAGCATAGAAGGGGTTTCCCCGCTCAACCGGCACCCGCAGCCACTCATCAACCTGCTGATTTAACTGGCGCATCAAGACCTGGATCCCGAATTGTTTGCTTTAAAAAACAACCCAATTCCGAGAGCGCCAGATACTCCAGAGTACAGCAATCACAGTCATAACCAGATCCGGTTGGCGAATGAGAGCTAACAGTCGTTTAAGAAAAAGCGGGAAAGTATGGCGAGGCAACCCCTGACCCAGATATTCCAGCCAGAGTAATCCCAGAGCGCCCGAGCCACCGGGCAATCCAGAAAAAAATGCTCCATGGTTTCCTCTGCATCCCAACAGACAGGACACCTAGGGTACCAACACATCCTTATTTCTAAGAGCCTCTGTTGTGGGGAGAATCCGATTAAAAACTTGCCAAACAAACACCTTAAGCTTGGGCGGGATGTTGGCATCCCATAATCGGATCCAGCTGGGTCTATCCATCCAACTAACCGTAGCTTTACAACGATTGTTCTGCTGATCCAACTGTAAAATAAAACCACGCAAACTCTAAAAAAATCTAAAGAGTTCTATATACACCCTACTGAAGCTGGCTAGGAGGGGGACTGGTCTGGTAACGATCCGGTCTTTTCGAGAATATGAGGACTGAAGATTGGATTGGATACATTCTGGTTTTGATCTGGTCCGGTCTTGACCCGATCTGGTCCCAATCCAATCTTGATTTTAGATTGTGCTTATGGGGGTTTGAGTGGGCTGAGGCCTAAAAGGGTATGGATTGAGTGGTGTGCTAATTAGGGACGGAGCCAACTTGTCGGTAGGAGGGCCTAGGGGTGGAAAATATTTTGGTATGATTTAGCCGGACTGCTTATCCGGTTGAACTGGGTTGATTATTTTAGTCAAAACTCTAGCTGGAAATTTGATTGGATTGAATATGGTGTTAACCACACCGAACCAAACAAATTTGATCAGTTCGACTTTAACCCATAAACTGGAATCACTTAGTGGACTGACACCCCAAAACGCCACAGTTTTTAGCTGCATTCGTTGTATTTTTTTTTTTTTGACAACTTTCATATCATCTTGTCTTATGGACCCGTGCATTCATGGTTTTTTGGTCGTTTGGTTTTGGTGATAGTTGAATCGATGTATTGTCATCAATGCATGCATAATAATATACATGTATATAAGAAAATTGGTGTATTGTAGTTTACATTGTTTGGTTTCTGAGATAGTTATTGTAGTGTTTAAATAAATTATATTACTTTATTGGTGAAATGTCATTTGTACCCTTTGTTTTTAGTATAAAAAAGCAACATACATAAAAAGGTAAGGACATAGTTAGAAGAAGAAAAAAGCACAACAATCTCAACCAAAACTTGAGATTTAACTATCACTTATTTTGAGTGATAGTTTGTGGCACAGCAAGCAAACAACGCATGTATTGTTTGTCCAGAAATTTTAAAAAAACGATCCATTGTGAACATTGAAAGGGATGTCGATTTGAAATAGTTAATTGTATCAAAATCAATCGAATCAAATTACATTTCATTTTGTTCAGTCTGATCCCTATATCAATTTAATCCACATTAACCGTTGCTCACCCTTAGTCCGATTAGAGGTCACAATAGGGGATATGTTGGTTGTTTAATTAAAAAAAAACTTCATTACTTGCAAGAATTAATCAAGCAAGAAACAAGAGCTTGTTATAATCAAATTCAAATCTAAAGAATTAAGGCAAAATTCACTTGTGTAGTCATAATTATCGACTTTGTGACAATAATCCGATTTCTGAGAAATACACAAAATGTTCATGTTGGATTGTTGCGAGACTTCATGGGCCATGCATGCACGAAATTCGATTGGGCTTAGGTCTGCAAGGAAGTTGAGGCTCAAATTCGCTGGTATGGTTTCAATATAGAAATCTCATATTCGAAACATTCCTCAACATACCCTTAGGTCTCTTAATTATATGGTGTGTTGCCCTTCGTTTGTTAATGACATTTGGTGCAATAGAACCACACATCTAGATATGGAACGATTTGAAAGAAACTAAAATTTGATGCTAACAATTAATTAAGGACATGATCATCAGTTAATCACATTATAACTACTAGACCGACAAAAGCTTAATTATTTAACTTCTAATTATTCAATCAAACTAACATATGGAGAACTTGACGGATTTTAGTGGATTACAAAACAGGCATGAAATACATTAGCCCCCCGGCGGTACGATCAAGGCTCACGCGAACGGCCGTTTGGTATAGAGACCCCTTGGAGCTGAGGTTGTCGACTGGAGCCGCACTCACGATGAGCGTGTAGATCAACCCACCTTTAAACTGCTGGATGCTGCCCTTATCAACGCTCACGAGTCTCAACGGATATTTGAACTCGGTTTTGAAGTTGTGCATAAAAACTGCGTACTCCGCGACCATCCTGATACGAAAGTCGTTTGGGTTCTTTATCGGCTGCCACGTGCCAATCGACGACGACGACGTTGCCCCGACGGTGGAGAGAACGACTGCGACGGTAGTTATAGCCACGAGAAACGTAATGGGCTTCATCGTTATCTTTGGTTGTTTGTAAAATGATTCTTCTGAGTGAGTTTTTTTTTTTTTGGAGATGTTTGCTTTGGTGTTTTGGGATGTGAAGCTAGAGTGAATTGTGGTGTGTATTTATAGGCTATAGTGAACTATTTTGATATCTCTATCGTTTTTTAGTATTGTGGTAAAGTTGTCTATTTTTAGATGTACGTATCCCGTCGTTTTAGATTGTGGATATATCTTTTTTTGCTACTTTTATGCTTAACTAGCCTATTGACTCTCCCCTTTTATCGATTATTTGTTATATACATTCTCTAGTTACCTAAGTACGTGGCATGTGTTGGTGGTATGTTGAGCAGCCACTTACACTAGTTCGTTTAATTCCGGATTGAATTGGATCATGACTACATAATCAAAAGCCTACTAAAACTTGACTGTAAAATAAAACCACGCAAACTCTAACAAAAAATCTAAAGAGTTCTATGTACACCCTACTGAAGCTGGCTAGGAGGAGGCAAGTTTGGATTGAGTGGTGTGCTAATCGGGGACGGAGCCAATTTGTCGGCAGAAGGGCCTAGGGGTGGAAAATATTTTGGTCCGATTTAGCCGGACTGCTTATCCGGTTGAACTGGGTTGATTATTTTAGTCAAAACTCTAGCTGAAAATTTGATTGGATTAAATATGATTTTAACCAAACCGAACCAAATAAATTTGATCAGTTCGACCTTTGATCAATTTAACCCATAAACTGGAATCACTCAGTGGACTGACACCCCAAAACGCCACAGTTTTTAGCTGCATTCGTTGTAATTTTTGAGGGACAGCTTTCATATCATCTTGTCTTATGGGCCCTTGCATTCATGGTTTTTTTGTTTTTGTTTCCAAGAACCTGTAATTATGTGTTTATGAGCTTTTTCTTATTTCTACAAAGGTCCTCTCTCTAGCTCCATTCCAACCAAATGGTATACTCCAAAAAGGATGGGGGGAGTACAACATACACAAAAAAAACGCATACAACAATACATCAATAGGAGAAGAAAATTACACAAACCAATATAAATCTTTGTTTTATTCATTGAACAACAAGCTCTTTGAAGGGCACACAAAAAAGGAGCCTACTCAATCAATAATAGCAAACCACCGTTATACACCATTTTATAAAAAAAAAGTATTAATATTGATTGTTGGACTCGATCTTTTTATGAGGATTATATTGTTGTCGTAGTTTCTCGGCATCATGGCAATACGCATTACAGAATGAAATGCAGCCCGGGCACTCATTCAAGCATTTGGCAATACAACTTGCTCGATCTGCTGAAACCACTTGTTGTTGGTTCGTCATCGAACCCAAAATCACGAACAACACCATGAACACACCCATCTTCTTCAAGGCCTCCATTTTTTTATTATGTAACTTATAATAATATATGTATTAAGTATTTGGCGTTGCAGCAAACTAGCATCTCCTCCAATTCCCTTTTTATACTGTAGTTTTGAGGGAACAAAGTTAATACAAAAATAACGGAGAATCTATGTGCAATGAATATAGGGATAGAGTTTCCATTTCTCTCCTCTGTGATATTCTCTTTAGTAGAATTTCATTCATTGTATTTGTATGTGTACAGTGTACTTGTATATACCTTTTTTTTTTGCCATGTAGAATTGTTAATCAACTTTCCCTTTATTTACATGGCAAGCCCAGAGGATACATAGACTCAATAACAAGATATTGTCTTCAAAGTTAAAAGCATAATTAGAAAGAACTTTTCAACCCTCCAAATGCGTTGAATTAATTCAAATTACAAAAAACCCTAAAAATCAAATTTCGAAATCGATATTGAAACATAGCATACACAGAGCGATGGATCAAGTGCAGAACTCTGGTCAGCACAAAATCCTACACCTAACCACTATGGTAAGATATCATACAACTACGATATGAAATTGTACCACCATTGTAGCATATTGTACAACCATAATAAACAAAGTCTTGCCATACTGCATAACGAGTGGCGGTGCACCTCAATGCAGCCCTAGCGTACACATTTCGTCTATACCCATTATGAATTATTATTATTATTTTGAATACATATTATTTAGGTTCTTTTCGAATGAAAAATAATCCACAATTTTGAAGGTTCTACAAACTCACACAACATTCATTGTGTTCATGAATTGATGTCACTATATAATACAAGTCATATTGAATTGTGGATCAAAACAAATCGCGTCAATATATCGGTCAAGTGTCATTGTTTATGACTCTATCTATATTTAGACCGAATCGAAATGCACAAATTGAGAATATCTCAAACACTTGTTACACCTCTCTATAGAAACCATTTGCTTAATCATTTGAATTCGTACACTCATCAAGCCCCGCAAAATCGTAGAAGTACAACTATTGTTATTGATTAATACAACCCAAATGAAACTCAATTGTTTTCTTTGGTCAAAAATCAAAATTAGATGTGTTCATTGTAATATTGTTGTACGGTTCTGTAATTGGATTAGTTCGTCGTATCGTTTAGGTGCCTTGTGAGGGGAAAAAAACATATCTCCAACCTTGTAGGGGAGTGGGGGTATCTCAACATACACGAAAAATGCATACAACAATACATCAATAGGAGAAGAAAATGATACGAACCGGTACAAATCTTTGTTTTATTCATTGAACAACAAGCTCTGTGAAGAGTACAAAAAAAAAGAGAGCCTAGTCAATCAATAACATCAAACCACCGTTATACACCATTTTATAAAAAAATGGGTATTAGTGATTGCTGGACTCGAACTTTTTATGATGGTTATATTGTTGTTTTAGTTTCTCGACATCACGGCAATCTGCATAGCAGACTTCAAAGCAGCGTGGGCATTCTTCCAAACATTTGGCAATACACCCTGCTCGATCTGCCGAAACCACTTGTTGTTGGTTCGTCATCGAACCCAAAATAACGAACAACACCATGAACACACCCATCTTCTTCATGACCTCCATTTTTCTTATGTAACTTAGAATAATAATATATGTATAAAATAATTGGTGTTGCAGCAAGCTAGCATCTCCAATCCCCTTTTTGTAGTGTAGTTTTGAGGGAACAATCTTAATAATAAAAAGAGATAATGGAGACTCTATGTGCAATGAATATAGGGATATAGTTTCCTTTTCTCTCCTTTGTGATATCCTCTTTAATAGAATTTCATTCATTGTATTTGTATGTATACGGTGTACTTGTATACCTTTTTTTAGCCATGTAGAATTGTTAATTGACTTTCCCTTCATCTATTTCACCTTTTTTTGGGCTAAGAATTTCACCTTTTTTGTGTATGTATACATGACAACCAGGTATCTACCCCTTAGCCAACAAGATTTCATACTTAGTCTCAGAAAGCTCGACATGTTACCTTCTTTTAAATAGCAGTTATTGATTAGAAGATGACCTAGATATACGTCAATCAAAGAATAATCGTGTTATCAAGCTCTTGATCAACATGAAATATTTTAATTGTATGAACTTGAAAGTTTTTTTTTTTTAATTCCATTGCATGCCCAGAGGGTATACACATACTCACAAACAAGATATTGTCTTCAAAGTTAAAAGCACAATTAGAAAGAACTTTTCAACCTTTTTTTCTTAGATAAGGGTGATATAGGTTATTTTTTTTGTTATTAGGTACTATTGAAGGGATTCGAACCTGGTACCTCCAGGTTCATGGCTAGGGATTCGAATCTGGTACCTCCAGGTTCAACCCTTTAAATGCGTTGAGTTGCTTAAAATTATATAAAACCTGAAAAACAAATTTCGAAATTGATATTGATACTGAAACATAGCATACACGGACGGATCGATCAAGTGCAGAACTTCTGGCCAGCACAGAATCCTACACCTAACCACTACGGTGAGGTATCATACAACCACGATAAGAAATCGTACCACCATCATAGCATATCGTACAACCATAATAAACAGAGTCCTATTGTGTATGTAAACGCGCAGCCATGGCATACACATTTCATCATTACTCATTACTCAGGGACGGAGCAAGCTTGTATGTAGGGGGGCCATGGCCCCCCTAAGATTATAAAACATATGTAAATTGCATGTGGACTACAACTAGAAGATAGGCCAAGTGGTGGGTATGCTAGCCTATTTTTCTTTACTTATGGGAAGTCAGCAGTTCGACTCAAGTACTTGTCTTATTTTTATTGAACCTACTATCTACAGCTAAGGTTAAGTAATTAGTTTGCTGCTCTGTGGATTGTCCCCGCCGAGAAGAAAGTGGTTTGATTTAACCCACACAGACACTGTTGTCACTTTTGGTTTGTTAAGCTTCTTACTTTGATTAAATGTTTGTTTGACATATATAAGCATATCTTTTTTATTGGTACATCCAAAATAACATTACTTAATGAAATATTAATTTCATTTCTTTGTTACATAAATATATTAGTGATTTGTACTTTAAGAGTTAAAAAAATTACATATTTTTTTATTGTTCAAATATTCATTCAAATAATTCCTTAACAGACTGTTTGGTACCAAATGAATCTAGAATTCATTTCATTTTAAAATGAATTCCTGTGTATAATTCATTGTCAAATGAATTCTTGTGTTTGGTATATGCTATTAGCGTTACAATCAAATTCTTGTCGACATTCCTCATACTGCATGAATTGGCGCCAAATAATATATGAAGAAGTAATTTTGTTAATAAATGAGAATGATTATGTCCTTTTATCATAATTGATAAATACTTGTGGAATTCATTTGAAAATTTCATTTCAATTCCTCGGAATTGCTATAACTAGTTCCAATTCCATAGAATTCAAAATTTAGAATTGAAAATGAATTCTTTTAAAAACCAAACACAAAAAGATTTCATTTCAAAATGAATTCCTAAAAACTTATGAATTTATTTATACCAAACGGTATGTAAATAAAATTCTGTCAAGTTGGTTATTTGTAGCGTTTGTCAAGAATTTATGGACATAATTGTTCTTATTATGTCATCGGGGAAAAAAATCGGCCCCCTCTAACTTTAAATCCTGACTCCGTCCCTGTCATTACTCATTAGTATTATTTCGAATACATATAAATGTAACTGATCTTACGGTATTCTATTAATTTAGGTTGTATTCAAACGAAAACTCATCCATAACTTTGAACGTTACACAAACTCACGCGACACACATTGTGTTCATAAACTGATGGCACGTACTATATAATACTTGTACATCATCATATCGAATTGTGGATCAAGATCATTTCAATTCCCACACTCATCAAGTCCCGAAAAATCGTAGAAACTACAAATGAAACTCAATTATTTTTCTTTAGGTCGAAATCACTGACCGTACAAAGGCGTAAACGAGACCAGCTTCTTATCTTGGGACTGCCTCTCGTCAACAACCGCCAGGAACCGACCCACGTTAATATTTCGCGTTACGTTTATAACACTCACGACTAGTCGGTACCGTCTATTACTGCCGCCGGTGGTACCAAAATCCTCCCAGTACCCGCCGGCGTCAACCGAGGAGAGCCTCAACTGTTTTTCGGGGATGAAGTAATCGCCGTTGGACGCCCTCACAGCAAACTCCGCTACTTCTACCACGTGCTTGTCTTTCAGATTCGTTATCTCGACCCATCTCCCCGGCGGCGAAGATGATTTGGTGACGGGGATCGCCAGGAGAAAGGCGACCAGTAGTAATATGGTTGCGAAATGTGGCCTCATGTTTTCTACCGTCGTCGTTAAAAAGTGAAGCGTTCGCGGTCACGGACTCACGGGGCTTCATACTTCACTTGTAGTTTATTTATATTGTTATTTTTACAATTTAAAATATTGTTGAGTGTGGATGTATTTATTTTAGGCGTTATTCGTGACATTAAAGCGATTATCTTTATTTATTGGGAGGTTATGGTAATTACATTAATTTCTTTTGTAAAAGCAGTTGCCTACTTTTGTAGTGGTAATTATATTTTCATTTAAGTTTTGCCCGTACAAACATTTTTTTATACGTTAACACAATTATCCTAAAATAATCTATTGTTAGTGATGGCAAACGGGTGGGTCAGGGCAGGTATCTCATCAATACTCATACAGTACCCGTCGCATTTGGTGCGGGCCGTGTAACACCCGTGTGGGTACAGGGCGGGCAGGTCAACCTCGACCCACTCTTCTATGTCATTTGAAAAAAACGCAAGTAAAACTTTACTTTTTAGAATAAAATGAAGGAAAAATACTTCAGAAATGAAAAATAATGATAATAGAATGGATAATTGAGTTAATTAGTCGAAAGATCAAATTTAACTGGTTGAATAAAAGTCAAATAAAAGAAATATGATCATAACATTATTGTATGAAATTGAGATAGGATAAGCTAAGAAAGGGACTGTTCGGAAGTAGATACCGTCCCACCCTACTACAGGTCAGGAATGCCCACGCCCTATCTCTATCGCAGGTCAAATCGAGTAATACCCGACGGAATGGATTGAAATTGCCATTCCTATATGTGGTACTAACTACTAAGAGTATGACAAATCATGTTAAGTCATTATACAACCATATTACTATGGAACAAGCATTTTTTTATAATTATTTATAAAAAGGATCCCTACAAGTTCACCACTCTATCTCACGAGTGGTTAATTAATTAATTAACTTTTATGGATGCAATGGGTTGAACGATACTAGCTTCTTTTCATTGGCGAGGGTCTCATAAACGACCGTCAGGTACTGATCTCCGACATGCACTGCGGCAGGAGGAGAGCTACCGTCCTTCTCCCCGCCGACCATGCCGCCGGCGGCGGCGGCTGCCGTCAGGACTAGCCTGTAGTTCGTTCCGGCGACAATCTGAGTCTCGCCTCTGTCCACGCTCACGAGGTGCAGTGGGTGGTCGGGAGCTTGTGAATCGTGAGCCTTCACCGCGAACTCGGCGATCTCCTTGACGTGCTCATCGGCCGTCACGTTCTTTATCGGCTGCCACGCGCCGGCGATGGCATTTGCGGCCGGTAGGATGATGGCCACGGTACCAATAGCGACGAGAAAGAGAATTTGCCTCATGGTGGTGGCAATTTAGTTAGTTGGTTTCTAACTTGTGTTTTTTCTTTGGTGTGTTTGTGGGTATGATGCTAGAAGACTTGTGTTGTGTATTTATAGTTGATAAATAATTTCTTTTTCATTTAATGGACTTGGATTTGATTGGTGAGTTATCTGTATTTTTAGGTGGGGATTTCATAATTAATATCTTTTGTTTGTATTGTTTTCTTTTTGTACTTTGACTACAATACAAAGTAGGTAGGTTAATTAATTATGTTTGGTTTCATTTTTGGAATCTTGTTAATTAATTAAGTAGGTTTTGCTTTTGAACATTGACTTTTTATAGCACACTTTATATTTGTATGTTTCCAACATGAAAAATCTCATATTCGAATCATTCGGACCCTAGGGCTCTTAACATGTTGACCTTGGTTGTTCATGAGTTTTGGTGCAATAGAACCATATCTAGCGGAAATAACCGTAGACATTAGAAATTGATCATGCCAACTTTAAAGGACATAATTAATCATTTCATCACATAACTAGACCAACAAAAAGCTTATGTTATTCCTTAATTATCAATCAAAATAACATACGGAGAACTTAAAAATTAATAAAGACTACTAAATTATTTTACATTGATGGATCTCGATATTAATTTAATCCATTGTATATAGGTGTGAAATATATCAGCCTCGCGTCTCTACGATCAAGGCTCACATAAACTTTCGTTCGGTAGACAATCCCCTCGGAGTTGGGGCTACCGAACGGAACTACAGTCATGATGAGCCTGTAGTTCACACCATCCACAAACTGGACCTCGCCGCTTCTGATGCTTACGAGTCTCAGCGGAAGCTTGAAATTATTCTGATAGCTGTGCACATAAACTGCATACTCGGCGACCATCTTGATGCGCTCATCGTTTAAGTTCTTGATCGACTGCCACCCTCCGGGTTTTGCCCTAGCAGTGGAAAGAATGACCGCAACGGTAGTTATAGCCACGAGAAACGTAATGGGCTTCATATCTTCCGTTGTTTGTAAAATGATTCTCAGTGAATTTTCTTTAAAGATGTTTGCTTGGTGTTTTGGGACGTGAAGCTAGACTAATTGCGGTGTGTATTTATAGGCTATATAGTGAAGTACTATTTGATTCTCTTTCATTTGCTCATTTCCTAGTCTTGTGGTAAGTTGTCCATTTTTAGAACTAGGCATCCCATTGTTATAGATGGTGGGTATATCTTCTTTTTTTTTTTTACAATTTTTATGCTTGATTAGGCTTTTGACTCTCCTCTTTTACTAGGTATTCGTTATCTTTCGAATTTTACAACATGATATGTTGTTATAAGAATCGAATCGGATTAACGGTTGGCTCAGCAGACCCATTAAACCAATTGCAATAGCTATTCAGTTCATTTATAATTGGACGGTTAGAGATGAACTAAAACGTTTTTCAACGATCTGACATAAAACCAGCAGAAGTACCACCCCAGTTTAGCTAGTCCACTAATTAATCACCATCCAACCTCATTCATTAATTTTATTTATAGTTTCTTTTCTTTTTCATTTCCTAACCTCGACATGTCTATTTTAGAAGTTAATTCATGGGTTCGAAGGATACATAGTACTTTACATTAGAAGGCCCCTCGCGAATACATATCCACCACGATGTACCACCGACTCCGCTGCCGTCGGTCTTCTCCGTCGTCACCTTAAGCTTGTACTTTGTCCCAAGGGTCGCCGAAAACTGCTTTTCGCCACCGTTCACGCTGACGAGTCTCAACGGTGGATCGGCCCCGCTCTGCGTGTTGTAAGTCTCGATCGCGAACTTGGCAATCTCCTTGACGTGCTCGTCCGTCGGATTCGATATCGGCGTCCACACGCCGAGTGCCTCCACGGCGACCAGGGCTATAGCGACGGTAACAGTAGCGACGAGAAAGTTGGTTGTCCTCATAGTTATCTTTCCTCCCTGTTCTTGATGTGATTGTAGTTTTGGTTTTTTGTTTCTGAGTGTGAAGGGAGCCTGGGTGGTGGCAAGTGTTTATATAAGATTTAGCATGGAAATGGAAGTGGTGGTTGCATTATTTTTTTTCCCCACCTATGGCAAGTGTGTGTCTGGGATTTATTTAGGGGAATCCTTGTTAATTAATGGTGGTTTGTGCATCACAAACCAGATAATATCATTGAAGGATCAAACTAGATTGTAGTACCATATAAGTAGATTTTTTACAATCTTATGGATTGTAGTACCATATAGGGTAGATTTTACAATTGGACCAGAAGATATTAATCGCTAGTCACCCACATGGATCCCAGGATCGGATAGGGTGCTAACCCAGTAACCCTACCAAATTAAATCGGATTCGTGCGAATATCCTCGATTGCCCACATGGTAACCTTTCAACCTTCAAAATATAATTGAAAATCCTACCATTAGGCCTTGGCCTACTTCTTGGTCACAAGTGGTTCAAATTCCTTAGCACGAACTATTATTTTTTTCCAGATTTCTAACTATGTCGTTGTTATAGGAGAAAATCTCCTACGGCATTCTACATAATTCTGTATGTATATATATCTACGAGATCCGGTATGGAATTTTGTTCACTCACTTTAAATTGATCAGCATCCTTCAACTAAGTTATACAAAAAAAAATTGACTTTCATAATAGGCGATTTAGGCACTAAACTATCTCACTAATTAGGATTTACCGTTCATGCGCATAGCTTCTGTAATCCACATAAGCCAATACAGAACACATGTGTAGAAATCTTTTTGTAATTGTCGTCTCTCAAGATTCGAGACCCAAGACATATTATTTTACTTTTGTATTAGGCTCTGATATTTTGTCAACAAGGTATCGATTATAAAGATACTATATTTTAGTTTAAGAACGATATTACACAATATATATATTTTGGTATTTCATTTGAGAAAACGAAATATCATTCCTTTAAATTGTATATAATTCATAAACCATACTATATTACGAATAATCGTATCAAACGCCGCCGGTTAGCTTCTGATCATGGGTTTCCATTATTAATTCAGTACGGGCAAGAAGGCGAGAAGCTGTCTCATCTTCCCGCCGGACTTGGCGTCGGCGACGCCGACGACCACCTCGTAAAGCTGGGCCTTCTTACTAGGTCCCACGCCGCAGTTTGTGTATGTCATCAGATGGAAGCGGTAGACGGACTTCCCGTCGCCGACGACCTTCACGTCGCCGTTCTCCACGCTCTTCAGCTTCAGCTGCTCTTTGCTACCCGCGGTCAGCTTCCCGTTGAACTGCTTCACGGCGGCTTCGGCCACCGCGGTCACGTCGGCGCCTCTCAAGTCCTTGATCGGCTTCCATTCTTTGGCGACGGGAAGTTTTAGCGACGAGGCGGATAGCAAAACCGTCGCGAAAAGAACGGTTACGAGAACGACAACAAGTGATGCCCTCATTTTTTTTGTTTGTTCGTGGTGAGATTATTGCCTCTGCATGATTATTCAAAGAATTCGTTTTCCGATGATATATAATAAATGATTGAGTCGAAACTCTCATTGCAAAACGTTAATTATTGTGCTTATTTAAACGTAAATACTAAAATGAACGAGTAGTTTATCATGGCCTTGGTTGTTTCATGAGATTTAGTGCAATAGAAACATATATAGCAGAACGATTTCTAGAAATTAAAATTGTGATGCTAACAATGAAGGACATAATCAGTTTAATCACATAACTACCAACAAAAATCTTATGTTATTCCTAATTATTAATGAAACTTACATTACATATGGAGAAATTAAAAAATTAATAAAGACTACTAAATTATTGTACTCATAGACGGATATTAATTTAGTCCCTTGTTTATAGGTGCGAAATATTTTAGCCCCGCAGTGTTACGATTAGGGCTCACGGAAACTTCCGTTCCGTATACAATCCCCTCGGAGTCGAGGCCATAGGTCGGAGCCACGGTGATGATGAGCCTGTAGTTCACGCCGTTCACGAACTGGACCTGACCGCTTCTGACGTTTACGAGTCTCAACGGATATTTGTAATCATTTTTGAAGTTGTACACGTAAACTGCGTACTGGGCGACCATCTTGACGCGCTCGTCGTTTGTGTTCTTTATCGGCTGCCACCCACCGGGCATTGCCCCGACGGTGGAAAGAATGACTGCGACTGTAGTTATAGCCACGAGAAATGTAATGGGCTTCATCTCTTTTTTGTTGTTTGTAGATGATTTCTTAGTGTTTCTTGGAAGATGTTTGTTTTGTGTTTTTCGGATGTGAAGCTAGAGTAATTGTGGTGTGTATTTATAGGCTATAGTAAACGGTTTGATTCTCTTTCACTTGTTCGTATTCTAGTTTTGTGGTAAACTTGTCCATTTTAAGAGGTAAATATCCCGTTGTTATAGATGGTGGGTATAACTTTTTGTAATTTTTATATTTGACTAGCTTATTGACTCTCCTATTTTACCGGTTATTTGTTATCTTCCTAATTTACGACATTGCATGCCATAAAGTTCTTGACTATTCTAATTTTCTTACTGTGGTAAAAATAATGTTAAGAAGGGGATGTAAAAGGGAAGGATATAGGCGAGCCAGGGGAAGAAGAGTATCTTCCTCGAGGAGCAGTGGCGGAGGCAGTGCATACCAAGGTGGGTCCCGGGACCCACCTTGGCTCGGGAGAAAATATGTACGTCTAGGTTAATAGTAGTAGAAGGTTGTATCGGACAAGTCAACGATAGGATATTTTATGTTGAAAAGGTGGTTTAATCATGGTTCAACCATTTTCATATATCACTAATATCTTCTATCAATTTCGCTTCCAGCATAAGATTTTTCTTATCGAACCACTAGTACGCTACGGTTTCTCACTCCTTAATACAATAATTAAGTGACAATGAGATTTTTCACCTAAAATTCATCAATATTGATCAATATTTCTACCATCAAACAATAATTTTTCTACCATCAAACAATAATTATATCATGAATTTAGCTATCATCATTATATATAATACATTTTAGTTTCTACATAAATAATATTAGCATATAATATAACTTCATCCTCCAAGCTTCAAATCCTTAATGTATCCATTATCTATCGCCAAAGCTTCATTTTGTTGAAACTCACTAGATCCTTTTTATCCTAATAACGAATTCAATAAATCAGGTTTTAGACTCAAACTAAGGCTACACTGCAAGTGTTGAAAGAAATTTTTCAATGAACCACGTGGATATTAAAAAAAATTCGGACCCACCTTACATATAATCCTGGCTACGCCACTGTCAAGGAGTAGGGAAAATGGGATAGCTAGGTTTGGAAAGAAGGTCCAAATTCGGTTTTGGGTCGAAGTGGTTAGGTGAGCTAGTATTGATCAAGTCATGGGCAAGATATTTTTCTGGGGTATGCAATGGTTTGATTCGGGCCGGTCTGAACCAAATGAGAAGTGAAAGACATTTGAGAACATCCAATCTCGTGTTACTCTTGGTTATTTGTTTAAATTGTAATCTTCAGTCTTGTAACTATCATTCTCAGTGAATTTTCTTGGAAAATGTTTGCTTGGTGTGTTGATGCAGAACGATGTGAAGTTACTGGTGTGTTAGTTAAAAACTAATTAATTTCTTACACATGTGTTTTTTTGGTGTTATGGTAAAATTATCTGTATTTTATTCAATTATACTATGTGGTTAAACTAACAGAGAACTTGAACTCAGTTTCGCGTCACGATTTGGTTGAATGAGTCGATTCGATCAGACGCCGATATAACAATTCGATCAATTATACGTGGCATGCACGCTCTGCTGGAACGATGAACATGCATACTCGTACAAGTTCTTTTTCACGATTTCGCATCAAACCAACCGGAACATTCTTACCTCCAACCCCAACAAATAAATTTACGAAAAAAACTGCATATGTTTATGATTCTTATTAATTATTGATTCACTAATATGAACCGATCAAATCGCTAGAAAAGAGACACACATATATATATGCGCAACTTGGTCGTGCATGGATATGAACGACAATTTAATTCGAGGGCACCAAAGATACATAGTACTTTACATTAGAAGGGCTCTCGCGAATGCAAATCAAAGATGTCCCGACGCCGCTGCCGTCGGTCTTCTCCGTCGTCGCCTTCAGCCTGTACTTTGTGCCCAGGCTCGCCGAAAACTGCGTTTCGCCGCCGTTTGTTGAGCGGGATCGTTTTGTACATATTATTTATGTAAGAGAGCCTTTTTGTTATTGACCCGCTGAACCCTATTACCCTAGTTGATTTCAGAAGGGTATATTAAGGGTGAGCAGCCGCTAGGTTTCAGTGTCGAAGAGAGAGCAGTACTCTAAGCTGCCGAAACTAATAAGAGATTAGCTGAGAGCTTCGGCTCTCCGTGGAGTAGTCTCGTTCACACTGAACGAGGAAACCACGTAAATCGTCGTGTCGTTTGCTTCCGCGTTTACTTTATTTTACATGGTATCAGAGCTGGCGTAACCGATCCAGACTGAAAGATGACTACAGGAGAAGATAGCGGCTCAGGCGGCAAAACCGTCGTCACCGACGTAGATGTTATTTCGCTGACCTCACCCCTTTATCTTCACCCGTCAGAGAATCCAGGCCAATTATTTGGAAGTGATCTCTTGACGGACTCCAACTATAGCGAATGGGTGAATGATATGACTGAAACCCTTATCGCAAAGAACAAGCTCGTATTTGTCGATGGCTCTTTTCCTCGGTCGAAGGCAGGACCTGGAATCAAGGATGATGCATGGGGCAGATGCGATGCAACTGTCAAAGGCTGGCTTAAGACAGCCATGAGCAAGGAGGTGAGGAACAGCGTTCGCGCGGCGAGAACAGCGCGCGACATCTGGGCCGACCTACAACAGCGGTTCGGCAAGGGCTCCGCAACCAGAGCCTATGAGCTTCGTATGTCCATCGGGTCCCTGAGGCAGGAGAAGCTCTCCGTTTCCGCGTTTTACACAAAGCTGATTACCTACTGGGATGAGCTTCATTCAGTTTCACTCACACCGCGCTGCGCGTGTGGAGGTTGTTCTTGTGATATTGGACGCCAAGTTAGGGAGAAGGAGGAGACAGAGAGGCTTTTCGATTTTCTGCTCGGCTTGGATGATGCCTTTGCGGTCATTCGTTCGCAGATTCTCAGTGTTAAGCCCACTCCTTCACTAGCAGAAGCGTACCAGATGGTGGCAGCAGAAGAACAGCAGAAGCATATCACTGGTGGGCGACGTCCACAGGTAGAAGCAGCTGCCTTCCAATCTCGGCAGGAGAGGGAAGGCGAAGATGAGAAGCCCCGCTGCAGCCATTGTAACAAGCTTGGTCACTCACGGGAAGCTTGTTTCAAGTTAATTGGCTACCCAGGAGATCAAGGCAAAGGGCGCCAAGGAGAGCGAGGGGCAGCTCAGCGCCGAAATAAGGGAGAAGGGAAGCAGACCCAGCCTAGAGCAGCGAATGTCGAGGTGGATGACAGCCCAATTCCTGGCCTATCCGCTGCTCAGTTTGCACAGCTAAAGCAAATGCTGACGCCTCCTCCAGTGCCGACTCCGGATCCGACAGCACACATGGCCGGTAAATCTCCTGAACTGTTTGAATGGCTCATAGATTCAGGATGTAATGAACACATAGTTCGAGATGCTAGCTGGTTGAGTGAGGTGGATACCGCGGGAACTTACCCGCCAGTTCGCATCCCGGATGGGACTAGTATACCTGTGCAAGGAATTGGATCGGTTGTTTTAAATAAGCACCTTCGGTTAGAACGTGTTCTCCATGTGCCTTCTTTCAAGTGTAATCTGTTATCGGTTAGTCGGCTGACAAAAGAAAATCGAGTGATCTTAACCTTCATGGGGTTTTTTGTATGATTCAGGACTCACGCTCCAAGACTATGATTGGACTGGGACAAGCTCGTGAAGGGTTGTACTATCTCCAGCGGGCAGAGGGCTTAGGTCAACTAGATGAGAAATCATTTGCAGTCTTTGCTGCCGCAGCCAGCAAGACTTCTTTGGCGCTCTGGCATGCTAGATTGGGGCACCCGTCCGTTGGAAAGCTTCATACATTAAGGACCTCGTTGTTTTTGTCGGATTTTTCTTTTAAAGCACAAGATTGTGACTCGTGCTTACGTGCTAAACTCACTAGGGAACCTTTTGTGTCACATCCGATTAAGACTCGCTCCTGTTTTGATGTTGTGCACATGGATATTTGGGGAGGTTATCGTACTCCGGCTTTAGATGGTTCACGGTATTTTCTCACAGTTGTGGATGATTTCAGTAGAGCAACGTGGGTTTATTTGCTCAAATTCAAGTCCGAGGTTGAGCGCTATGTTCAACTTTTTTGTCAGATGGTCAGAACTCAATTTGCAGGTCAGGTTCGGTGTATCCAAGCTGATAACGGGATGGAGTTCCAGTGTGGGAGATTATTGGAATATTATGATCAACATGGAATCCGTTTCCAGACTTCATGTGTCAATACTCCACAGCAAAATGGAGTTGCCGAGCGCAAGCACAGGCATCTTCTTGAGACAGCCCGAGCGCTCCGCTTTCACTCTGGTCTGCCCGTTCGTTTTTGGGGGGAGTGCGTTCTCACGGCGACTTATCTAATTAACCGCTTACCTTCCAGTGTTGTCGGCAATCGCACCCCTTATGAAGTTTTGCTTGGCCGACCGCCTACCTATCAACATCTGCGGAATTTTGGTTGCCTTGTCTACACCAAGGATACCGGTCACGGCCTAGATAAGTTCGTCGAGAGGGGGAGACGTGGTGTATTCATCGGTTACCCAGCTTCACAAAAGGGGTACAGGGTGTATGATTTTCGGTCTCGGCGCATTATCACGTCCCGTGACTGTCACTTTGTGGAGGAAAGCTTGCCTTACAAGGCTAGCGTGGATGATAATAGTGGTGATGGGATACCATGTTCGGTGGACATGCGCCCCCACCAGCGCCTCACGGAACACGTCGATGACGATGGTGCGTTGCATGGGATGCATGCAGCGGACGTGCATGATGGTTTGCCAAGCGAGAAACATGGGGAAGAACAGCAGGGAAGTGAGGCGGACGACGAGCAGGTTATGGAAGAGCAGAATGTACATGAAATGGGTCGTGGTCTTCGTGTGCGACGTCCGCCGCGACATCTTGTTGATATCTATGACACAGAGTTTGCAGGACAGGCGCGGGATAACTCGGAAGTTCAATATCCGATGTCAAACCAGGTGAGTTATCACCGGTTTTCCCCAGAACATAAGGCTTATCTTGCGGCCATTAGCAAGGTAGAAGAACCGAAGAGCTTCATGGAAGCTATGAAGGATCCTCGTTGGCGGGAAGCCATGAGAAAGGAGATAGAGGCTCTAGTTGCAAATGGAACATGGGACCTTGCGTTCCTGCCACTAGGAAAGAGGGCTATCGAAGCAAAATGGGTCTTCAAAGTGAAGTATAAGCCGGATGGCACTGTAGAGCGTTTTAAGGCGCGCTTGGTTGCAAAGGGATTCACCCAACTGGAGGGGATAGACTTTCATGACACCTTTGCACCAGTAGCCAAGATTGTCACCGTTCGAGTCCTCATTGCAGTAGCAGTTAATCGTGGATGGCCACTGCATCAGCTCGACGTGAACAATGCGTTCCTTCACGGAGATCTTGAAGAGGAGGTGTATATGAAGCTACCTCCGGGCTTCGGTGAACCAGGAGAGACGAGAGTTTGCCGACTGAAGAAGTCTTTGTACGGTCTTAGACAGGCGTCGCGCAATTGGTACCAGAAGTTCACTCTCGCTCTTGCGGAGCTCGGCTTCAAACCTTCTAAGGCCGATCATTCTCTTCTCATATATAAGCATGACAATGTTTTTGTTGCGGCATTAATATATGTTGATGATGTGATCCTAACAGGTACAGATCAGGCTTTTATTACTCAAGTCAAGACGTACTTGGACAAGAAGTTCAGCATCAAAGACCTGGGTAATCTGAAATACTTTCTCGGTATAGAAGTGGCGAGATCGACAGATGGAGCAGTGTTAAGCCAGAGGAAGTACACCTTGGATATCTTGAAGGATGCCGGTGTCACAGCCTCAAGGCCAAGCAGATTCCCGATGGAGCAAAACCACACACTCACCAAACCAACGGAGGAGGTAGTTGATGATGTTGGTAGCTATCGGCGACTAGTAGGGCGGCTCCTGTATTTGACGGTAACACGCCCTGACATCTCTTACGCTGTTAATATTCTCTCACAGTTTGTGAACAGTCCTAGTCCAGAGCATGTAGCGGCAGCCATGAGAGTCCTTCGCTATCTGAAGAAATCGCCGGGACAAGGCTTGTTTTTCCCGGCAGGTGGACACCTCAACCTCACGGCATACTGCGACGCAGACTGGGCGGGCTGCCAGGCAACTAGGAGATCGACTACTGGATACTACGTACAGCTAGGCGGTGCACCAATCTCGTGGAGAACGAAGAAGCAGAAGGTAGTGTCACGCTCTTCGGCAGAGGCGGAGTACAGGGCAATGGCGAGTACTGTTAGTGAAGTTTTGTGGTTGCGGTTCTTACTAGCAGAACTTGGGGCACCACAGACAAGCCCTACCATACTCCATTGTGATAACCAGGCTGCACTACATATCGCGGCAAATCCGGTGTTCCATGAGCGAACAAAGCACGTGGAAATGGACTGCTACTTTGTACGAGAACGTGTGGCCTCCAGAGAGATTGAGCCGACGAAGATCAGTACCTCATCTCAGCTGGCGGATATATTCACCAAGGCACTGGGGACGGAGCAGTTCGAGTTTCTATTGTCCAAGCTGGGCATTCGAGATCTCCATGCGTCAGCTTGAGGGGGAGTGTTGAGCGGGATCGTTTTGTACATATTATTTATGTAAGAGAGCCTTTTTGTTATTGACCCGCTGAACCCTATTACCCTAGTTGATTTCAGAAGGGTATATTAAGGGTGAGCAGCCGCTAGGTTTCAGTGTCGAAGAGAGAGCAGTACTCTAAGCTGCCGAAACTAATAAGAGATTAGCTGAGAGCTTCGGCTCTCCGTGGAGTAGTCTCGTTCACACTGAACGAGGAAACCACGTAAATCGTCGTGTCGTTTGCTTCCGCGTTTACTTTATTTTACACCGTTCACGCTGACGAGCTTCAACGGTGGATTGGCCCCGCTCTGCGAGTTGTAAGTGTCGATGGCGAACTCGGCAATCTCCACGACGTGTTTGTCCGTCGGATTCGTTATCGGCGTCCACACGCCGAGTGCCTCGACGGCGACCACCAGGGCTATAGCGACGGTAATTGTAGCGACGAGTAAGCTGGTTGTCCTCATGGTGATTAATTATTTCCTCCCTGTTCAGCTGTTCTTGATGTGTTCTCTCTGATTTTGTTTTTTTTTAGTGTGAAGGGAAGAGTGGGTGGTGGGAAGTGTTTATATAAGAATTAGCATGCAAATGGAAGTGGTGGTTTAATTAAATTATTTTGGACCTATGGCAAGTGTGTATCTGGGATTTAGGTAGGGTAATCCTTGTTAATTTTCCCCCACCCTAATGACAAGTCAGATAATATCATTGAAGGATCAAACTGGATTGTATAGTACCATATATCAGTAGATTTTACCATCTTGTGGATTGTAGTACCATATGATTAGTAGATACATTCAATTTCATCTTGTGGATTGTGGACGGGTCAGAACGGTCCGGACCAATTAAATTCGGGAGAACTACGGTCTAATAGTGAAATATTTTAGGACCAAGGATCGGACCAATAGTGCATTCAGTCTATATTGGTTCATTAATTTGGTTTGGTCCAGATGTCAATCCGGTTCATTCTTCTTTCGTATTAATAAAATTCATTTTTGGCTAATGCAATTCGGTACGGGACTAACCCGTTGCACACATAGCAATATTATCTTCTTGTAGAAAAATGTTTTCAATAAAATTATTCATAAACAAAACAGGAATCCTTAATTTATCCCCTCTTTCAAGTTGCCACACTTTGAAGTAATTTTCATTCTAAAGCATTTCTTTTATGCGACTAATATTCCCTTAGATACGTAATACGTTTACTTCACTTAATAGAACATCTCATAGGGCATGAAAACAAAGAACTTCATTATTACTGATAAAGCTAACGATCAATTACATATTACCTTAGAAACTAAAACGCATGAGTTATTATTTTATTTTGAACAAACGGTGATCCATTAATTAACGCATAAATTATATCAATATAAATATGTGTTAATTCCCTTCGCAATTCACACATCCCTTCTCCACAAACACAACCAAAACCAAATTAGAGGCCATCGAGCAAAGAGAACCATCGGAATTTCCCCCCGACAAAAGTGATAAATTATCGTAACGCTAAAGACGACGACGACGACAACAATGTCACATTCAGCAACGACTCTTCTCCTCATCATGGTCGCCTCCGTCGCCGCTGCCCTCCTCCTGTCGACGACGTCCACCGCGCAACCGAGCCCTCGCAATCTGACACCGATAAGCCCCGGCGACCTTCAAGATTACAAGAGCCTGGCGGAGTGGGCCGTGGATCAGAACAACAAGAACAACCCTAAATCGGAACCCTTGACGTTGGTGAGCCTGGACACCGGATATTCTCAACCCACCATGGACTTCACCTACTTCGAATTTTACCTAACCGCCAACTCCACTCACTCTGCCCCGGCCAAGTACTTCACGACAGTACTCCGAGGAAACGGTTTTCCAAATGTCGTTGAGAACTTTTATAAGTACAATGAAGGTAGATAGATAGATATGTTATCCAAAGTGATCGACGATTCGCGGCTCGTGATTTGATCATAAAAGTTCATTGTAAATGCATCTATATGAGCAATACTGATGATGATGATAATAAATTATAATAACACCAATGAGAAATATCGTTCATGGTACATTTGATGTAAGAAAATCGACACCTATATTTTATGCAATTTTCTCTAATTTGTTGTGACCTATAGACTATAGTTTATAGGGCAGGTCAAATTCTATGGATTATTCTTATTCGCCTGTATATCTCTATTGTAGATGGAGCGTGCACAACAAGTTATATATAAGTTGGTACCACTTACCGAATGAGCTAGGGTTGTCGACCAATTACGTAACAGTCCTCATATAATTTAGGTATATGTACATATGGGGACAAAAGCAAATACGATATATGTTGACTGGATAACTAGCTCAATTCGGAGTATTGAATCGCCTCTCCATATTGGTTAAAGTTTCGCTACATCGATATGATGATGTTATGTCACGCTGCTGAATCAATTAATTTTAATAGTCCCTTCAGGTGTTCTAGTAGGATATAATGTTTGGAAATTTACTAGTGGGTGATAATGTTATGATTAATCAAAAATTATTTAGAATGGAAAAGGTTATTACACTCATTGAGAAAAAAAAATAGGATACCAATTTCTGTTTAATTTTATATTCCAATATCAAAGAAAGCCCAACATATCCACGGGCCATTACTGTGGACTTGGGCCGAGCGAAACACCATCTTCGTCACAATTTTGATCCAATACGGCGCGTCGTTCGATCTCTAACATCATCAGATACCGTTACTTCTTTCTCCGGTTGTTAAACCCTTGCCGGTAAAATTGCCGCCCTCACTTCCGCGAAAAACCCCTGCCGCCACCGCGCAAAATGCGGAACCTCCTTTCCTCCGCCGCCGTATCAATCCACCGGGACGGCAGCCGGCGCCGTCTCCTCATCCCCACCGCTCAATTCATCCTTCTCGTTTTCCATCGCAGCTACAAGGCGCCGAGGCAGCCGACTCCTCCGGCGCCGCCGAAACCCCCGAAGCCGCCGCAGAAGCCCCAAACCTTTACCTTCCACGACGCCACGTGGGACGACCCGTACAGCTGGATGTCGAAGCTGAGCGACGCCGTGGCGCGGCGGCACATGGACGTGCTGATGGAGCAAGAGGAGAAGTACACGGAGGCCGTCATGTCCGGCACCGAGAAGCTTCAGAGCAAGCTCCAGACTGAAATGGCTTCCCGGATGCAATTCGACCTCTCTACCCCTCCCGTTCGTTGGGGTCCCTGGTAACGAAATTTTGTAATTTTCCCTCACTTCGATTTCTGCCCTTTTTCTTCAAAGATTTTTTTGTTCCGATTATAATGATTTGATCAGTGGAATTACGAATTAGGTTGTATTACCGGAGAGTGGAAGAAGGGAAGCAATACTCGGTGCTGTGCCGGAGACTGGCGAGCTTGAATGAGGAATTCATTTCGAATAAGTCTCCGTTTTCGGGGTTTGATTTTACTTCTGGGAAGAGGATTGAGCAGAAGCTTGTTGATTACAATCAGGAAGCTGAGAGGTTTGGAGGTCTGAGTTAGTTGAAGTGATAATTAGAAGCAGGAGTCTTTTTTTTGTGCTGTTTTTGTTCTGAATCGATCTAGTTTGCGTGTGCAGGGTATGCTTACGAAGAGCTATCGGAGGTCTCTCCAGACCATAAGTTTCTTGCATACACAATGTATGACAAGGATAATGACTACTTCAAGTTATGTGTGAGGAATCTGAACTCTGGTGCCTTGTGTAGCAAGCCTCAGGCCGATCGAGTTTGTAACTTGGCATGGGCTAAAGGCGGGCGGGCGTTGCTTTATGTTGTTACTGATCAACATAAGAAGCCTTGCAGGTTGGTAATCTGCGAAGTACTGGGTTCACTGTAACTGCAAATTATTGACTTTGAGGAATATAATGCTAAGGAGTGGTTTCTTTTTCTTCTTTTTTGTTTTTTTTTGTTTTTTGCTTTAGGTTATACTATAGCGTGATTGGATCAACCGATGAAGATGTTTTGCTTCTCGATGAACCACAAGAGAATGTTCATATGACCATCAGGCACACCAAAGATTTCCGGTTTGTGTCTGTGAATGTCTTCTCCATGACGTCTTCAAAGGTACAGTTGTTGTTTAACTGAAGTTTGAGATTCCTGCGTTTGTGCCAGTGGAAGTGGTTTAACATTGGTCAATGACGATGTATTAGGTCTTTCTGATTAATGCAGCCGATCCCCTGTCTGGCATGACTTTAGTTTGGGAGTGCGGTGCTCCAGTTCATTGCATAGTTGAACATCACCGAGGTTACCTCTATTTATTTACTGATGCTGCCAAAGAAGGCCGATTGGTTGATCATTATTATCTTCTCCATAGTCCTGTTGATGCTTCTTCTGGTCCTAGAGTGTGGGAGGTTGGTGGGTTACCACGTCTTTCTTCGCCACCAGTTGCTCCTAGTTAACTTCATTTTTCTATAGGCATAATCATCAGTTTTCAGTTGGTTTTCTCTTGCTTGTGTCAGAATGTGTTCCATGACGATCAAGATTTGATAATTGAGGATGTTGATTTCTGTGATACACACATGGTGCTCATTGTAAGGGAAGGTTGGAACTATAAACTCTGTGCACTCCCTTTACCCTTGTCTTCTAGGAAGGTAAACACAGTTATTCAGCAGATTGTGCTAATTAATGACGTCCTTCCACTTTCCATCTTGTTGATGTTATCTTGTCTTTTCTAGAGTGGAGCAGTATATCTGAAGGAGCTTAATCCCGCATTTCTTCCTCTTCCGATATATGTTTCTCAAATTTCGCCAGGAACTAACTATGACTTCTATTCATCATCCATGCGCTTCACAATATCATCACCTGTGGTAGGAGTTGATTTTCTCTCGACTCTGTATAGACAAGGATAAGTACAAATATTATTCCATTCTGTATTCAAGATCCTACCCTTTTCACTTGCCTTCCAGATGCCCGATGCTGTAGTTGATTATGACCTGTCAAATGGCAAGTGGAATATTGTCCAACAACAGAACATGCTTCACGAAAGAACAAGAATTCTATATGGGACTTCCTCTTCTGCTAGTAGCACTGGAATATTTTCTGACAGTCTGAATTCTAGCTCATCGCATGGAGTCAAATCTGAAGATGATATATGGAATGACCTTTCTGAATTTTATGCCTGTGAACGCCATTTTGTCTCTTCACACAATGAAGTTATGGTTCCTTTAACAGTTGTCTATTCTCGCATGATTGAAAACACAAAACGAAACCCTGGGTTGCTTCATGGACATGGAGCCTATGGCGAGTTGCTTGACAAAAGGTGGCGCAGTGAGCTTAAAAGCCTTCTTGACCGTGGTTGGGTCCTTGCATATGCTGATGTCAGGTCTTTTCTGCTTGGACCACTGCTGATCAAAAGGCTTTCTTTCCTTGAATTATCTTTGAACTATGCCAAGTGTCTAGACTGCATCTGAGTTTTGATCATTTGTGATTTTCTTCAAATTATGTGATTACAGAGGAGGAGGTGGTCAGGGTAAGGCATGGCATCATGCCGGTAGAAGCACAAAGAAGCTCAACTCTGTAAAAGATTATATCTCATGTGCCAAGTTCTTGATTGAGAAAGAGATTGTAGGAGAAGACAAGCTTGCTGGTTGGGGTTCTAGTGCCGGGGGACTCTTGGTTGCTGCTGCCATAAACCATCAACCTGATTTGTTTCGTGCTGCAGTTTTGAAGGCAAGAAGTTTGATCTTATGTATCGATATTCACTTGTGTTTCTTTTCTGTGTTCATCTGGCTTCATATTCCTGTTTGGTTTCAGGTCCCATTTCTAGATGCAACCAGTACTCTTCTCTACCCCATTATACCCCTAACGGCAGCTGACTATGAAGAGTTTGGGTACCCTGGGGACAAAGATGACTTTCACGCCATACGTGAATACTCTCCATACGACAACATTCAAAATGATGCCGTTTATCCTGCAGTACTCATTACTTCATCCTACAATACACGGTAATCTTTCATCTCTGGGTTTCGTCAGTTTCTCTTCAATGTACAAATTGATCAATCAAAGCAGCCAGCAAACGAGTATCGTTGATTAGGCCTCTGTCAATTGTCAACTTGAGCCATGGTTTCCAAGTCAGATTTATTTATGTCTTGCTTGTGTTCAGGCTAAGGTCGTTACTGTTTCTGTGTGATGATGTCTTTCAGATTCGGGGTATGGGAAGCAGCAAAATGGGCTACGAGGGTTCGACAGCAGACTATTTATGATCCAAACCGCCCTGTGCTGCTCCATTTCTCAGCAGATATTGTAGAGGAGAACAGATACATGCAATGCAAGGAGGCAGCTCTGGAAACTGCATTTCTCTTGAAGATGATGGATTCATGAGCTTGGATAATGACAAGTAACCACTCTAGATTACGTGGTGCCCTGCCGGCTAGCATCATAACAGGATAGTGAATGAAGTAGGGGACATAGAGTTTTTAGTTGTTCATTGTTAATCGAGATAACTTGCTGATGTAACTCTGCAGGATATGGTACATTGTTGTGACAGTTTCAGTGCTTTGGTTCAGCTCACACTAGTTCAATTCTTGGCATGGCTACTTCAGCCTTTCTACTTTCAAGACCAAGCTTTACAAATCCAGCAGTAAAACATGACATTCTTCATAATGTCTTTGATCTCCAGCAGGGTCTCGACGGGCATTACAAAAGGAACATACTAATTCAACACCACAACATCTGGTCGCTAATTCTCCTTGGATATAGTGACCTTATACGTTTGGTCGCCATCCTTGCTACCAACAAGCTCGAAGTAACAAACACTCCCAGCTTTAATGGAGTTTTCCTTCCCAAAGACTCTGAAACCCCCATTCAGCTGCACAGCCTTCGGCTCTCCTTTCATTTTGTTAGCATTCACCTTCCAGCAATCATCTCCAACCTGAAGCTTAACCTGCTGGCTTCTCTTCAAGTACTTGTCTGCAAACCTCCTCGGCACATTCTGAAAAAAAAAACCCAACATTACAATCCATTAAGCAAAAGATAATAATATACCCAAAGATTGAAACTTTCCCCAAGGTTATGAATTTTCGTTACCATGTTGCTTTTGAGCAAGTGAGAATCTGTGATAACAACTCGGAAGAAAGGATACTTAGAGGTGAACTTGCTGCTGCTGCTGCTTTTTCCTGTGGTGGTGGTGGTGGTGGTGGTGATCCCTTTGTTGCTGACAGGATACTCGATCTCCGAACCATTCGTGCCATCGAAGATCGCGACGGAGAATCGAGAACCGCCCTCGTACTGGAAAATCAGGAAGTGGCCATGTTTCAGGGAGTAGTGTGTTACAAATTCCTCCCATGTCTCGTTGACCAAGAAGATGTTCTTGGTCCCGCCATTGCCAGCATTTCGGGTCCGGGCTTTGGACATCTGGATCTGCCATGTCATGCCTCCGGGGACCTCGATCGAAACAGGGCTAGACAAGGTTCCTCCATGTTCCCCCACAAACTTCTCAGGCAGCATCTGAAAGGGAAAGAAAAGAAGGTGGTACAGAAAGAAAGTTGTGGAAATGTATAGTTTTGATGTAAGTGTTTATGGATTGTGCTTACCAGCTTCTTGTCTCTGAGAGTTTCTTCAACAATGACCTTGAAGAAATGGGGCCTCTTGGGATCAAACCCATCTCCAATGTCGCTCCTCTTGCTCATGGTTTTTGCCTCTTCAAGTTGTGAGAACTGAGGAGTGACAGAGAAGTTGAGTGCAGGGGAGTGAAATGAAGCAGGGGAAGCTAAACACTAATAAATAGGGAAGTGACTAGTGGGTGGCTCTTTCAGAATTTATTGAGGATAAATGTCCAACTGTTGGGCGGCTTTGATTAATGAACTTCTGGGGTTGGGTGCGGTTTGCTCTGGTTTCATATTGAAATGGAGTTTGGATATGTCCTTGGATGAAAAACCAAGAAGAAAAATGGAGTAAGATAAAAAGTGGTGCATTGGCATGATTACTCTCCTTGCTAGAGTTAATAATGGAGAAGAAGTAGAGTAGAGTGATTTGCAGAATTTATTGTTCCAGCCAGAAATTAGGTAAACATCTCATCCAAATGAAAGGAAGCTTATGGTTTAGGGTACTCAATCTTAACAAAAATCTTTTACTCTAACTCAAGGATTGTGAAACCATACAATCGAGTACGATTTTAGGGACCTTAAGATTTCCGATCTGACCATACAATCGAGTACAGTTTCTAAAACATTGCTCTGGCTTCCAATATCAAAGAGAACATAAATACTATGTTATGTGAACTCCGAAATAGAATTAATGTTTGGTTGTTGCTAGCAACAGTGTCGAAGTGTAGGTTTTTTTATGATGGTTCCAAAATATCTAAGTCCTTGTACCAGCAATTATAGTCCTGTTTTAAAACCAATTGAAGAAATAAACAAATGTATATATATATTGTAACAATATCTTCACCTATAAACTTGAGAAGGCAAAAATTAATTACAACAACATTAAAAGTAAGCAATAAACCATTTAATGAACCCTAACAAGAGCAATTTTTCCCCCCTTCATCCACTCTCTATACAAACTATCATATAAAATCTTCTTCAGCAGACCCTCCTCCAACACCTATTAGATTTCTCCATGTATCCCAAAGACCCATGTTCCTACACCAAAATAAAACACAAAACCATCAATATTACTAAAGCTTATAAAACAAAACGTAAAATATAGGAATTCAAGCATTTTGTAGCTTACCAAGGGTAGGCATCAAAACGGAGAGAGCAACAATCCCAGTAATCTTAAGAGGGATCCCAACTTTGATCATGTCCTTGATCTCAATATGTCCCGTCGTGAACCCGACGATGTTGGAAGGTGTTCCCGTGGGGAGCAAGAACGCGAATTGAGCTCCAATGGCGCCAGGGATCATCAGGAGCAGCGGATGAACATGCATAGTCTTGGCGATTTGGATGAGCAAAGGCACCAAAAGAGTAGTCGTGGCATTGTTGGAGGTGAATTCGGTTATGAACGCCCCAATCAGGGACACGAGCGGCGCGATCGCCCAGTACGGCGCTTGCTCGAGGAAGTCCAGCGATTTGGTCAGAATCTCGGCCAGCCCGCTGGTTCGAACCCCGTCGGCGATGGCGAATCCTGCCCCGAGGAGGAGGACTATGTTCCACGGGAGCTTCTTGCATTTCGACCAGTCCATCAGCTTCTCGCCCTTGTTCTTGTTGCTCGGGATTATGAAGAGCAGCGTTGCCATCATGACCTGAGGAGGAGGATGACAACAATGTCGTTAACTAAGAGCTGTGTTCTTGTATGACAATAAAATTTGTGTCATAAACCAGTTGGTCCCAATAACTCGAGTTGTTGGAAGAAGGTTATGCTGGATCTTATACAGGCCCGTGTATGGTACTTAACCACTTCCTTACATGCCCCCTCAAACGAAAGCCGACCCATGGGCTTGAAGTTTGCACAGGCCCGCCATACCATGTGCTTGAAGACAACGGTTAATATTGGGGGTCGTGAGGACTTGAACACGTGACCTCAAGGACAAACCAGCTCTGATACCATGTCATAAACCAGTTGGTCCCAATAACTCGAATTGTTGGGAGAAGGTTATGCTGGATCTTATACAGGCCCGTGTATGGTACTTAACCACTTTCTTACAATTTGATGAATGAGTAAAGCATTTACTCACACTGACAGTTCCATCGCCAGCACGATCATTGAAGAGGACTCCCCAGCCAGGGATGTCATCCGTTATGCTTCTAGTCATCCATAATGCAATCAACATCTATTAACAAAAATAATAACATCATTAGTGTTCAGATTAACCTTTCTTTCTTACACAAATCAACCTTACAAATCTCTCATACACTTACCCCAAACACAGTTAAAACCATCTTCTCTGCAAACGCCATTGGACCTGCCCAAACCACATATGCATAAACAAGGTGTTGAGTAAGCTTTGACATGCTTGCACATTTTTAACTTGCTAATTAGATTGATTGCCAACTTACCCAAGAGTGTGAGTTCTCTTTTGAGATGGGCTTTATCCAGGTAAGCCGAGAGAATTGGGCCGGATCCCTTCGGGCAATACAACAAGCAGAGAATGGCCCACAGGAACAAAAAGATGACCAAGGCCAACGGGACGCCGAAGAACAGCCACGTGCTGAAGCTGATGGGGTCCGCCTCCGGGAAGTAGCTCTTCCACATCCCGACCAATATCAGGTTGACACCTGTCCCCGTCAGCGTGCTCATCCCTCCCACGGCGGCGGAGTAGATCACCCCCAGCACCACCGCCCGGCAGAACTTGCTCACCGCCGGCGACTGCCCCGGGCCGGACTCCGGCAGGCGCTGGAGGATCCCGGTGGCCACCGGCATCATCATGACCGCCGCCGCCACGTTGTGCATCCACATGCTGATGAACGCGGTGGTGGCGCATATCCCGAGGAGGAGGAGCGGCGGGTTCAGTGGGTCCCCGCAGAACAGCAACGTTATCTGTTGATTTTCAAGTCCGGGCGGCCGGGCCCCGCCACCAAGAGAATAATTGATCAGATTACCGAATCATCATTATTGTACCGATTACATAGCAAATTGTTTAGTATAATCTAAGGTTGTCAAATCCCTATCAGACTGGTTGGATGGAGCGGGTTCGATCAAAATCGGTCGTGAAGATGATTTCTAACAAGTCATTTTGAATGTTAGTTGATAGTCGATAAAAACTGGACAAAATAAGTGGTTAGATAACTTTTTTTTTCTCAATACGATGACAAAAGTTTGTCGTTTTGAAATGGAATGTCCGAATAAGATGAGGCTAGAATTTAATGAGTTATATATATAATTAAATATAAAATTACTAAATGATATTAGTGAATAGAATACCATCTTATTTGTATATAAATTTATAAAATACACCTCAAACAAACATGTTGGACTCCGATCAACCATTGAACCTTAGACCTTTTTTTTGACGAGCTCAATAACTTAAATCGATTCGAGTACAATTCAATAGATAAATCCAAGTAAGGTCGTTATTATCTGATCTAATATTATTTACCATAATCAGTCTTTCTTATCCGGAACAATTTTTTTTTTACCATGATGGTAAAAAAAAATACTCCGTTGGTTAAGTAAGGAAGAAAAGAAGAGATCGAACTCACATTCAAGGCCAGCCGGCGGTGAATGTTGTAATGCTCGACGGCGAGGGCGAGGATGAAGCTCCCCAACACCAGGGCGATGACGTCATCCATGTACGAGGAGGCCACGTCATCGGCGGCGGCGATGCCGAAGAGCGGGAAGAGGAAGAGCGGCGCCATGGAGGTGATGGGCATCGGGACGGCCTCCGTCAGCCACCAGGCGAACATCCAGGCCAGCACCGCCAGCATGTTCCGGCTGGTCGCCGCCGCCGACGAGGAAGAAGAGCCGCCGCCGTCCCCCGGCTGCAGCTTCACCAGCAGGCAGATCATGGCGCACAGGAGCGGGCCCAGCAGGATGTAGAAGCTGTTGGGAGTCAGCAGGCAGGAAATCAGGGACTGACACGTGGCCGGTCCGGCCGGCCCGGGTTCGTCGGAGTTGGGCGGAGGGTGGACGACCACCGCGAGGAGGGGAGCTTTGGGGTCGTCGTTGCCGGAGTGGCCGCTCATTTTCCTTGGTATTTTTTCTTAGTGACGGTGGAGGAAGAAGAAAGAAGAAAGGAATAGAATTTTGTAAGGGAAATGAATGTGTAAAAGCTTATTCACAAACTATATATATACAAAAATTGCCTTTGGATTTTGGATAGAGGTTGGCATTTTCAAAAAAATGAATTTTCTGGCACCCAATTTTAGATAGAGAGGTTGGAGTGCCCAATTTGTACCTTCCTTGTTTTTCTATAATTTCCTTTTTTTTTTCTAGGGGATAATTCATTTTATTCATTCCTAATTCATTTAGAAAAATAAAGTTTACTTGTCATATTTATCCCATCAATACACACTACATTTCATTCGCGACTTCGCTGCATCGTGAACGCAAAGATTCTTACAGTCATTACGAATTTTGACGATGTTTAAAAAAATTTCACAGCTAATGTGGTCATCGATCTAATATTTACAATACGAATACTTATCTAACTATCAACACGTCATTTTAATCTCGTCTTATTGCCTTTAATCTTCGTTTGGTGCTTCCAAATTGGGTAATAAATATTCTACCTTTTTTTTAGTGTATACGATTTTTTTTAGATAAGGGTGATATAGGTTATTTTTTTGTTATTAGGTACTACTGAAAGGATTCGAACTTGGTACCTCCAGGTTCATGGCTAGTAATATTACCACTAGACCAATCCCTTGTTCGTGTAGACGATTTTCTTAAAATGCTGTTCATCTTCATGTGGATAATATTTGAGCACCTGAAGATTTTCTGGTATTAAATTAGGTGCATTATTATTTGGCGGCTGGTATGTTAGGTTGGATCTATGTAATAAATTAATTGCCATTTCCCCCAATGTATAGGTTCATACGAAATTTCTTCATTAATTTTGACATATGCGTGAAAGGTCGTTTGAATACTCGCCGCATATAGAAGAAAGAAGGCCTTGACCGATAAACTCTGTGTAGGTAGGGATGACAATTTCGATCTGACCAGTTTTACTCGATCTATTTGATCTACTTTTGAGCTGGGCGGACATGAGTATTCTCATCGACCTGACCTGACCCCCTATTCTCGACCCGTTCTTCCCTAATTACATGTAATTTAAGTCAAATTACTTAGGATTTTTCTGTATTACATCATATTTTAGCTATTATAAAGTTGTAAACTAGTGAAAACCCCAGTTTCTTCGATAATTTAACTACATTTTATTATATTATGATTTGTTTTTTGGTCTTGTAATGAAAATAACGAATATTTCGAATGTTTTCCATATAAATTACATACTCATTGAATCGACCGACCCCGACCCGTGTCCCATGATAAATTACATGACCGTATCCGACCTAATATCTAATATTAACTCATGGTTAAATATTTGATGGTAGTCGATATTCGAACACAAGATCACTTAGCCAAACTGGTATCTAATATTATACCCATAACTCATTTGATTTCAATAACTCGAGTTGTTGATAAAATGTCAACTACGGATTTCAAACCTTGTGTACAGTAATTCTGCTTCTAAAGGGTAGTAAACTGTAGCTAGGAACCTTCGTGGCGCATTGTGAAAGAAAGATGCCAAATCTCTAGGAAGCTTCATTCCTTGTAATGTATAGCAAGGCTGCATGCAGTCTCTTTCCCAACAGTGCCGAACATTTTAGGAAACAACCATCGTGCGTTTGGGATTTACTCGTCGTCCAATGAGGAAGAGGCAGGCAACTTGCTGGAAGGGATCTTTGATCTTTTCTTCCATTAGCTTGATTATTGATTACGTTAACTTACTTACTTATACCGCCGTCAATTACCATCTACCGTACGTTAGAGCTAGCGGTCCTCATGCAACACCCGCGCCCGTCCGGCGCGCGGCTAATTTTTGTAAGAGAGAGCGCGATATACGATTCACAATCAAACATTTTCCCAACAAATCGGAGTTATTAAAACCAGTGTGTTTCTCCCCCTCCGAAACAATAATGGTTCTGGTACGTACAACCCCGTCGATATGATTCGAATTCGACCACTATCTATCTATCCTCGTAGTTAGGTTACTTAGACAAATGATGCATTTGTGTTTAATATGTGGAATTATTGAATGGTAGTTATCGTGATGGAAAAATTTCTTTGTTGACTTGGTTTTGGGCGGATGTCAAATCGAATAACCGAGCATTATTATTATTACACTACATAACCTAGCTAGCTAAGTAGTGGGTTAATGTGATTGGTTCTTGATATCTATACGTGTAACCCCCGATGTTAATCCCCTTAATAAAAAACTTAGGCCCTGTTCACTTTCATTTTCGTTTCCTGTTTTCTGTTTTCATGTCATAAATTTGACAAACGAAACGAGAAAATATGTTTACTTTTCATTCTGTTTTCTATTTGTTTCCAACTCTGAAAACAGAAAGTGGCAGCTTCCTATTGTTCTCGAAAACGAAAAAATGTCGTTTTCACCTGTTTTCAACATCTGTTTTCTCAAAAACAGGAAACAGAAATGTAAGTAAACAGGGCCTTATAGTAATGATGATTTAATTAGCTTAATCATGATGATCCTGACCGTTTGGGCCAGTATACCATATGATAATGTTTAATTAGCTTGGAGAAAGAAAGAAGAAAAAAAAGCCACCAACTTGCTTACAAAGATGCACTAATTAATGGTAATTATAGAGACTTGTGATGATGGATTATTGGGTATAGCGAGTGAGTGAGTGGATGGTGACAAAAGGGTTTGAATTATATTACATTATGAAAAAGAGTTTGTTTTCTGTCGACAAAGGGACATTTAGAGATCGGATAATGGAGGGAGAGAACGCTGATGAGGTGGATGGTCTAACTTAACTTTGCTGGATATCATGGAGTTCAATGATTCTTAGCTACGACACATGTGCATGGCGGTTGGTTGGGCCAAGGGACATATTGCTTCTCTTGCCAACCTGTCTGGACGAGGTTTTGTTTGGCCTGGGCCGGGGAAGGTATTATTTTGTGTTTGTCGTTGCTACGTTGCAGCTAACATGTCGCCGAGAGAATTTGGTGGACATTAGTACTTGGCCACGATTTCTGTGTCCATTTATCGTCCACACCCCCACCCACAAGATCTCTCGGTCACATAAAGGCTCTGATACCATGTCATGAACCAGTTGCTATCTCCCAATAACTCGAGTTGCTGGGGATTCGAACACAAGATCTCTCGGTCACATAAGGCTCTGATACCATGTCATGAACCAGTTGCTATCTCCCACTAACTCGAGTTGTTGAGAGGAAGGTTATGCTGGATGTTGAATACCACTCTCTTACACGTACGCCCCCAGCTCAAACAAAAGCCAAACTCGCGGCCTTGAAGTTTGCACAGGCTAACCATACCTTGTGTTTTAATCAATTGTTAATATTGGGGGGTCGTGGAGATTCGAACACAAGACTACTTGGCCAAGCTAGCTCCAAATACCTCTGTCAAAAACCAGTTGGTCTCAATAACTCGAATTGTTGGAAGCGAGGTTCAATCGCGTGGATCATATACGATACACTAACACCGTGATCGGAGTATTCGCAATTGCGGATTTGATTGTCATCCCCTATTTTACGTTCATTTCAATACGAACGAACCATTGAATAATGTAGTTTTGATGTATACTTGATTTGTATCGTTATTATTAGCTCTGTTTAAGATAAAGACGAACATGCTTATTGGTGTCGGATTGGCCTGCCAAGTAAGCTTCACTTGGACGTCTCGAGTTAAATCAATCCACTATATTTAAAGATTTGACTGACCCATCCTTTCCTTGGGTTTAAATATGTTAGATCCGTAATTACATGTATGCACGGGTCAAATTAATGGCCGCTTGAAGTTAATTAATCATCTATCAGCTGCCTTATTATAGACACGAAGTGATGGGAGCCCGTTTAGTTTATTATATGGATGCCACCGCATTTGAACGATAGCAGTGGCGGAGGCAAGATCTGAAACTACCCATGTCTTCTTTTTCGGTACGATTTCATAGATTATAATTTGAATTTGAATATTAGAACCAACAACTAACAAGAAAGAAAAGCAAAATAGAGAGAAAGGAGGTTGCAAAGAGTGGTGTTTTTTTTTTCCAACCCTTTCACAGCAAACACGATATTGTTGGTGGTGAGAATGTCTTCAATGTAATTATGGATATATACATGAAGAATGTCTTAAATTATCTTTTGTTGATCATACTCATCATCATTGAGTTTACGTTCAACAAGGTTTGCTATGATCACAAATTTGGGATCTAGGGTTCACTCCTTCATAATTGTCTTAATCTCACATGAAAGTTTGAGATCCATATCTAGAATGTTTTGTGTGGAGGGTTACTAAAAATGCAACTATTTACATTAGTTCTCTTCACCCTCATTTTCCATAAAAAAAAAAAAAAATCCCACGTAATTAATTTTCTTTACGATTTGAATTACTGAAATGGGCTTGGACAGGCCCAATTTAATTCCAGTTTCGCCTCATTTTTGGACTGCTGGATTCCTCGCCACCAGTGAACAATCGGACAAGGAACCAATAGTCCAATTACCCAACTGTACAAAAGTTTTCTTTCCTTCAAGAAAGTCCACGTAGAAAGTAGACATCGGATTCGCTTGGGCCCTGGCCCACTAGACCTAGTACAACGGCCCTTAAATTAAATTAAATTAAAAAACCTAATTCTTTAGTTACGAGTTCGATGGTTCGATTTCTGCTCGTAAAAATGAAATTCAAGACATAATCATTAATTGGTTGCCGCGAACAAGATTAGTTACTATTATCAGAGATGCAGATAATTGAACTAAGGAAATTCATCATAAATTGGTTCTGAATAATGATAGAGATTAAAATATAATTTAGTTGATGAATATCTAAGCCCGTGGTTAAAATATATAAAGTGGGTGGAGCCACATCATCACTTTGGACAAACAAATCCCGCCTCGCTTTCCACTAATCACTATCCCCCACAACACACTCCATTTTTACCTTTCCTTTCCCGTAAAATCACTAATCTCTCCCTCCATATTTTTCTCCTATCCATCATCCCCTCAAAATCCAATCCCTAGATTTCCGCCACTCTCCGCACGGACTGAAGAAGGGGGGGAAAAAATGGCCGAACCGCCTCCGACGGCCGTCTTCCTCCGCTCCAGCCGCATCCCCCACGACGTCGTCACCGACATCTTCCGCCAGCTCCCGGCCGAGGCCCTCCTCCGCTTCCGCGCCCTCTCCAAGCCCATCTGCGACCTGATCGACAGCTACGATTTCATCCAGCTCCACTTGTCCTACTCCCTCCGCACCAAATCCCACCACTCCCTCATCCTCCGCGACTGGCACCTCTACACCGTCGACTTCGACTCCCTCGGCGCCGCCGTCGATCTCGACCACCCGCTCTCCGTCGGCGGCGGGACCGAGGCGGTCGGCTCGGTGAACGGCCTCGTCGCGCTGCGGAACTCGGAGCGGGATCTCGCGATTTACAACATCGCCACGCGGAAGGTCCGGAAGCTGCCCGTGAGCGAGGTGGAGCCGCCCGGCGGGCAGCACCTGAGGACCGGGTACGTTTTCTACGGGTTCGGGTACGATTCTTTGAACGATGATTACAAGCTGGTGAGGATGGCGACTTTCGTCGGGGATGAGAACGCGAGCGATACTTATAATTACGATTACGAGGTGAAGGTTTATAGCTTTAGGAGCAATTCGTGGAAGAAGATTATGGATGTCCCGTTTTACATCCGGTTCCTGCATAAGCCCCTGCATCAGGTTTTGCATAGGAGAGGGTACGGGGTTCTCGTTGGCTCTGCTCTGCATTGGGTGCTGCCTCAGAGGGCTTTGCTGGGTTTGAAGAATTATATTGTCTCGTTCGATTTCGTTGCTGAGAAGTTCGATGAGGTGCCTCAGCCGGAGTACGAGAATAAGGATCTGAGCTACCAAGTGGATGTGGGGGTTCTGGAAGGGAATCTCTGTGTGATGTGTAACTACGAGCATGTATGCGTCGATCTGTGGGTGATGAAGGAGTATGGGGTGAAGGAGTCTTGGTCTCGGCTGTTCTCGGTGCAGAAGATTAGGAATACTACTGCATTTGGGTTCTTGAGGCCTTTGATTTATGCCAAGGATGGTAATGAACTGCTATTGGAAGTGAATGATGAGAAGCTCTTCTGGTACGATTCGAAGACTGGGAAGGCTAGAAGTGTGAGGATTCTTGACGGGCCGAGATCGTTTGGTGCTGTAATGTATGTGGGAAGTCTTATTCCAGTTGAGGATCCTGATGAAGTTGAGCGGCAGCGACGGTTAAGGGAGGATGCCGAGAGGGAGAAGTTGAGATCCGAAAATAACAATTGGTAAAGCAAAACTAGTTCTGATATATTCTAATCTTGTGAATATTGATGATCTGGGAAAAAAGTTGTCATCTTGCATGTATATCCAGAACTGATAACTTGTCCCATTTCTCCTTCAAATTTTGGAGATGGATCAGAAAAGAAGATATGTGCTTGCATTTTGTTGCAAGTCTTTCTTCACACATTGTGTTTCTGGTCATTGTGTATGTACCTGGAAGATTAACTGTTGTACAAATAGAATTTGTTATCTTGTGGACTTGGGTTTCAAGTCAATAGAAAATTTTCATTTATAACAAGCAAGTCAACTGGAGGTCAATATCTATGCTAGTATTCTGATCTATTGTTTAATGCCTATCATCTGTTTATTTAGTCTTTGATCTGGGTCAATGAACGGTCTACTTGAACAATTAGGCGGGTCCCCATCACATTTTCTGGCTGCTTGTTGATTTGGGGAAAAATACATGTAATAAACAGTATTGCTGAAATGCTAGGGTTCAAGCTCATTTTATGTCCCGGGCCACAAATTTGGGCTCCACATACTTCTGTCCTCCTTTTATCAGTAGACATTGACTTGCAAGTTGCAAGTCATTGTTATGTTTTTCCACAAATCATAAGAGCATATTGTGATGAGCACTTCTACTATGCTATATAGCATTGGTGCTTTAATGTACAACTCAAAGTTGTACCATAACATTAAATGTATAAGTTTAGGTTGTACCATAAAGCAATTTGTACCATTATGTTATGGTACAACTTTACAACTTGAAGTTGTACCATCACATAAAGGTACAAGTTCAAGTTGTACCATAAAAGAATTTGTACAAAAAGTATAGGTACAATCTGAAGTTGTACCATAACGTAAATGTACAATTTTAACTTGTACCATAAAGGCAAAAACCTATAGCACCAATACTATATAGCATTGTAAAATTTCTCTATTGTGATAACTTTTCTTTTCCATTTTGTTGTCTTTTCATGGCTTAGCCATCTTGTTAAGGGTACTAATGGCCTCTTTCTCGCAGGGATGACTTCCTATCAGTTGGATTTAAACTGAAGCTGTGACCAGCAGAGAAGACACCGATGACCAAGAGAGCGTCCACTGGTGCGTTTTGTTATTTTCTCTGCTGTCTGATTTAGTTATTCCGCCCCAGAGACTTCATCAGTCGCAGTTTAATTTAACCGGTTGAGGTATGAAGTCAGTTTTTCTGGTCTTATCTGATAAATGCTAATTGTTGGTATGGAAACTGCAGCGAGCTATCCGCGGAGAAACGTGGCATCACGAGGTCCATGTGATGCCGCAACAAGGAAAGCCAAAGGCATGTGGAGGAAACCTACATCTTTCTTCAGCCTTCAGCAAGTTAGGATGTGGTGGTCTCTCTGGTTGGAAAGGCTTCAGCCTTGGGCAAAGCATCATTTCATTTGCCTAAAATGTACTAGGATTCCTGATAGATATCTTTGTCATGTTACTTAGGAAGAAGAAAGAGCTTGTAGAAAGGAAAGGGATCATCTGTAGACTACCTTACAAAAAGCTAGAGAATAAGAAAGGAGAAAGTGAAAGCTACCCAGAAAACAAATAAAGGAAAGCAACAGAAAACAGAAGAGGTTAGGTTGCTACTTACTGTACATGCAAGCATTTGCAGGATCATGCCCGGAATCTCATTCCAGTCACTTGGACGACGAGAAAGGTGCAGCCGAATTGCTTTTTACTCTATTCGTACCTGACTGAAGCTTGAAAGATTGGAAGTAGAGAAGAAGCTGCATGCAGGTTGCTGCTTGGTAACTGCATGGCTTCTTCTGCTTACTTCTTTCTGATGTATTAATGGCTTCCTTGTATGTGTATTATTGCTGAAGTCTCGGCTGTGTGTTGTATTTTTCTGCTGCAACTTTACATTGACATGACAATGTAATGCTGTAACCTTGAAGCATAAGTTGTATGTTTGTAATCTGGAGCCTGGATACCCTTGTATCAAGTGTTCACAGATGTGTGAACACGATTGCGTCAAAATCTTCATTTTTTTTTATTAGTCTTAAAATTGTGGTGTAGAGTAGACCATCCTTATTGAATTGTATATAATTTCCTATATAAATATAAATTATTGACCTTAATCACATTGTTTATAGTAGGAGAAAGAAGATTAAGGTTACATTATAAAATATCAAATATGTGATGTTTATTTGGGCAGTCCACAAAAAATATTCGTAAAAAAGTCTACAAAAACGTTACAGCACAACTGTTGGGTCTCATCCTTCCGTCCAAGCTCCACAACAAGATCTCAACGGTTAATATAATCGACATCGCCCCAATCACGTGACCATCCCGCCTAAATAGCATGATCACGACCGCACCTGATCACTGCCACAGTAAAACTCTCATTTAGTAAAACCAAAAGAAAGAAACTATATAATAGCGTAGGATTTACAGTCCCTGGCTGGATTACGGCTCAGAAAGACAGACACAGAGAGAGAAAGAAAAGTAAAAAGGAGAAATAGGGAGGGAGCGAGAGACCACCACCGCCGCCGCGGCAACGCTTTCCCCCCCGATCAGTTCACCGCTCTTTACCTTCCGATCGTCGGATATCTTCGCTGGATTGATTCTATTCTCTATCGGCGTTGTTCTGTTTCGGATTTCGATGACTGATGAGGTGAATGATTTGGGTAGGGTTTTGTTGATTCGTGTGGGACGGGAATTTTAACTGTGTGGTGGAGGCGCTTCGCGTGCTGTTTCCTCCACCGTGCTAGCGGCCGGGGATTGCGCGGTCAAATGTCGCAACGGCGATCGTCGTCGGTTGATTGTCCCTCTCAGCGTACTGCCGGTGGCGGCGCCGCTTCTCCTTCATCTGCCGCCGCCGCCGATCACCGCGGCTCGGCCAAGCGCAAGTTGGACGATTACGTGTCTTCCATCGAGGAGGACGATGAGGACCTGGTCAGCGTGAGAATGCGGAAGGACGATTCCCCCTCCGCCGTTAACTCCTCTTCCGACGTTCAGAACCACAGTCTCGTTTCATCGAGCGGTGGTGGGGTTGGGCCCGTCTCCAGCTCAGCAGCCGCCTCCGCCGGTGACCTCTCGTCTCTTCCTTCTTGTTCGCGCACGGCTTCGCCTCCTGCCGTGGGGCTCGCTGCGTCGGTTACGAGGCTCCAGTTCTTCGTCCGGATGATCTCCACCGGGAATCACATTGTTATTAATGCCAGTTCGGAGGACACCGTGGGAAAGATTCTGATGAGAATTCAGGACATCACTGGGATTCCTGCTTACGAGCAGAGGTTAATTTACAACGGGAAGCAGCTGCAGGCGGAGCAATCACTGGCGGAGTGTGCGATTCAGAAGGATGCCGCACTTCATTTAGTTGGCCGGATGCGGAGTACGAAGCATCCACAGACTTGCCGGCTAGTCGAGCAGTTAGTAATGCTTATTTGCAAACTATGTAGAGGGGGAATGCCATCTTCCGCTCATGCCCCTAAGCATGTTACAAACTTGGTGGCCGAGTTCTTCAAATTGACTGGAAATAGTGAAATTGAGGATGCAGGCGGCCATTTTGAGATTTTCATGTCATATTCTGCTCCAGCAGCATTAGTGATGCTGTATATCTCGACCAACAAAGGTAACAAAGAATGCGCTGATACTTCGATTAAGCACTTCTTAAACGCCTGTAGAGATTTGCCGAAGTCATTGCATGCCAACTGTGCACCTGTTATCTTAGAATTTTGCAATTTGCTTAGAAAGGTTGCTAATGACGATCTTCTGTATGTCTGCTGTCGAAGCACTCTTGGTTCATTCTTGGAAAATGATTTGGGGTGGCGCTGGTCATTCAAGTGTGAGGTAGGTTTGGATGATGTAAAGGCGTCTATTACGATAGCAGATGTTTTCCCTTTTGTTAAGGAGTTAGCTATTAGGTTGTGCTATGGTCTGGATTTGAATCTGCAGACTCCAGGGAGTTTTCTACGACCATCTGCTACTGATGTCCGTGACTTCTCTGCATTCTTGTCACCTTTTCGGGCTGCTATATCGGAGCATTTAGGAACTGAGCCACCTGTTTCCATGCCTTTGAGCAAGAGAGAAATTAGACATCTATTATATATTGAAGAGGTTGAGCAGCTTCATGTTATATTTAAGGCCTTGTTAACGAAGATGGATCGGTGCCTTCTTAAGTTGGACGCCTCAACTTTGAAGTCATCTGGAGAAGGTGAGTTGAGCCGTACATCAGGGTCTCAGTATCTTGCTATTTTGAAGGAACTGAATGAAATAGCTAAGCTTTACCAGAAGGCCGGAGAACAATTCTGGACACTTATGAAACTTAGAAAGACTTCTATTTGTGGTTTGATTGTTAAATATGCAAAAAGAACCGATGACCATCAATGGCTTCTTATGCACAAGGAGGTGACTGATTTTGAGTCGCGGAGGCATTTGGCTATGATGATGTTACCTGAGGTGAAAGAAGACTACGAGGATCTGTTTGAAATGCTTATTGACAGGGCACACTTGTTGGAGGAGTCATTTGCATACATAGGCCGTGCTGAATCTGAGTCGTTGCATGGAGGTTTATTTATGGAATTCAAAAACGAGGAAGCTACTGGTCCTGGTGTAATGCGAGAGTGGTTTCCCTTGGTAGTTGAGGCTATATTCAACCCAGAGAATGCTCTTTTCCTGGCATGCCCAAATGATCGCAGAAGGTTCTACCCTAATCCTGGTATGACTCTACATGTGTAGCCATCTCTGATTCTTAATCATGTTGCATCTAATCTATATACAATCATGGTGGTTTGCATATAGTGATATCTTCTTCAGTCGTGGCTCAAATTTCAAACTTAGTGATAGTGTGGTACTATTGTTTAATCTCGGTTTGTGGTGCACCAGATCAGGTCAATGTAGGAGTAGTCTAATCCCTCAGCTGTTTGGCTTAGGATGCTCTGTGTTATCCATATCAACATGGCTAATCCACTGGGTCTTTTCTTCTCGCCTGGGTCATCCATATGAATGCATTGTTGTTATTCACAGAAGTTTTAATGTTACGGGCCCAATGAATCCAACAGGATGCATATTCCCGTTTTGTATGTCTTCGCACCTTGTCTTTACTGACAGAAATTATCATTAGAATGGTCAGTGGGAGTAGTAATGCTGGACAAATAAAGGCGTCAAGGTCTACTTCCCTCATCCGCAGTCCATAAATTCATATGATCATGTCTGTGATTTTAACCTCATCCAGGTGTCCTTAATTTAGTGATCTGGTGTACCGGTTTGGTGCTCAATGACTTGATTTTTCACCTTGCTTGGACCCTTTCTCAAAAGTAATTGTGCATATTAACAACATTCTCTTTTAGTGTTTAATTGTTTCCTCCATAACGGATTTGCAGCATCTAAGGTGCAACCAAGGCATCTCGAGTTTTTCAACTTCTCTGGTCGGGTAATTGCATTAGCTTTGATGCACAAAGTACAAGTTGGAATAGTTCTAGATCGCGTCCTTTTCTTGCAATTAGCTGGAGCAGACATACATCTGGAAGACATAAGGGATGCAGACCCGATCCTCTACAGTAGCTGCAAGCAAATTCTGGATATGGATGCTGAGTTTATTGATTCCGATGCTCTAGGACTTACATTTGTTAGAGAATTCGAGGAGTTGGGATCCAGGAAGGTTGTGCAACTCTGTCCCAATGGGAAAAATATCATAGTTAATAGCAAGAACCGAGAAGAATATATCAAACTCTTGATTCACCATCGATTCGTAACGTCAATCTCGGAACAGGTCTCACATTTTGCACGGGGCTTCTCTGATATTCTTTTGAAGGGAAGCCTCCCTAGTTTCTTTTTTCGAAGTTTGGAGCTTCAAGATCTTGATTGGGTGCTGTATGGGAGTGATGCTCCTATCTGCGTTGAGGATTGGAAGGAACATACCGACTACAATGGCTTTGAAGAAACTGATCCTCAGATATCCTGGTTCTGGAAGGTATTTTTCTTCCTTTTGTCCAGTTGGTTTATTTACTATGGCTCATGACTTGTTACAGTTTAGTCGTATAGAATTTTGAATTTGTCTATGGACTTGTGTGGATTTGTTTAGAAGAAATCGTATAGTCTATGAAGACGCTTTGTGTTGCTTCTTTTCTCTTAATGTCTCGACAACCATTTGAAGGTGGTCTTTTATAAGCTTGTCTGTCCTTGTTAGCTATACATTGTTTGGGTCCTGGATTGACTCTACTTCATCTATGTTAGTGAAGTTTAGTTGTCCGGCATTTGCTTCAGAACCAAATGATCGATGTGCTTTGTCTTCAGGTATATTTTTCTTCTCTTGTTAGCTATACATTGTTTGGGTCCTGGATTGACTCTACTTCATGAATGTTAGTGAAGTATAGTTGTCCCGCATTTGCTTCAGAACCAAATGATCGATGTGCTTTGTCTTCAGGTATATTTTTCTTTTCTTGTAGCATAATTGTGTTAGTGGCTGCCGAGTTGTGCCGTCTTTGGTGATCTCTCATGCTTCATATTGTTGTGAAGAGAACCTTAATTTTCCTTCTCTCACTCTATTTTCGTGCTTGTTTCTCTTTGTTGTTTATTTTGGGTGAGAGTGTTGAATATTAGAGTGCATAAGTGATGTATCAAAGGCTTTTTGGCTCTTGGTGTAGCAATCTACATGGGAACGTATTCCTGAAATATAGGCCAGTACGAAATCTGTCATTCTGTGTGCGTAGATTTGGTGAATGGTTGCTTGGTGGCAATTATAAAACCCAGCGGAAAAGGAAAAAAAATGGTCGTCATATGACATCAAGTAACTGGGAAAGCTAAGAATAAGTAGTTCAGTCTGAGTTGATTTTCATCTGAAATGGGAGTGTTTTTCCTTCTTTTATGGCCTTTGTGAAGAAAAGAACTAACTTTGTAGGTGCAACTTACGAATTCCTTCAGCTTCGAGTTTTCAACCATGCTACTGTGATTGAAATTGAATGGCTGATTCGTCATTGTATGGCTCAGACACTTCCGCATCTGTTATCTGGGAAGATCTTGTGTTGTGCCTCGTTTAGAGGTCACCTTATTCTGGTTGTGTCATATTGCAGATTGTTGGGGAAATGTCAGCTGAGCAAAGGAGAATACTACTCTTTTTTTGGACATCGGTGATGTATCTACCTGTAGAGGGTTTCGAAGGCTTGACTTCCCGACTCTACATATACAAGTCCGCGGAACCAAATGATCGCCTGCCTTCATCGCACACATGCTTCCACCGCATTTGCTTCCCGCCTTACCCATCCATGGAAATCATGCAAGAGCGACTCCTCATCATAACCCAAGAGCACGTTTATCGCAGCTTTGGCACCTGGTGAAATGCCTGGGTTTAGACGGGTGCTCTTTTAACTGCACATAGAAAGAATGAGAAAAAGCTATCAAAAAAAGGAGGAGGAAGAAGAAGAAATCAGGTTGTACAGATAGGGGTTTTCAGTCGGTCGGTTTCTTATAATGTAAGGGAGGTGCATTGTTAGGGTTCGATCTCTACATTCCCCGCCGTCGTCTCGTTACCATACAGAGGCTCGATTCCATTGGTCTGGTCCCTTTTTTTGTTGTTTCGACGGGTCGGTCTGTTAATATAGGGTCCTCAAGCATATGAAATAATGGTCTGGAGGCATAGAAAGGAAGCATAAAAGTGAATTTCTGTGCTTCCTTCCATAAGACTTCTCCCCCCTTTAGTTATTAAGTATTGACATTGAGTCTAAAAGATCTAGTCCTTTTTTTGCTGTTTTTGCTGCAAGGAAGCAGAATCACCTATGTTTGGTTTTTGGACAGAGAGATTCGGTTGCAACGGAAAGGATGGAGTGGGAGGATTATATGTCCTTTGAAGTGATTGATTGATGTTGGAAAGTGGAAACCTCTACCGTTGGTTTCTGCATTGTCTTGTTGCCTATGTTTGTGTTTAGTTTTTAAGGCACTTTCGGGGACTGCTGTCGTGGAGTAACTTAACAAAATATTACCACCAAAACCATATTGAAATATAGTAAATTTCATAGCTAATGCAAAAGCATCCCCAACATAAACATCAAAATAAACCCATTTCCACATCCCCCAATCCTATGATCCCACGTGGCGCCACGAATCATCATAATAATTAACGTCGAAAAAAAGCAACAATAAGAAACATTTAGAAAGATAGATAGATCCCAAACTCCTTGATTAATTTCTTCATTCCTCTGCTTTCTCCACAACGGCTTCTTCCTCTTCCCCTGCTGGCTTCTCCTCAACAGCTGCCGCTGGTGCGGCGGCCTCTGTTTTGGGTTCCTCTGCCACGACGTCTGCGGCAGCAACAGCTGGCTCCTCGACAGCTTCTGCTGCAGGCTTCTCCTCCTCGACAGCAGCGGCTGGCTCCTCAACTGTCTCGGCTGCAGGAGCGGCTTCTTCTTCTTCTTCTTCCACAGCTACTTCCTTTGTGACGATCTCCTCAGCTTCAGCGGCGGCTGGCTCTTCCGCTTTGGCTTCTTCCACCACAGCGGCTGCAGGCTCCTCTCTTTCAGCTGCTGGCTCTTCTTTGGCTTCGTCGGCGACGACAACGGCTGGCTCTTCCACTGCAGCAGGCGCAGCTGGCTCCTCCACCGCTGCGGCGTCAGGGGCGGGGGCGACAACTTCCTTTGTCTCTGTCTCTACTGGCAATGCTGCTGCTGCAACCTGAAGAAAGAAATTGTTCAACGCAAACATTAGAAAGAGCATGAAAAACTAATTCTCGTCGCAAAAAGAGTATTTCTCGTCGCAAAAAGATCCCCTTTTGCAACCGCTTTATTGATTATAGCGACCACTGATGCCGTCGCAAAAACTAAATTTCTTGTAGGTGAATAGTAAGATTAAACAAAGCTCTGTATTTAGTCACATGGAATCTACATATGAAGGATCATATGTGCTTCTTTCCACATAAGGATCGATGAAAAAACAGCTAGAGGAAACATCTGTAAACTAATTGTATACCTCAACGCTGGCCATCTTTAGGAATAGGGAGAAGGGCTGCTAGCTCTGTCGAAGAAGGTTTGGAGATGGAGAAACAGAAAAGGCAGAGGAATGTATGGAAATTGAGAGTGTGATGAGATGAGCAAGAGTGTTGAGAGAGCTATTTATAGAGGTTGTGAGAACTGAGAAGCATAGGAGCAAAGCATTTTTTATTAAAAAAAAGTATGTAGACGAATTAGTATTTTGTTAATGGTAACATTAAAAATTGGGGAAAAGTAAGGGGGGGAATGATCAGGAAGATATACGGAAGAGGAATCTTTTTTGCAATTAGCTATGGACAGTTACCATGTTCCTGACACAGATTGATGCAAAATGTTGTCCAGTTGTAAAATGCATTCCTGTGGGCTGGCTGTGACATTGATAATCTTGATTTTTGGGTTTTCTTTTCACATTCCTTCATTTATCTTTTGCAAACTTGTGGAGTGATGAGGGATTCTCGATTCGTCGAAGTGAAGATAAATCTCGATCATTTTGAATCGAACGATGTATCGATTATGGTAATGGTAATTTCGAGAGCCTGCTTACCACTTCTCTTAATATGCAAAGATGCGATCTCAATCCAAAGCCTTAACAAAAAAAAAATTGATTTCAACAATTATCTTTCGCACATCAAAAATAACAATGATAAGAAATCATCAGGTCCGCGATCGATTTAAGTCTATTGGTTGTATTTGCAATCTCAATTACCTTATGTCAAGAACCAATTGGTTGTACATGCTAACACGCTCCCTCAAAAGAAAGCCACTCATATGAGTTTGAAACTGTTTGCACAGGCATCAGACATCATGTGTTTACCAATGGGTCACCGGGGGTTCAAATAGAAAACCTTTCGACCGCAAAAGTCTCTAGTACCATGTAAAGTACCGATTTCCCAATGACTCGAATTGTTTGATGAACAGATTCAATAACGAATCTTATACCACATACAGACACCTTATTGAACCTCAAATGAACAAATGTTTAGGTGCTAACTTGCCAAACTTTTATTAATATTGATTATTTTGGAGATAAGGAATCTACATGTGAGGTCATTTGATTTGATTTGATTAGGTATTACACAAAGATAAAGGACCAGCAAGCTTGCACATAATGAAATGAATTGGCAAAGAAGATACAGATGCAAATGGCATGGTAGTGGTGGAGTGGAGGCCACTCTCCTTCATGTGAATGATCATGACCACACCCGTCGCAATTAGTTCTCCCCCCTTTTGTCACTAATTCTATCATTCTTCCATGTTCTTTGCTTTTCACATTGCTCTGATTAATGCTAAATTAACCACACACAGTTTTTTTAATGACCAAAGACTTTGTCGGCGCTACTTACCTCGACTTCATGAGTACTCGACAAATTTCATGCATGAGAGTTAATGATTCTGCGGGTTTATATCTTTGATGGTGGCTAGCCATCAGAGAAATTTTCGACCGTTGAATGATGGCCTTCAAGAATTAAATCCAAAATTACACTACACTAATCCTCAAACTAATCTATCACTCGAGTCACCCCTCAGTGTTGGTGGTTAACTTGATGACATACTTGAATCATGTCGTAAGACGCAAGCCGAAACTCATTCGATCGACCTTGATGTGTTTTACTGTTTGTCTTGTGTTCACTTCGTTTAGTATTGTTTCATCTGAGTAAGCTCGATGCTTATGGGCAATCTCCCTTTTGATAGATAAAATCAAATACCAATTCATAAATAATTATAAAAAAAAAAAACCTTGACACATGCTTATAGCAAAATATTAACAATTACTGTCCAAAGTTTACTGAACATTGTAATCCCTCCCTAATCCCTATATATATGTAGCCTAAGATTACAGGCGACAAGCTACTTTTGTTTTGTATTTTACCATGATCAATGGCACTTAAAGTTAAGCACAGTAAAAACTTTATATATTTGGTGATTCCATATGCATTCAAAGCCTTCCACTAGGAATCTGGCGGGGAAGCAAAGAGAGAAGACGTAGAAGGGTAAAAAAAGACTAGTTTGGTACCAACTGTGCTAAGATTAATGGGTTATTTGGGTTAAAATCGAAAACAATTCTAGCGGTTAATATTTATAGTAATTTTTAAGAGGTAATGATGATGGTTCTAAAGTTCGAAATTAAGAATGGAATAGTATGTATTGTTTATTATTATGATGAACATTGGGGGACCATTATTGGTACTATATTGGTCAAATTATTGTTTGCTTTTTTCCCTCCTTAGGGCACATATGTATATATTTCCCTCACTATTTCTCCCACTTTCGATTCATAAGAGAAATTTTGAACATATAATAAAGCTTTTTTTTTTCTACTTCCTCTCCTGTGGGTATGGTCCCCGGTGAACAGTCAGTTTCCTGTATGTGGGATGGGGCAACCAGGTCGGGGTCTCATTCGGCGGGTGGGCTTGTGCTCAAGGACTCCAATGGGAATATTTTGCTGGTTCGTGGTGTGCAGTTTCCAGTTCTTGATAACCCCTTGGTGGCTGAGGTTTTGGCTCTTCGTGAAGCAGTGACATGGTGCCTGGAGTTAGGCTTTCATGAGGTTTATTTCGAAGGAGATGCTCAGATTATCATTGATAAAGTTACACGCCAGGATGCGAGGGATGTCCAAATTGGGGCGGTGCTGGAGGAGATCATTGCAATGTTTTCTAGTCATAGCGCTTTAAGTGTTCGTTTTGTAGGTCGGAGTGTCAATAGGGTAGCCCATTTGGCGGCTAGAAAGGCCCTTGATTTGTACCCGGCTACAAGCCGTTCTTTTGATTTCCAGGCCTGGCTGGTTTCCAGGATGTAATATCTTTTGGTTCAATCTTATATATGATTATCTTTTGAAAAAAAAAAAAACATATAATAAAGCAACAACACAAAATTGGTGAATAATTATGATGTGGGACTTTATGATGAGAGGAGCCAAGCAAATTGCAACAAGGTTTGCCTAGGCCGGTGCTTGTAGTGGGACCAAATCTGATACCCTCCCCACCAAATTTCACTAGTACTTCTCAATCGTCATAATAGATTTTTTCGGTTTTTTCCAGTCTCGGTGAAACAATATGGTATATGATTTAATGATTCAACAATGTATTGAACGGTGTGTAAAGATCGGTTTAATTGATCAAGTTTCATCTCATATTATATGATTGAAAGATTGAACGGTCGGATGATCAATGGAATTCGATCGACCAGGTTTTGTATCATATGATTGAACGATCGTTGAATGAGATTGGAAATCAATTTGATCAGTCAATATTCTTTCACGGTTTTACTATTAGATAGAGGTGGCAAATGGATTGGATTGGTGGATTGGTGGATTGGATTGGTGGATCCATGGATCAAATGGATTGGATCCAATGGATTGGTGGATTCATGGATTGGATCAAGTGGGTTGGTGGATTATCCATGGATCCAAATGACATCCTCAACCAAGGACCAATATGTAAAATGTAAAAAGTTTAGGTACTAAAATGTCACGATGAAAAATTTTAGGTACCAAAACGTAATTTTCCAATGATATTTTTCGTATAAAAAATTAAATTTTAGGTACCAAAATGTAAAAAATAAAATTTATAGGTACTAAACCGTAATTTGCCAATGATCCATGGATCCAATCCATGAATCCACCAATCCAATTGGATTTGGATCAAATGGATTGGATTTAAATGGATTGTATTAAGTGGATATTTTTAATGGATTGATGGATTGGATTGGTGGATTGGATTGAAATTGCCACCTCTACTATTAGATGACTCTAAATCGTGACCTAATCGATTCGATTTTTGTTAGGGTTTTAGGGATTATTGTGCTTGTACCATAGAGGAATCTCTTCTATATATTTTGGTCTGACATAAGAGCATGATTTCCAGGTTGGCCGTCTGGTATTGGCCACGCTAGACCACAGTCATCCATGTCATCCTGTCTTCACAAATTGCCATCTTTCTGTTCATACCCTTTAATCATTATTGTCTCTTCACTTGATAAAAAAAAACTTTTGATGGTTTTCTAACAACTCAGAGAAAATCTCTTGGGTTCTTGAGTGATTTGTTATTGTAAGGATCGTATGTAAGATTGACAGAGTCGGCTTATCAAAGTAAATATATGATAAATTCGGAAAGATAATCCATAACTTATCAAGTGAAGTTTACAAAAAATTATTGAGGGATTTAAGTCGTGTCTTAGTTCACGGCTCAGGTCTAGTTAGAAGAATGTGGTGGTGCAACTCATCAAGCCTACCGATTGAATTTGTCTTGCTTCTAGTTCTAATTAAGCTCTAGTACAAGGAGAACCAGCACATCAAAAGATGCCAACCTCATCTTTCATTTTCACCCTACATCATTACAACACGTACGGCGAGTTGTGCATTGGACAATCCGCCGCTGCCACAAGGCCATATAACTGATTTCCTGTACATTGGCTCGATTATCATAGTATTATCGATTGCAAATCAGAATGTATCGCGTATCGAAATCTGCATGATGACAGTGATTGGGGTGTCTCTATCCATCATAATACAAGGCAAGTAGCCTAGTCGTGATTTTTTTTCATCGAGACACATTTCGCCATCCGAAGTGATCAATCAATATGCATAGTAAACGTCTTTATTCATGTATATAGTGCTCTCAATAACACCTAAAACCATATCATGTATGCACCATACGTACACGCTGTAAAGTCTTCAGAAAAGGTTACATGTAAGAAGCAAAAAAAGAAAGGCCGGTGGCCAAAGTGTCACCCGATTTCTCTATCACGGCTCTTTCTTGTGCCATGTACCTATCTTTGTTGATCCCATCCCTTAAAAGAGAAACACTTCACTCCAGGTTGCTAAAAGTTCAATCACCAAACATCATTTCAATTGATCTGTCGTGTTGATGTTCTGACATAACTAACATAACATTTCATCGATCCATTTATTTATCGCTTCTTTGGTTGCGTAACATTTCTTCCATCTATTTGGGAGTCCCACTGTGCTCTTAGAATGCACATCGCATCCATGACGTTTTACAACATTGACAGCAGAGTTGCAGAGGAGTTCTTAATGGTGGTATAGGAGGATGAAAGAATTTCTACCAAGATACTAACTGTTGAGTGTTTTCAGAAGAGATGATTATGGGCCATCGCCCGACAATCAGAACCAAACAATATAATACGAGCCTGCAATTCATGCTGCAGTGAGGAACCATAGTAGAACTGTGTGAACAAGGTGCAGTTTCCTAAAGCAATGATTCAATATGGATTGAAATGTTTGACATATGATTTCATACAAAGCTGTCGGTCGAACTATCGTGTACTGCACGCAGTTTGTCTACGTGAGGAAGAGAAACAAACTACAGTAAGCAAGGTGGAAAATTTCCTCACTGATCATCTAAGCTTGAGAAACA